AAAAAAAAAAAAAAAAAAAAAAAAAATTAAAAACTCATTTGAAGCTACTACACTGAAATAAAGCAAAATAATAATATTTGAATTAATATGACAAATAATGGCTCTGCTGTTCTTACCAAGACATTTTTTATTGATATATCATTTGTATTCCTTTGTATAACTCCGATCCCCTGTTATGGCCCCCCTATTCTCTTTGGGGAGGGGGGGGGGGGGGGGAGGGGGGGTCATGATTTGAACAAAATTTGAGTCTACATTACCTGAGGATGCTTCCATTTAAATATGACTAATTATGGCTTTGCTGTTCTTGAGAAGAAGATTTTAAAAGGCTTTTTCCTATGTATTCCTATGTAAAACTTTGATCGCCCATTGTGGTCCCACCCTACCCCTGGGGGAGGGGGGGTCATGACTGGAACAAACTTGAATCTTCACTACCTGAGGATGCACCCATATAAAAATGACCAATCATGGCTTTGCTGTTCTTGAGAAGACATCTTGAGAATTGGCACAGTGGTTCTTGAGAAGAAGATGAAAATGTGAAAAGTTTACAACCACGACAACGACGACGACAGACAATGGACATATTTCGATCAGAAAAGCTCACTTGAGCCTTCGGCTCAGGTGAGCTAAAAAAAAGTTTCATCCTTTTCCTTTGGAATGCCGTCGACAGCTTGAAGCATCAACTCTGTACCTTGGCATGGTGCAACAGGCCCTATTGCTAAATGTACTGACATATGTAAAATATTCCTGAACAGTATTGCAAATAGTCCAATTTCTGAGATACTTGACACTTTAAGGGAGGGTAATCTCCATTTGACAGGATATGCTTTGCATGATTGAACAATTTTTGCTGAGATCTTTCATCTTTTGACCAATTTAGATGCACTGATGATATGAATTCAAAATCTGTAAAAGCAATGACAAATTGATGTTTGAATTAAAGTTCATAATTGATATTGCAATAATTATGATAATCAAAGAAGACATTTTAGTACAGTAAATTTTCATTTATACCCAAAAGCAAAAGAGCATGTATTTTGATGTTCTAAATGACATGGGGAATTTGGGAATAATTTCAATTTTACAACAAAGGGACCTTGGCAATGCTAGCCTGAATCACCTTTATTTCCTATTTTGTAAGAGATCCAAATGCCTTAAATGGCTAATTGAGTTTAATGCAAACCTGCAAATGATCCAAATATAAAACAAGCTAATTCAGAGAATTGTGGCCCCCACTTATGGAAAAAAATGAGGATGGAAGAACTGGACCAAAAAAAAAACATGCAGATGGAAAAAGAAAAAGGTCAACCTTAACTTTTCAGCTTTTGGCCTTAAAGTCAATTGGTGTCTTTTTTTATTAAAGAAATAAATTCAAGACCTCAAAGAGAACCAAAGTTATCACTAGGACATTATTTATTGCAAGATATGAATTTTTCAACTAAACCTTTTAACTTTGAAATCAAAGGGGATTTCTTTAAGTCATTGGGAATTATGATATAAAATTTAACAGAAAAAGCTCAAGGGAAACTAAAGTTATTATTTGAATTTTTTTTGTAATGTAGGAATTTCCAACCTTGACCTTTTGACCTCAAATCAATAGGGATCTTCTCTAGGCTGTAAGGAGTTGTGATATGAAATGATATTGCAAAAGCTCAAAGGCTTAAGAGATATTGTTCCCAAATTAAAGTGTTATAGTACATACATGTACAGACAGAATGACCAATGGACAGACCAATAAACATTTATTGGGGGGTTGGGGGGGGGGGAGGGGTTGGAGGCTGTTACCTGCAGGTATTAGGTCATATGTTTTCTGTTATGTCCATGACTTCTTCCATTTTCCCCCACTCTTTGCTCTGTAAAATAATTGAAAAAGCCATGAAGTATATATACCCTTATACATTACAGTTAATGCTAAAAATGCTAATGCTGAAACATTTTGAATGAATCATAATTAAATAATTTTAAAGCTCAAAACTTGAACTATATGGACTGGACTTTTCAGTTTATCGGTCACATATTCAGGCATCTTCACCATTTAGACCTAACTTCACATAAATTGTTCTTTGTTATTTTACTTATCAGTAATGTGAATGAGCAGTTACATGTATATTATCATGATTATAGTAACTTGTATATATACATTATAAAATGTTAACCACATGTACAAACTCTGGTTCATGTCATTGAACTACATGATAACAATGTCCACTTAGTTATATTTTTCAGTGTGGAAATGAAACATATTTGTTAATTTTATTTTTTTGAGATATTAAACATTGACATTATCTTTATTATTATGTAGTACCTTAAAAATATTATATTATATTACAGTAAGTGATCACCTGTTTGGTTTGATTCAATTGTTGCCTTGTCAATAGGAACACATTTCTGCTAAAGAATAAACATTAATTTTAATATTAACTATACAATACTTAATAATCATCATAGTTACATGAAAACTTATAACCAGTTATGTACACATAAAATGAAACAGAAATCACACTTGAGATTTTATTTTTAGAACTAATTCAAAATAATATGCAATTGAAATTTTATTTCCAAACAGGATTGGATCATTTACATGTGAAATCTATCAATATTATGAAACTATTGAGTGTAAAAGCCATTCATCAACATTTACTGTAGAATCTTTAATTCATGTGAGTACTAAATATACTCGAATGAGAACAAGAATTAACAAGTGGACTGCTGCTCAAGAGTTTTCACTTTTTACATGTATTTCAGCTATAACATAATAAAAGCAGGTAATTTTGCTTCAAAAGTGAAACTTGATGTATAAGCTACTGAGTAAATTTTAGAAATAATTTGATAAAACTTTTACATATAATTATAAACACACAGTATATGTATAATTATGTACCTTTAAGCTCTTCCTTCAGCTTTACTTCCATACTGATTTTTTAATGTGTGTTTCTATACATCTTTTGCATATACCTGTAACAATTAGGAATCAAATTAGTTGATAGATATAAATCATTATAGATTGGACATATAAGTTGTATAAACTTGATATCAATAGGTTTTCACAAACTATAAAGACAAAGTCAGTAAATATTTCCAATTATGATATCACTTTGTGATATTATATTTACATGTATAGGGTTGTCCTTAAGACCTGTGGGACTGGGGAATTTCTTCACCTATAATGACATAATTCCCCAATTACTCTGGTATTGCCCTCTCAACCCTCACGAAGGGGAGGAACCCCCAACATGCTTTTTTTTTTTTTTTTTTATAAATCTGTTTCATTTCTTATTGACAACCCAAATATCATGTACAGTGTCTCTCTGAAAACTTTAAGGTCAGAAATTAAGTTAATTTCAATGGTTTAGCAAAATTCCGTAAGTTTTTAAACTGCATAATGTTCTTACCAGTTCCAACAGGCAAAACCTCATTCAGCTTGACCCTCTCAGTTAACGGGTTTGCATAATTATAGCGTCTCCCCTATCAGGTATGGGTGACAACATGTTCTTTTTTTCCTTTTCCAGTGTAGAATAAGTATATTTCTGTGTTTGACACATACATGTACATGTAGGTATGTTTACAGAAATTAGACTGTCCAAGTCCCATAACAACTGCATGGTTCAAGATGGTTAACGATAAGAAGCGTTTCAGGGACAGAAATGTCTTCTGTGCTGCATTAAAATACCTTGTATATTCAGCTGAATCTATTTTAAAATCTTTCAACAAAGCTAGAGATCTTTTATCATAATATTGTCCTCAAATCAACACTTCATCTTTTCGTCTGCCATTAAGACATCACACTTTTAATTCCTTTAAATAAGGAGAGTTCCACTAAGGGAGATAAATTTTCTAATAGTTTCAGCCAACTTCAATCTATTTTTAAATTAGCATAATGCCATTTGCAACCAAATTCCTTTTAACTATATATTGATTTTGAAGGATTTTTGCAATTAAACTGATATTTATAATGTTTTAAGCGTTTCTTGGGTTTTTACAGCATTCTAAAGATAGTGGTATTTTAAACACATTGATTTAATCTAATTTTAGACCCCACTTTTACAGAATCAGTGTTGATAAATGAAATTAAATAAAATATTTCTAGTTAGAGCACTTCCTTTAAATTTATTTAATATGTAACATTTGAATAAAAGTGCTTTTTTTTCCTGCAATTTTTTTCTCTTTATCTATGAGTGTTTTTCAAAATATTTTCATAAAATGTGCTAAAAATAGAATATAGGGCTATAATAGGGATCCCCAAAGGTACCTGACAGTTTTGATACTGGGATTTATTAGAGGATACATGATGCTAATCAGAAACAATAAAATCAGTCAAAATGATCACAATGCCTTTCATAATAAAATTTGGATTTTGCATGGTTTTCTCGTAGACACGCATTTAAGAAGCATGGTGATTTTCTAAACTTTGGATTTTTTAAACATGTTAAAACAGTTCTAGCTATAGCTACATAATCTTTATCTTTGAATATGTTTTAGGTTCAAAGTTTCACATGTAATAAAAGTGATTTTCTTTTCATAGGAATTTTAACATTGCCAATTATGGACTAAATGTCAGTATTTTTTATATTGACCCCATTACCTGGCTCAGATTTAGGTTTGAGTCCTGCAAATCTAGTGGTTTTGATATACCATACATGTACTCAGACCAGAAAAGAAAAACGATCACATTTCCGTATGTTAGTATATGTCCAGTGTTGCAATTAATGTACAACATAGAAATGTTCCAAATTGATATTAATCTATGATTGACCTTGACAGAGAAATATGTAGAATCCGATAGTGATGATGAGGTTTTGGGTCCCATCGCTCCCTTCAGCAGGAAAACCCCTAGTGATGAGGAAGCCTATGATTCTGACCGTGATCCAGACTGGGCCCCGTTTGAAGTTGTAAGTGTAAATAATGTCATCTCTTTTCTGAATTTTAGGGAAAAAATTTGTTTATGTCATCACACTTCTTATTACATGTATTAGTTGAGATCGGATAAGGTTTCAAATTTTTTCAAGTTTTAGAATTGTAAATGCTTTATATCTGTATATTGTGTTGAATGTAATATATATTCTGTAGCCAGGATTTTGCCCACACATTCTGCTTACACATTTGCTTAAACACAATTTATATGTAATAGTTACAAAAAATAAACACTCTCTACAAATAAGTTGATAAAAATGTCATTTGAACATTCATGAAGATTATAACCATTTAAAGTGCTCACTAGAATATGAGTTTTTAAATATTTCTTAGGAAACCAAAAAGGAACCTAAAGCAAAAGCACCAAGAGGAAGAAGGTAAATTTTACTGAAATAGGGCAAAATTTGGATACTAAATTCATGTATTTAGTGCAAAAATAATTTTTTTGTATTAAGGACCCTCTATACACCGATGAAAAATGTTTTTTGGACTTTGAGAAAATTATATAGCATAAAGGAGGTTATTTTGAAATTAATTAACCCATTTTTAATATAGGGAGCGTGCCTTTTTTATTCAGGAAAAATCTTCAAAGACAATGCAGTAATAATGAAGAAAAATTGCCTTTGCTTACTCAAATGGATAAAATACATGTAAATAAAGTTTTCAAATGCTCTATTTTGGTCTAATAAAATGTTTAGAATACTTGGATTTATTTCAAATTATGTAATACAGTTCAGATTACAATTTATTCTCTCCATATGTCAAATGGTTGGTCAGTCTAATTACACAAAAATACCCTGAAAATAGGGTGCAGTGTAGAGAGGGTCCTTAAAGCTGTTCAATATGTGTACTAAGTACTTTTCAAAAAATAAATTGTTGAATTTTTAATAAAATGGAGTTAAAAGGTTTTAAAAGAATTTAAGTGGAAATACAAAGTTTATTTTATTGTGTGAAAAATTGCAACAGTTTTGGATGTTTTATTGAAGGCGACGCAATTCCAACAGAGCATCATTAGAAGTTGAAAACGAAAATACTGATCTCAGCAAAAAGAAGGCCAAAGTGTTCACTCCTGTTGATAAAACACCAGCTGTACCACTTGCTAAGCCAGAACCAAGACCTCCAGAATCTGTGTTCCCCCTACCAGTATTCAGGGTAAGGCGTATCAGGGTCTCATGCTAAGTACTGCACTGTGTTACAGTTGTATTGATCAATTGTACTTACACTGATGTAAAAAGGTCTTACTCTCCTCCATTGTGATAGGATCTAAAGTAAGGTGTGAGAACTCACATCACTATTTTTGAGTTCCTGTATGTAGGATGAAGTGTTCAACTTCGTACAAGGTTATTAGTATCCACATATATATGTATGCTTTTAAAAAGATACAGTATGGAGGGGATGCTTAGATATTAAAGATGTTGAGTATTGTGTGTTTATTTAATATCTCCACACATGTATACATCAACAGTTCTTCTTTCTGAGAGTAAAAAAATGAGATTTTGTTTTATTTTAAAAGTCCCGTAATTGGAAATTATAAAAGATTTCATAAATATTTACATACATATATGTATAAAAATATCCATTGTCTTTTATATTTCTAAAACAAATTGCTTTTTCCATCCAGTAAAGTCATAAGAGATCTTCCTTATGTCTCAGCCAGTAATTTATAGGGCTCTTCTCTCTTGCATGTATATCCTTCTTGAATCCATATGTTTGTGACTTTCAAATGTGAAGATGAAGTAAAATGCTTCAAGGAAAGTTTTAATTGTGTCTGACAGATAGGTGATTTTGTGATGGCCAAAAATGACTTGAACAATTTTGAGCGTTTTCCAATCTGGAGGATAGATCCCGGTAAAATGATGAAGAAGTATGAGCTATTTACTGATAAAGGGAAGATACTTCACATGGCCACCTGTACAGTAAGTATGAGCTATTTACTGATAGAGGGAAGATACTTCACATGGCCACCTGCACAGTAAGTATGAGTTATTTACTGATAAAGGGAAGATACATCACATGGCCACCTGCACAGTAAGTATGAGTTATTTACTGATAGAGGGAAGATACATCACATGGCACCTGTACAGTAAGTATGAGCTATTTACTGATAGAGGGAAGATACATCACATGGCCACCTGTACAGTAAGTATGAGCTATTTACTGATAGAGGGAAGATACATCACATGGCCACCTGCACAGTAAGTATGAGCTATTTACTGATAGAGGGAAGATACATCACATGGCCACCTGCACAGTAAGTATGAGTTATTTACTGATAAAGGGAAGATACATCACATGGCCACCTGTACAGTAAGTATGAGCTATTTACTGATAGAGGGAAGATACATCACATGGCCACCTGTACAGTAAGTATGAGCTATTTACTGATAGAGGGAAGATACATCACATGGCTACCTGTACAGTAAGTATGAGCTATTTACTGATAGAGGGAAGATACATCACATGGCCACCTGCACAGTAAGTATGAGTTATTTACTGATAAAGGGAAGATACATCACATGGCCACCTGCACAGTAAGTATGAGTTATTAAGTACAGTTCCACGAAACAATCAGGCAGCCTATATATAAAAGGTGATACATGGGGGTTCTCAGAAATTAATGATTTTTCACTCACAGTTTTTTCTTGGTCTATAAGCTGTGTATGTAGAAGGAAAATATTTTGGGTTATTGTTACTATGGAAACCTGGACAAAGAAATTTCCCTAGCAACCGCCCAATTTTTCTTTGTAGATTGACGAAAGGCTTTATACGAAACGTAAATATAGTGATTTTTTTCTCTTTTTTAGTGTAATAAGAAAGATACATTTTTAAAGTGTTCTGTCAATGTAATAAAAAGAAATTACATTCTCTAATATATTTGCTATAGACACAGGTAAAGATACATGTTTCCCATTTTTTGCTGATTCAGCATTTTGCTTGATTTTAGCAAAAATCAAGTTGATATTATTCATTTCACCATCTTAATACAACTGTTTCATCTATTTCGTGTAAAACTACAGGAAAGCTTCTCTAAGAATTTGAAATAAAAAGTTTTGCAAATTTGAAAATTCCTATCTGTTGCTAAGCAACAAAAATGGATGGTTTGATTAATTAAAAAAGGAGAAAATGAAAAGCATTGCAAGAAAAATCGAATAAATTGTAATCATTGAGTACCAAAGACAAATTTTAAAATAGTAAAATATACAGTATTCTTCCTTGTATACTAAAGACTATTTTACAATAAGCTATCTCCATAGCAACAGCAAATTTTCCTTAGCAACGAAGCATTGAAAGTTATTTATAGCACATATTCATCTAAGTTTTTAAAAGATTATCTGATTCTTATTGTTGAATTGCTATTGCCCAGAATCGACATTGTCAAACTGGTTTTTAAAAAGGTATTTTTAAGTTAATTCATCCATAACAACAGAACTTGTCTACATAGCAAAATGTATTTTATAAAGAATCAGTATGTAGCAATTCCTCAACAAAAATCTTTGTCTTTAAAGGATGTTTACTAGGCAAAAACATTCTACTAATGGGAATGAATATTACTTACTTGACTTATGACTGTGGTATTTTTTTCACTTTGAAATAGTAAATCAGTATGTAGCAATTCCTCAACAAAAGTTGAGCAATAACCTATTTTTCATGCTAGTGGCTTATTGAGACTCTACAGTCTTAAAATTTCTTGCAAATTCCTGAAAATTTTGCATCATGACTAATATTTGCAACGAAAACTGGATAGTCTAACTTCTGATAAGTCTTAAAAAAAAAAACAAACAGTAATCTCGTAATAAAAAAAAAAGAAAAGATTTTTGATAAGGTCTACTTGTGACAATGCAGACCTGGTGAGGTATTGGTTGACCGAGGCCGAAGGCTGAGGTTAATCAGTTCCTGACAAAGTTCGTATAGTAACAAGTAGACATAATTCAAAAGTCAATAACTGTATTTTAAAGTATCAGTTTTTTTTTTTTTTTTTTTTTTTTTACTTTTTCTTTTTTTTTTTTTTTTTTTTTTTTTTTTTTTTTTTTTTACATTTTTCACAATCCACCTATTTTCTTCATCAAATATATATTAACGCCCATGATATACTTAGTATTTTGTTTTGCAGCAAGATATCATAATTATTTTTCAACAGTTTCAACTGTTCAACAAAGGTGGAAAATAGTATATTAAAACTATAAATATTCAAACCATTTACTTATAAGGAGTTTAGACGGTTCGGTACTGTGCGCAATTTGACTGGCAGATAAAAATGTAAGCAAAGCTATCAAGATTGGCTAAGACAGAAAACCTAAATAAACAAACTCTTTGTAGCGAGACTTCTGTCTCCTGAATTACAAGATAAAAAAACTTATTTTGATGAGATTACTACATATGTAATAAGTTATAATGAGATACTAACTCATGAACAAGATAGCTAATTTATTAAAAAAAAATGACTAACTCGTTGAAACGTTTTAACAAGATAACAAACTCGTTGTAACGAGACTACTAACTCCCGGAGAATGAGATTAAAAAATTATTCTAATATGATACCAACTCGTTATAAAAGCAAGATAGGAAATTCATTTTATTGGGGTAACTAATTTATTATTTAAGGAATGAATTTAATAGCTACTCCAGTTATACTGTACGGTATAACCTGCGTTGGGACAGTTTCCGCTTTATAAACCGTGAAGCGGTTAATAAAAAAGCGTAAACTGTTCCAACCCAGGTTATACCAATGTAACTTGGGCAGCTATTAATTAAATTCATTTCTTATAATTTAATTTTCCAATTAAGGCAATTTTCCTTAAGAAATGCCTTCAAATTAAGCATATTTTAAAAGTACGTCAAGCCAAATAATACGTTTTTGGCGAAGGTCATTGTGACGTAGGCAACATATGTTATACGGTATAAACTACATCTTTTATTCTATCAAATGACGTGTTACAACCAGAATTAAATTATTACGAGATAACTAACTCTCGATTTTTATTATTTACTAGTCTAGTTATGACAGGATATTTACATGTAATAACTAAAAAACATTTTTGATATAACGAGCTTAATGAAAAAATAAAAGAAATACACTGAAAAATAGTGTTAGTCTTGTTTCATGAAATAAACAATTAAAGTTTGTGCTTTGACTGTAATCTAAGCTTGTTTTATATCTCCAAGTTGGTTCAATACACAAGAGATGCTCTAGTTACGAATAATTTCTAAAAGGAGGCAAGCTACTGACAAACAAGTTGATGAAATAAGAATATCAACAGTCTTGTTTATAGTCATAATTTTACAAGTTCTATGGTCGATACAATGACTTTGTCAGCAAATGCAATCTATCTTTGAATTGTATGCTGACTGAACCCATTAATAGTAATTTTTTATTGATTATATCCTTAATATTCCTTTGTATAAATATGAACTCCTGTTATGGCGCCTCTATTCTCCTGGGTGGTCATGATTTGAAAAAATTTAAATCTACATTACCTGAGGGTGCTTTTATATTTTTATGACCAATCATGGCTTTGTTGGTCTTGTGAATAATTTAAGATTTCCCCTTTGTCTTCATATTTAAAACTTTGATCGCCCATTGTGGCCCCGCCCTACCCCCATGGTTATGATTTGAACAAGATTTTTTTTTTAAATGATGCCATTAGTTTTTCACAAAATCATCATCGTAATATCCCTTTGGAAGAAGGCGTGTCCCTTCATCTGAACAAACTTGAATCCCCTTTACTCAAGGATACTTTGTGGTTAGTTTGGTTGAAATTGGCCCAGTGGTTCTTGAGAGGTAGATGAAAATGTGAAGAGTTTACAATAACAACGACGACAGACGTCGGACTCTTTTTGATCAGAAAAGCTCACTTGAGCCTTCGCTCAGGTTAGCTAAAAATCCTTAGCATGACAAACTTCAAATTGGTTCCCCCAAGAAAAAGGATGATCGTTGTTGATTCTGTCAAAGTCAAGGATTTTTTTTCCTTTCCAGCCAGTGATCTTGAGCTTGGAGGAATGATCTTTATTCAATATGAGGACACACCGTCGGATCATTAGCAAGCTCTGTTTCAAGTAAAGCTACAAGTGAAACACCATTACAAAGTTGGAGTTCAGACAAGCATTTAATATGTTTTTGTCAGTGACCTTCAACTTGCCAAAACCTACATGGGTCAGGGTCATGAATTACCCACGGTCAAAAGCATTCTCTGTACAATGTATAAGCCAATTAATTCTCAATTACAAAGTTAAAAGGACAAACCAGAATTTTATACTTTCTGTAAGTGAACTTGAACTTGCGTGCAAAAATGGGTTTGGGTTAAGGTCGGCTTTACTCTTAAATCAAAAGCAATCTTTGTACCAAGTATGAGCTTCCAGTAATTCTCCATTATAAAGTTTTTCTGCCACTGAATACGTACTTGCCGGAATGACCTAGGGTCAAGGTCAATAAACACTCTTTGATCATCAGCAAATTTTATTCCATGTATGAGCTTCCAGAGATTCGCCGTTACAAAATCACTTATTACCCAGATAATTATAAAAAATTTCACCAAATGACCTTGAACTAATCAAAATGGCTTTGGGTCAAGGTCTTAACACACTTAGGTCAACAAAGCTATTACTGTGCTAAGTATGAGCATCCAATGATTCCCCGTTACAAAGTTTTGGACCGGGCAATAACTTTTATGCCAGTGACCTTGAACATGCTGGCATGACCTTGTGTCGAGGGCATGGCACCTCCTTGGGTCATAAGCAATCTCTGTACAAAGTATGAGCTTCCAGTGTTTTTCAAGTTATAGCGAGAAGATTGCATGGACGGAAGGACACACAGTAAAGGGATTTCTGTATAACACACACCCCGACCCCCCAACTCCCCAAGCCCCAAACTTTGTTTATGTGGGATATTTGAATATTTGTTACAATTTTAATAGCATAAGAAGATTCAACAAAAAAGTAGAAGAGCCAGTCAGACTGCGCAAATTCAGTTTTACTGCAAAAATGTAATAGAAATATTTTTAAAAAATTTTATGAATACATGTTTGTGCTAAATATTACTTTCCTTGCCTTGTTGCTAAAGAAAATTTTCTGTTGCCATGGGAGATGGAATTTTTTTTAATTGCATTTAGTTTCAAATTTTCGATGCAAATATTGGTCATGATGCAAAATTTTCAGGAATTTACAAGAAAGTTTAAGACTCTCAAGTCTCAATTGGCCACTGGCATGAAAAGTAGGTCATTGATTTACTATTTCAAAGTGAAAAAAATACCATAGTCATAAGTCAAATAAATGATTTTTCATTCCCATAAGTAAAATGTTTTTGCCTAGTAAACATCCTTTAAAGACACAAATTTTGTTGAGGAATTGCTACATACTGATTCTTTATAAAATACATTTGTGGCTATGTAGACAAGTTCTGTTGCTATGGATGAATTAACTTAAAAACATACTTTTTAAAAACCAGTTTGACAATGTCGATTCTGGGCAATAGCAATTCAACAATAAGAATCAGATAATCTTTTAAAAACTTAGATGAATATGTGCTATAAATAACTTTCAATGCTTCGTTGCTAAGGAAAATTTGCTGTTGCTAAGGAGATAGCTTATTGTAAAATAGTCTTTAGTATACAAGGAAGAATATTGAATATTTTATTAGTTTAAAATTTGTATTTGCTACTCAATGACTACAATTTATACGATTTTTCTTCCAATGTTTTACAATTATCCCTTTTTAATTAATCAAACCATCCATTTCTGTTGCTTAGCAACAGATAGGAATTTTCAAATTTGCAAACTTTTTATTTCAAATTCTTAGAGAAGCTTTCCTGTAGTTTTACACGAAATAGATGAAACAGTTGTATTAAGATGGTGAAATGAATAATATTGACTTGATTTTTGCTTAAATCAAGCAAAATGCTGAATCAGCAAAAAATGGGAAACATGTATCTTTACCTGTGTCTATAGCAAATATATTAGAGAATGTAATTTCTTTTTATTACGTTGACAGAACACTTTAAAAATGTATCTTTCTTATTATACTAGATAAAAGAAAAAAATCACTTTATATACGTTTCGTATAAAGCCTTCAAAATGAGTGAAATTTCGTCAATCTACAAAGAAAAATTGGGCGGTTGCTAGGGAAATTTCTTTGTCCAGGTTTCCATAGTAACAATGACCCAAAATATTTTTCCTTCCACATATACAACTAAAAGCCCAAGAAAAACCTGTGTGTGAAAAATCATTAATTTCTGAATACCCTTTGTATCACCTCCTGCCTGATTGTTACGTGGACCTGTACTTAAATGAAAGAGGGAAGATATTTCACATAGCCACCTTTACATTTACTGATAGAGGGAAGATACATCACCTGGTCACCTGTACAGTAAGAATGAATCATTTACTGATAGAGGGAAGATTCTTCTCATGGCCACCTGTAGAGTTAGCATGAGTTATTTACTGATAGAAGGAAGATACTTCTCATGGCCACTTGTAGAGTTAGCATGAGTTATTTACTGATAGAGGGAAGATACTTCTCATGGCCACCTGTAGAGTAAGTATGAGTTATTTACTGATAGAGGGAAGATACATGTACGTCTCATGGCCACTTGTAGAGTTAGCATGGGTTATTTACTGACAGAGGGAAGATAATTCACATGGTCACCTGCACAGTAAGTCAAAATAGTCCAGCAAGTATGAAACTCTGGAATAGTTCAGCAGTCATAAGTATACAGTATATACTCGCATATAAGTCGGTCCGCCTATAAGTTGGTTGAATTTTTATGCCCCCGGATCGAAAGATCCCGGGGGTATATTGTTTTTGTCCTGTCTGTCTGTTTGTCTGTTTGTCTGTTTATCTGTTTATCTGTTTATCTGTTTGTCTGTCTGTCTGTTGTCAACTTTAACCTTGCCCATAACTTTTGATTGGTTGGAGCTATGACTTTTATATTTCACATGTGTATTCCTTGTGACAAGACCTTTCTTTGGGTACCATCATATTTGACCTTTTGACCTTGACCTTGGAGTTTGACCTACTTTTGCAAAATTTTATGAGACTTTAACCTTAGCCATAACTTCTGAACAGTTGGTGCTTGGGGTTTCAAACTTCACATGTGTATTCTTTGTGACAAGGCCTTCCTTTGGATACCAACAACTTTGACCTTTTGACTTTGACCTTGGAGTTTGACCTACTTTTGAAAAACTTTAACCTTGGCCACAACTTTTGAATGGTTGGAGCTAGGGCTTTCATACTTCACATATGTAATCCTTGCGACAAGACCTTCCTTTGGATACCAACCACCACTTTGACCTTTCGACCTTGACCTAGGAGTTTGACCTACTTTTGAAAAACTTTAACCTTGGCCATAACTTTTGAATGGTTGATGCTAGGGCTTTCATACTTCACATATGTAATCCTTGCGACAAGACCTTCCTTTGGATACCAACCACCACTTTGACCTTTTGACCTTGACCTAGGAGTTTGACCTACTTTTGAAAAACTTTAACCTTGGCCATAACTTTTGAATGGTTGATGCTAGGGCTTTTATACTTCACATATGTAATCCTTGTGACAAGACCTTCCTTTGGATACCAACCTATTTGACCCTTTGACCTTGACCTAGGAGTTTGATCTACTTTTGAAAAACTTTAACCTTGGCCATAACTTTTGAATGGTTGGTGCTAGGGCTTTCATACTTCACATATGTAATCCTTGTGACAAGATCTTCCTTTGGATACCAACCACTTTGACCTTGACCTTGACGTTTGACTTTTATTAAAAAAACTTTAACCTTCGCCATAACTTCTGAACTGTTGTATCTAGGTCTTTCAAATTTCATAGGTGTATTCCTCGAGACAAGACCTTTCTTTGGGTATCAACATTTCTTATCTTTTGGCCTGGATTTTGACTTGCATTTGAAGAAACTTTAACCTTCGCCATAAGCTGCCATACGGGGGCATCAGTGTTTCACAAACACATCTTGTTTAAGCTTATTTTAGAGGGCCTGACCCTCTAAAATACCAATCTTTTTATAACTTGCCTATAAGTCGGACATAGAGTTTTGGACCAAATTTTAACTCCCAAAAAAACCAACTTATAGGCGAGTATATACGGTAGATAAGTCTGTGCTTGTTTTTTTAAGTCAATGAGCAGGTACAAAAGTCTTTGATATTTCTGATCTCGTAGAAAAAGTTCTCTGAAAAATTTGGGAATATTAGTTTGTAATTGAGTCACAGTACTCTAAAATGTAGAATGTGGTTTTTAAACTTCATTGCATGGTTAAAATGTGTTATGATTGCACATATGTAAATAGATAAGAAACACAATTAAGTACCAGCATGTATTATCCATTCTATGATTGCTCAAACTAATTAATCTTGTAGACAAGAATGTTTTCAAATTGTATGAGTGTTGATTTCCTTTCAGTACTCCAGTTATTTGCCAAAAATGGATTTAGAGTACATCCCAATAAAAGTAACCACCATTAAAAATGAACGAGATGGTCATGTAGTAGAGGTGTGTGAAGCAGATCGTCCGAAACCTAAACTTGACTCTAGGTGAGAAAATTTATCCAAAGATACTCACTTTATGTCTATATGCGTATATCTAGTAAAACAGTTTCACAGAATCATCAGGGTCAGTTTAGCTTTCTTCTTTGCATCTTTAATCGCCTACAGATGTAGTAATTCATCTACATGTATACATACATGTACTTATAGTACTAGTTGAAAAATTATGACATTGTTATGAGCAAGTATTTGCCATGTTTATGTTCAATATAAACATGATTTTTAGCTCACCTGAGCCGAAGGCTCAAGTGAGCTTTTCTGATCACTTTTTGTCCGTCGTCCGTCTGTAAACTTTTCACATTTTCGACTTCTTCTCAAGAACCACTGGGCCAAATTCAACCAAACTTGCCACAAAGTATCCTTGGGTGAAGGGAATTCAAGTTTGTTCAAATGAAGGGCCACGCCTTCTTTCAAGGGGAGATAATTAGGAATTAGTGAAAAAATAATGGCATCATTTAAAAATCTTCTTCTCAAGAACCACTGGACCAGGAAAGATGAAACTTATGTGGAAACATCCTCAGGTGGTGTAGATTCAAGTTTGTTCAAATCATGACCCCCGGGGGTAGGGTGGGGCAACAATGGGGGATGAAAGTTCTACATAGATATATATAGGAAAATATCTTTAAAAATCTTCTTCTTAAGAACAGTAAAGCCATGATTGGTCATATTTATAGGGAAGCATCCTTAGGTGGTGTAGATTCAAGTCTGTTCAAATCATGACCCCCGGGGGTAGGGTGGGGCCACAATGGGGGATCAAAGTTCTACATAGATATATATAGGAAAATATCTGTAAAAATCTTTTTCTTAAGAACAGTAAAGCCATGATTAGTCATATTTATATGGAAACATCCTCAAGTGGTGAAGATTCAAGGTTGTTCAAATCATGACCCCCGGGGGTAGGGTGGGGCGACAATGGGGGATCAAAGTTCTACATAGATATATATGGGAAAATATCTTTAGAAATCTTCTTCTTAAGAACAGTAAAGCCATGATTGGTCATATTTATAGGGAAGCATCCTTAGGTGGAATAGATTCAAGTTTGTTCAAATCATGACCCCCGGGGGTAGGGTGGGGCCACAATGGGGGATCAAAGTTCTACATAGACATATATAGGAAAATATCTTTAGAAATCTTCTTCTTAAGAACAGAAAAGCCATGATTGGTCATATTTATAGGAAAGCATCCTGAGGTGGTGTAGATTCAAGTTTGTTCAAATCATGACCCCCGGGGGTAGGGTGGGGCCACAATGGGGGATCAAAGTTCTACATAGACATATATAGGAAAATATCTTAAAAAAATCTTCTTCTTAAGAATAGTAAAGCCATGATTGGTCATATTTATATGGAAACATCCTGAGGTGGTGTAGATTCAAGTTTGTTCAAATCATGACCCCCAGGGTTAGGGTGGGGCCACAATGGGGGATCAAAGTTCTACATAGACATATATAGGAAAATATCTTTAAAAATCTTTTTCTTAAGAACAGTAAAGCCATGATTGGTCATATTTAAATGGAAGCATCCTCAGGTGGTGTAGATTCAAGGTTGTTCAAATCTTGACCCCCGGGGGTAGGGTGGGGCCACAATGGGGGATCAAAGTTCTATATAGACATATATAGGAAAATATCTTTAGAAATCTTCTTCTTAAGAACAGTAAAGCCATGATTGGTCATATTTATATGGAAGCATCCTCAGGTAGTGTAGATTCAAGTTTGTTCAAATCATGACCCCCCCCCCCCCCCCCCCCCCGGGGGGGGGGGATAGTATGGGGCCACAATGGGGGATCAAAGTTTTTCATAAAAGTATATAGAAAAAACTTTAAAAATCTTCCTCTCAAGATCAGCAAAGTCATGACTGGTCATATTTAAATGGAAGCATTCTCAGGTAGTGTAGATTCAAGTTTGTTCAAATCAGGGCCCCCAGGGGTAGGGTGGGGGCACAATGGAGGATCAAATTTTTACAAATGAATGTATGGGAAAAATTCTTCTGCTCAAGGATAGCAAAGCCATTTGTTATATTGATATGAAAGCATCATCAGGTAGTTTAAAATTTCCCCCCTCCCCCCTGTAAATTTTTCAATACTGAACTGATTTTCGCTTTTTTTCTCCTAGCCAATGTGCTCAGGTGAGCAATGTGGCCCATGGGCCTCTTGTTTTATACCTTAGTGCTCAAAATATTATCTAGGATACATAAAAATTGTATATAAGTATCTGTATTTTAGGGCATTTAAAGGTACAATTTGATTTAAATGGTCTGTGTTATTAGGAGAGCTACATGTATAAGAAAGTGAATCTTGCATTGCAGATTAGAAAATGAGTATGAAGAAGATCCACTGGCAGACATGTTTAATGTTTATCTGCAGATTTTCCTCAGTCGTGCCTTAGAGCCTGGATTTCTTACTGCAATACTGGACTCCAAAGGTTAGCAATACTTTTCACATCATCCAGGGATCGACATTAATGGTTGTTCGATTGCCCGGTACAAGTAAATTATCAGTTCGGGCTATTGAAATTGTCAACGTATTTGTCCGATCGGGCAAGTGAATTTTTTTCATACAAATGTACATACATGTATTTATTTAGTTTACATTAATTTATAAATAAAACAATAAATTGAACACTTGATTTCCGCAACGAACCTGACTGACAATGTTTTTGCATTCTGAATTCCTTGCTAGCGTTCCGAATTATCGGGTTTGTTATTTTCTTTCGTTGTAAATATTTTCTACGTCTAACAAAATTTTGTTAACTTCTTATTAGGAAATTAGATTATTTATTCACGCACAAAATATAAGTACAGTGTAACATGATGTATCCTGATCAAGATAGGATGTTTGTTTCGTAGCAACTATCTTCCTTTAGCATTGCTTCACAGTTATCTCTGAAAATCACGATTCACAAAAGTATCCTACCGAAAATATTTTTTTTTAAATATAAATTTTATCAAAAGGAAATGGGGGGTTATTGCTGCATGGCAGTGTGTGTTAACAGGTTAAATTTACAAGTACAGTGGTACACATTTATGTACAAATGCTGCATTGAAATTTTTTCAGGTAGCTCAATTTGCCAAATTGGCAGTAGTGTATTTGGTCACATTTTTTCTTATAAAAAAAAGAATTATTTAAAGAAGGTAACCTGGTTAGTGCATGCACTATTCTTTATAACGTTTAAAGTAATAAATAATTTTCTTCTTAAGTTCTTTCTTAATTTTGGGCAACCAAGTTTTGCATTAGGACAAGTCAAACATTGCGATCACTTGCCCGAAGGGCAGGTGAATCTGAAAGTTAATGTCTATCCCTGTCATCATAAAATTTTGGACTGTTTTTGGACTTTTTACATAGACATACATAATGCTAATTTCCATTTGCTGTCACTGCATCATGTTAAATTTAAATTCTATTTTAAACTATAAAACTTGTGAACCATTGCCTTCATCAAGATCATAATCACATGTCAGTATTCTGTATACACTTATGCCAGTATTAGTTTAGGTACGTTCATTTTGAGAAAATTGATTTTAATAAGAGTCAATCAGAAGCTTGGTAGCCATCTTGGAAATTCCAAAGACTGAATTTGAAAGAATGCAGCACCAAGTTTTTGCTAGGCATGCAATTGTGTGTGAAGAATTAGAAAATTTGGAAAGATATTTTACCACATAGTCTTACTAGTGAATATTTAAATCGTGAAAGTTTATTTTGATTGTTTTTGTTACAGAGGAGTTTTACCTAGGACCTCTTAACAGCATTGACGACTTGATTGACAAGAAGTTGATTGAAATTGACGCCAAAGTGCAGTGGAAACTTAAGTTTAAGGTGAGACTGTTCAGTTTGGTTTGAAAAACATGAGGTACATGAATTTTTACAGTAACACATGTTTAAGCTAGCATCTCTGATAAGGTTGTCTAATAATAATCACTGTGTATGTGCATCATAACTTAAATGTGATGAGGTAACTTGAGTACTTCTAACATAATGAGTTAATATTTATTACATGTATGTAGAGGTATTGAAATTCATATAAATACTCTCATGTCTCGGAATCTTAAATATCATACAGTAATTAATTGCATTAAAGAAAAAAAAATGTCCTTTAAAAGTTAGATGAAATGAATTTTAATTGTTTCAGAGTGCCCTACAATCCAAACCACACATTAGGGAACTAGATCGGCTAAACCTGAAGGTAGCCTGCCAAGTAAGTTTATTTATCTTGTCTGTAAATATAAGGAAAGATTGTGTTCCTTTATAAAGAAATTAAAAAAAAAAACAGTTAAATAAAGAGTGTGATTGAGATCTAATCAAAAGATTAAAGTTTCTGATTTGTTTTTAGGCATGTCGATTTACCAATGAGCCTGCTATAAAATCTGTCCACCTGTTTGGTCAATCCTATGATCACACAACACTAGCAGAAAATAAAGCCACTGTAGAGGATGGCAGTGTGGTAAGGGGAATAACTCAAACAAATGGAAAACGTGTAGGGGAGGATTTTCAATACATGTACTAACTAAATTGCAAAAAAAATTATAATATTTAGAAAGAGGATGGATTTGTTTTTAGACCTAAATTAGAATGTAATTTTGTTGCTGGACCTCCATTAGAAAGACATGCATCTTTATTTTGTTCTATATGTGATAATCCCACTAATTAGTTTCTGAAGTTGTCCCACAATGCTGCTATCTCTTGCTGTTTGCTGAATTATGTTACATGTTACTTCTCTGTAGGAGTTTCTGATTGGAAAAACAGCCTCCACGTATGCCATACCTTTTCACAGTCTGTACCATTTTAAGTACAACTTATCCAAGCGATGCCAGGCCAAGGTAAAATATTTCAATGCAAGTTTTACAAATTTCTAGCCATTTTTCAACTGTAGCTTTAGATTTAGCTGAGTGATCAATGATTGAAGTACAGAGCCAGTTCGTTTCTATGAATACCTGTGATTTTCAATTTATAGGTAGATATATTAAGACAAGGAAACAGCAAGCTAGGCAATGCTGAAATTCTTGACAAATGTCTCAACAACAGAACTTGGGTGCTAAAGGTAGGTAACCTAACATGATGATTTATTAAAATTTATCACAAAGATAAGATCAGTAAGAAGTAATAGTGGTCAACTGAAAGCTTGAATTTACTGTGAATGTGAATATGGGGGGAAATTTTTTTGTATTTTGTGATGAGTAAAGTCTCACTGAAAATCAAAGAATAATTATCATAAAAAATTGAAAACTCTGTCTTAAATCACTTAAACAATAAAATTTGTATGTCAGATTTTATGATAGAATAATTTATGCGCATAAAATATGATTTACACATACAGTGCAAGTCAATTTTTTTAAAACAGATTTTTGATGATCTGAAAAATCTGCTGGAAAAGGACAACTATATTCAGCAGTAATACACAGGCCTATAGAGACTAAAGGAAGATGGTTCATAGGGTCAATCTAGTCACAGCTCAATGCAATTATAAGGGGACCAGCTGATGAACTCAATCTCCAGCATACCAAGTTCAGAGCCATAGAAAGCACAAGCTTTTCTATAAAAAAATATTTTATGGTTGTAGTTTGTTTGTTTCTCTGTTAGTTGATTATTTATTATGTATATATTACAGGTACAGTGAAGTTAATTTAATCATCTATAGTGCCATATGTATTTTCAAAGAGTAGTTGCTAGTATTCAAATAATATTCAACTTATAGTGCAATAGAGAGAATATTACGCTCACCTTCTATATTGGCTGGAGTAAGCTTTTCAGATTAAGACGCATTCTTACCTGTCTTGCATACACTTTAGAAAGTTTTATACTATTAAAACTCCCTTCAACATATTCATGGTATTCATCTGTATTTCCATTGTAAATTGTATAGTTTTTTTAGCACTATTTGGAGTGATAAGACACAACTTGGCTGCTATGAAATCTGGTTAGCATGACCTTGCTCTTGTGGCTGTAACCAAGTGATGCTTCTGTTTTTTACAGCAATAGCTGATGTACCCATTGGGGGGGTCTAAGCTTTGGCTACCTTTTTTTAAAGAGGTAGTTTGTTGATTGTCACCAAACTTGGCATAAATTTCCTACTGTATACTAAGTTGCAAATGCCCTAGTGATTGGATGGTATTTGCTGTTTAATAAATTAAATAGGCAGAATTGAGAGATGAATTTGCTCCACCCACTTTTGAAGTCAAAATAATCTCAAAAATTCATTGTAAGAATTATAGCAATTAAAGAATTCTTGCACAGTTGATGTACATGTAAATCAATCTCTTCTCTGCATGATTTACTGCACATTTAATTTATTTATTTGCAATCTTACTTAGCAGAGTCTTGTGAGCTATTGTCCTCTTGTTAGCAGATAAGAGCTTTAAAATAAATAAAGAATTCATGTACAAATTTATCAGCTTTAAAATAAATGAAGAATTCCTATACATGTTTATCAGTGATTAGAAATAATGCTCTGAAAAAGAGAACAGATATTTTCTTTCTTTCTTTTTTTTTTAATTAAAATACACATCTGTTAATTATGTTGCATTTAGATGTAATGCTAAAGATCATAAAAAATTTGAGACACCTTATTTTAGCAATATTGTTATTTGGGTTTTTGTAAGCAAGAATAAATGTTCACAAATTTTGGTTAATGGTGAATATAATGTTTAATAAAACAAATATATACCGGTATGCGAAAATAAAGAGCAGACTTCTCACATAATTATGTGAAAATAAAGTTCTTGTGAATATTAAGTGATTTACAGCAGCTAAATGTAGGACATAAATACATGTATAACTTCTGCAAACAAAGTTTGAGGGTATATATACCATCAATATCTACTTATCTACCTATCCATCTCTTTGTTTGAATAATTTCATCAGATCTGCATGTGTGAGAAAGATGGGGGAGAAATTATTCCCCCACAGGAGCTGTTTTCCCTTGATTTTCTCTTTAGAAATCACTCATACTCTTTAAGAAAATTTACCCAAGGTTTCTGTGGTGAAAAAGGGGGGGGGGGGGGGGGGTTCTACACCAGGTTTGCCAGTATTGATTTCATCATTCATAAATTGCTTGCAAAGTTTATCATTTTATTTAATTTTATGTTGTGATCCATTTTTATAAAGTAAGTAAATACTGCTCAATATTTGCATTTTTAAACTTGTGTAATAACTGTAGAAAGCTGTCTTATATGTTATTGATATCTTACAATACATCATAATGTGTTTTGTACAGGAAGTACTGTTCGTTGCTCACCTGTGTATATGAGTGATTTTCATAAATATATGTACAGAAGCATTTAAATGCGTGACTTGTGCTGATGCTTTCAACTGGATACATGGTTTAAATAGTTGCATTTTTTACCCAGAGAATTGAATATGTGAATTATTTTCAGTTGTTCTTTTTTTTTAAGATGATATATTTTAATTTTTAAGATTTATGTTACTTATAAAGTAATGTTATAATATTGATATCATTTATATTTGAACAGAGACATATATATATCATTCACATTTATTTATGTCTCTATTTGAATGCCTTGGAATAAAATAATTAATGCACAGTGAGTGTAAATTGAACTTTGCTTGTTTATACAGGTGACTCTCGATGGCTCGAACTCCGATCTCTCGAAGTTCTCGATCTCTCGAAGAGAACCTCCGGTCCCATTTTTTTCCTCTATATAACTAAGCAAATTTACTTCCGATCTCTCGAACTTCGATCTCTCGAAGTTCTCTATCTCTCGAACCAAGACCTGGGTCCCGTTATATACATTTCATTGGATTTTACTCTCTATCTCTCGAAGTTTTGATTGCGCGTGTGTACACGCCAATCGAGCGTTAAATTAATGCAGCTTGGACTTACCTGGATAACAGTGAGCGCCTGGGGCTGGCATGGAGGCGTTAATTGGGTGTTTACATAGATGACACTATACCTGTGAGCATCCGAGTGTTTATATAATTAATTGGTTATAATTTGTAAATTATAAACGAATTGCTTCACAACATATTTTGACTTGACAGCGAGACGATAATTTTTAGAAAACAATTTAAGAAACGTGTCAATAATTTTCCATAGATTATAATAAAAGTTTTATTAGGGTCTACATAATCCCAGTATGACAAACATTGCACATGAATTAAATACCGATTTAATATGAGAAATCTGGTGACCCGATCAAGCCCCGGGGGGTAGCAACACCGACGACTGCTATTCAGGATCCATGTAATCATGAATTGAGAACAAATAAATATTGAAACTTAAAGAGATCATTTTATTTATTCAAAATACGATCATTGTTGTTGAAATCAAGTGAATTACCTATTAAACACGAATGAAAACGTGCAATGATATTATCAACATATACTTCCGGTATTTATAATAGTAGAACAATGATGATCGGAACTAAAAATTCCCGATTTTATTCACTTTCTATCTCTCGAACCCCTCGATCTCTCGAACTTTTCTTGCGGTCCCTTGAACTTCGAGAGATCGAGAGTCACCTGTAATTGCAATTTTTACATAAATGTGATATACATGTAATTACATTTTCTCTGCCTCAGAGTCTTGGATCCAATAGGTATAAAAACCTGCCACAGAAGAGTCTGGTATATTAGTGTCTTTAGAGACAAAGACATTAAGGGGAGCAATATAGCAGTCAGACAGCTTTGTTTGCTGTGGCCAAGCTCATGAGCTTAGAAAGTAGAGCACCTGTTCTAGAATTCTGGGAGTCCTCCCATCCTCACAAGGGGTCCTGTGTCAACTCATTGCTGTGGGACCTCTGACAAATTTCGTTTATTGGCAAAGTTTTTTTGTTTTTGGTCGCATGTCAGATATTCTTGGGAGGCCCCTCCCCATTTTGAAACCGTTGCTAAGGGCCAGATATTTGATTTTTTTACCGTAAAATTTAATAATGAGTGGACATTCTGGTATATAATAATTATAGACAACTTTGTACAAGTAAAGTTAATGCAGGATAAACCTGTATTTGATGTGTGGGAATCCAAGCGACTATTTCATGAACGATGTAGTCGAAATGTAAAATGAAAGTGAAAGTAACGTTGACGCGAGTCAGAGATTCTGCGAGCAGCGAACTGTTTGCCAGTTTGGATGGATTGCCTGTAAAATTATTTCTGTTTATATACACTGAATAAATATCGAGAGAATTCAGAAAAGGTAATTGCACGCCATGATGTATAGGATACGCAGATTACTTAGTTAAAGTAGAGAATTTATGTCTGTATATGTGTACATATAGCAGGGAGGGCTGTTATTATGGTTATTACCATGACGTGTTATTGTTTTGTGTGGTTAATGGCTCGTTGGTCTTTTTGTACAGTGTTTTTTACAACTCTATTTTAGAACACATGGACCGTGCTTTCCGTGGTCAGTTACTGCTGGTAGGGGAGGGGGACTTTTCCTTATCGGTATCACTCCTGACATGTTTACCACAGGCTTTGTGGGAAAATATCACATCAACCAGTCTTGAGTCAGAGTCAAGTATAATGAAGCACAAGAATGCAACAGATAACATCAAATGGCTTACTCAGCAAGGTATGTCTTTATTTCAATCACAGGAGTTCGCAATTTTATCAATAAAGTCAATATAAATCACTCGATTGACCAAACCATGAGTTTTGCATTAGCATAGCGAACAGGAATGCAACATGTTTTAGGATAATTCAACCAGTTTGCTTTTACCCAACGTTGATTCAATGTAACTCGTCAGCATTCATATCAAACAACATTTCTCTACTTAAATTTGCTTTCTAACCCTTTTCGAATGCAGTCAATACCCACTTTCTTCGATTTCGCGTAAACATTAGTTTTACTGAGAAGCCATTGCATGACGTCATATCAAACCTGAACCTGACAGGGTATATAGAGAAAACAACGGGACTGGAGGTTCACTTCTCGAGATCGAGAACTTCGGGAGATCAGTGTTTGAGCCATTGAGAGTCACCTGTACATAGGAAAAAATCTTTTTAAAAAATCTGCTCAACAACAGCAAAGCCGTGTTATATTGATATGGAAGCATCCTCAGGTAGTTTAAAATTCAAGCCCCCCCCCCCCCCCCCTCCCCCCAATCAAAATTCATACACTTCTACATATTGGTAAAATCTATTCAAATGTGTCAACTGTGTCATATTTTCTGACCTTGATCTTTCCTATGACTACACCACTATTCCTCACTTTGCTTTAATCTAGATTCAAAGAAACGGTTCATTAACAAGACGTTTTCATCAAATGTCATACAATGCAGTCTTCGTCAAGTCTTTTTTTCAGCACATGCCCTTTGGGCAGGTGTTTTCACTAATTATACAGTAGTGTACTAGCCCAAACAAATATTTACATGCTTAGAATTTTATCAAATAATTTTATATATTGTCATTAAGTCTTTTTTTCAGCACATGCCCTTTGGGCAGGTGTTTCCACTAATTATACAGTAGTGTACTAGCCCAAACAAATATTTACATGCTTAGAATTTTATCAAATAATTTTATTCTTATTTGCCTTTTCATCTCAAGGAAATCGATTTTTTTCTAGACCATATATTGTCACCTCATTGTTTTCAACCTGTACACATTTTGTGTCTTCCATGTGAAAGAGTTTCTTGGAAATCACAGAAGAATAACCTGTTGTTAAAATTTCATTTATGCTTCGCTTTGGATTCATGTATAAATCAAATAAATATTGTGATTTAATTGATACATGTATGTTAGTCATAAATAAAAAATTAAACATCTGATGATTAGAATGACTTGAACACATGAATCAAAAGTGAAAGTACGTTGTTATAAACAATATAGTTGACAGGGGATTGTTTCCTACTAAAGTACCATCAGATTTATTAAAAAACCGAGATATCCCCTGTTTGATGTAATATTTTATGTAGAAAAATGAATAGAATAATTATAGGATACATATGCAGTGTAGCAGAGTGCTAGTTGAAAAAAATAATGCTTAGCATATACAGAGATGTAAATCCAAAATTAAGACATGCTGCCAGTTGCCAAGGAAATTTAGCTGAAAAGCAGTTAGGCTAAGAAAAAGGTCTGTGTCTCAGAGGGAAGGAGAATGGGACCAGATCAATTGGTGAATTTTTATTAGGGCATGCATTAATGTAGTAAATGTACAGAATGCTGGGAGTTTCATCCCCCTCGCTGGTATGTATGGGTGCGGATGAGGCCCAAATCTTGGAAAAACAAGTGAAAATTTGGGGAGGCCCCAAAGTTCATTTTCAGTACATATGCACTGTAATATGTAGAAATACATGCTATACGTTGACATATGTTTTGAACTTTGGGTGTATGAAGTGCAATTATTAGTCCCCCCAAAACTGTCCCTACATATCTGTTTTTATTGACCTCATCTGTATGCCTATCCCTCGGCATATGTTGGGCATTAAAGAAAACTGTCCCCTGCAACCATGGAGGTTTAAGCCTCCAAATATACATGTCCTTCAGGCTTGTAAGTATTTAATTTCCTCATCCTCATTTCCAACTCTTTTAGGTCCTGAGCACCAGACTCCCATGATTTGTCAAAGACTGCAATGATACAAATTGATAAGAGTTACTCAACTGTGTCAAAATTTTCTGACTTTGATCTGTATCATGTGTGAAAACAAGGTACATTTTACAGGTGTGAATGTGTATTTGAACACAGATGCAACTCACCTTGACAGCCAGGAGAAAATACGGACAAAGAAGTATGCCAGAATCATCTTCAATTTCCCACATGCTGGGGGCAAGTCAAATCACAAGAAAAATCGCAAGCTATTGAAAGATTTCTTCTGCAGGTATGCTATGTGCTCGTTATTCTTGATTTGTATTTAAAACATTCTTTTAATATCATCTTCTGTGAGCATATTTTTTTTGATAGAACACATTGATTTTATATCTAGTTTTGAATTTTGATGTATCTTTTAAATTTTGCTGTGATGCACATTTCTCTGTAATTAAAATATGAAGTCAGAATATGAGACTTTCATGGTATGTACTTTTCACTCTAACTGATGGGAAAAAATGAGGCACACTTCTTGAATTATATTCAAATTAAAAGAGTCAAAAGAAATGCAATGATTTTTCCAGTTACAGGAAAAAATTCATTTTCTAGTGCTGTTGACATGTTGGATGATGGCGGTGAGATTTATGTCACTCTTTGTAAAGGACAGGGTGGGACTCCAGCAGATCAGCCCCGCAGAAAATGGCATGACAGTTGGCAGGTCGTTGCTATGGCAGCATGTGCTAATTTAGTCCTAAAAGAAGTTGTTCCTTTTGTTGCTGAGAAACTTTCTGAATACACATCTACAGGTTTTAGGTATTTATTTTAGTATAACTTGTTTACACTTAATGGATTGGACAACTGACAAAAATACCTATGTAAGCCATTTCTGTAAAGTGTTCAAAAAAATGTGTCAAGAGCAATTTCCATGGTTAAAAATTTTTGAACTTTGATTATTCAAAACTGTCCATTTCCAAAGTTCACACTTCCATTTGATTTGCAAAATAATGTGAAAGGTTTGGAATAGAATACTATGGGATTAATTTTTTGGTGATTGGACTGAACAAGTAGACAGCTATAGAAATTACCTATTATACATTTCAATTCAACTGATTTCTTAGTTTGCAGATGTACAATATTACAGTTCATTGAATTAACATGTACATATAAATGTACATACATGTACCTACATGTATTTGTGTACAGGAGTCAAGACAAGGGATTTAATACAGATGGAGCTCTAACACATATCTTTGTTCGGACTGAACCTATAGTCATCCCAGGGGGTCACATAAAAGAGCACCACAGAATAACCTGTCCTTGTAATAGCTATCTACAACAAAAAACATTCAGGTAATTTAGTTTTAAACTCAACAATTGCATACTGTAATAAATTATACATGTATTAGTACAGTAAAACACACTTATAACGAAGTGCCAGGGATGGAAGATGTTGCTTCATCATAAAAGTAATTCATTATATCTGTTAAGTTCATTATATTTTAAAGCCATGGGGAATGAAAATCACTTCACTATAAGTGTCTATTCATTATAAGTGAATTCGCTATAAACATGTTTTGCTGTATGTACATGTATCGGTAATAATGTCTTTTGGTACTCAAAAGTTTTTTAGGGCCTACAGTATGCAAGAAATGTTTAAAATTATGACAAATAATTGCTTCTCTTTGATGTATGTTAAATTAGCAATTTTAAAAATGAACTACCAAAAACTTAACTGGCCATTAATTTTTAATTAGACAACTGCACGAAGAAGATGGAAATCCATTGTGTTATCTTTCTCAAAAATTAGAAGTAGAGCTAAACAAGAAGCTAAACTTCTGGTCTGTTGAGATTACCCAGGATTGCACTTTAAAGAACACCTCTTCCTGCCAATGCAAGGCTCCTGAAAACTCTGAAGAAGAAGCAAAATTTTCAACATTAGGGGCACCACAATGGAATCATCATCAAAGTTTTCCTGAGGAATTACTAGTGGGTCACCCAGCCTTAGGTACCCTCCAAAGAATTGTGAATGTTCCCGTTACACTGGAGGGTCTCCCAGTAATGCATTTTATGATTGGATGTGTTCCTTCACTTAGTGATTCAATGCAAATTGAACAAATCTTAGAAAATGTAAATAAAATTTTCAGTGATATTTCAAAAGGATCATGCAAACTTGAAGTAGCAGGTACTCAGATTCATCTAAAAATGGAATGTATAGATGAAAAAATCTCTCATGAAATAGGACATGTGTTTTCTTATACAAAAGGTAACAAAACATTTGACATTTTTTCTTTGAATCTGGACAAATTAGCTGTGCCATTGTTTCAGTTGCCAAACATCCGATTACTGTGGTCACAAGACAGTCAAGTTGTTGAGGGTTATCAGAAGATGTTGAAGTCTGACCCCCCACTACTTCTCCCAACCATAAGTTTGTACCCTCTTGTTTTCTCCCATGATATCAGTTTCTGGGAGAACACTCAAATTCCATTCAATGAACCTGATTTTTTATCAGTGATTAGGGAAGTTTGTGGAGATCTCGTTGTATGTGTAGAACTCCTGGACAGATTCCACAGCGTAGAGCTGAACAAAGTTAGCAGGTGCTACCGCCTTCAGTTCCAGGCTTTTGATAAAGCCCTGAGTTACGATACTTCCTGGAAGCTCCAGAGCCACCTTAGACTGTGTGTAGCTAGTGTAATGAAGGTGGAACTCCGCTAGATTCTTACTGAAGTGTACAATGACCATGAGTATTAAACCATGGGAAAAAAATTTACTTGTATAAAGCAGTGAGGTTGTTGCAGATTTAAAGAATTAAGTACGGTTGAGACATTAATGTAAAACTCTTATTATAATATAAATACAAACACACATGAAATGAATACTTGTTGTATTTGTTACAAAGTTCAAAGATAATATCAACCGTATGTAGATGAAATTACATACATGTAATTACATAGAGTACACGTGAATATCAAAGGTATTTTGGATGTCTTTAGCAATTAAATATATTGTGTTTTAATGTATATCTATGTATTATGTATTGGGCACAAAATATAAAGTAAACTAGTTGGGAATCAATACAAATGTTTATGTATGTTATACATGTGAATACCTTATTGTTGTGAGGAAGAAGTTTGTTTGATATCAAAGGAAAACAGCAGCCCTCTAGAGGAGCAGTAGGAAATGCATCTTAACAGGTTATTTTTAGCTCACCAGAGCCAAAGGCTCAAGTGAGCTTTTCCGGTTGAAATCTGTAACTATGTTATCTGTCATTGTAAACTTTTCATATTTTCTTCAGCTTCTCCAGAACCACTGGGGCCAATTTCATCCAAACTTGCCTCGAAGCATCCTTGGGTGAAGGGAAGTCACACTTTCAAAAGGAGATAATTAAGAGTGAAAATTTAATGGCATCTTTAAAAATCTTCTCAAGAACCACTGGGCCAGAAAAGATAAAACTTAAGTGAAAGCTTCATTACATACACTAGACAAAATTGCTAACGCACCACCTAAATAAAGTAACATTTTTCTTTTCAAAACTTGTTTATGATGTTTTTGATACATGTATATAATTATGTTACTTTAATAAAAAATGAGACATTTAAATGCTTTAACTGATAAATAACAACAATGTTTACTGAAGCGTGACCACTTCATAGAAAAAATTAAAATCATATCCATACTTTTTTGGTGGAATAAATTTCTAATTTTTTCTTTTTGGTTGTGTTCTTTATCTTTGTACTAATTAAAAACTAAAAAAAAAAGTTACACCGTAATCTGCGTTTGACTCTAGAAAAGCGTGCTAAGGCAGCCAGTATGGTGTCTGCAGGGGGATCCTTTGAAGAAATTTGTGAAAAATTAAAAGAATTAAATGATTATGAATTTCTCTGTTGAAAAATTGTTGAAAATGAATTGACCATCATAAATATGTTTACAAAAGATATCGACGGCATTAAGTGAGCACCATACAATAATTTCAAGATTGTTCCACAAAATTGGGGCAACCGGAAGTTGGGTGGATTTGGTAGGGACACCAAGGCACTGGATGACTACTAAGCGATATGGTAGTCAATTAGGGTATATCATTTGATTTTTAAGTGGGAGACTGCTTCCGTAGCAACGTCACGGACCACCATCGGTAATCACCAACTTCATAGCTTGGCAAAACAGTGCGCAGTGCACGTCGGGAAATTGATTTTCGGACAAGAAGGTCCTTTAAGGGTCTTGACATGACACCAAGGCATTTGTCAATCGAACTGTTTTGGAAAAGATGGCATATCTTATATACTAGTACCAATCAGGAAAATGATCAATTCACGAATAAGAATAATAAGTGGTGCGTTAGCAATTTTGTCTAGTGTAGTGTAGTTCAAGTTTGTTTAAATCATGATCCCTGAGGTTGAATGGGGCCACACAATGACAATGGGAGATCAAAGTTTTACACAGGAATATACATGTATGGGAAAAGTCTTCTCAAAAACAACAAAGCCATGATAAGCCATATCTACAGTGGATAAGGCAGCATCTTCAGGTAGTGTAGATTCAAGTTTGTTCAAATGAAGTATTTATAAGGTTGAAATTGCATATGCAGGTATTTTACCAGAAAATTCAGGCCAAATTTGAATTTGGGCATGGTCCGATGATTTTTGACAGAGTTATCCCATTGCTTTTTGTTGACTGATTTCAATTGTGCTTCAGTGTTGCAGTGCATACATTAGAATAGATAAAGAGGTAATCACAATTTTTATCTTGATGTGATTTCTAAATCAAGTAGGTATTTAGACATACTTTTTATACCATTACTCTATTAGGCTTACATGGACTAAGCCTTCCATGATACAATAAAACAAAGAAACTGGGGGGATAAGCCGAGCCATATGCCTACATAACAATCGATAAAAAATCAGTAAATTCATTTTTAAAAAAATTCACTTTTTGTTGAATTGATGTAATGCTTATTACCATTTGCATACAAATTTGACAAAACCTGAATACTGTTACAGCGAAAATGATTCTGATTAACACAACAAAAATGGCATCACGCTCAATTTTCACAAAAACTGATATAAATTGGATGATATAACTACATTTTTTAAATAGAGTGGGTCATCGTACCATTTTTTTGAGAACGATTAATGAAAGGCAATGGAAAGATGTTGCTTTTTACACTTGCAAAAATTTGGTACGAAGACCCACTCTACATAAAAAATTAAGTTAACTTACTTAAATTTTCACCGTGGTCTTAAAAAATTCTAAGTCCAAATACGCTTGCTAAATAGAGAGAACTGTATGCTATTTAAATGGGTTTGTATGTGTGACTCCGTGGTATAGTGGTTAGCGAGGAGCTCTTTAAAGGGACGTTTATTGAGGAAAGTGTTCGAGTCATGATTTTTTAATTTTTTATTTTTTGGGGAGGGGGTTAATTTTGTTTTACTTTATAAAAAAATGTCTATAGGAATAACATATTTTTTCAATGGAAATAATATATATATATATATATGTAGTAATGAACTCATTTACAGTAAATTATTTAGAATGCCGGATAAAAATTATAATAGATATTTGAATACTTTTATTCCCGTTTTTATTTATTTTTACTACAAACGCTTCTAGATCACCACTATCATTGTATACAATGTCAACATTTTTATAATATCTCCACAATAAGTGTTAACACTCAATATGCAGATTAATTCATAGAAGTCCCTACCCATGTTATACACTTGTGACAGTAAATGAAAGTCAACTGTTTAGCTTGTTTAGAATATAAATATCATTTTGAGAACTACTGTAAACATTAAAATGCTTAAGTAAATTCAAACAATTGAGAGATTTTTTCCAATAAACGTTCTTGCATAGCCGAAAAATGGGCATGGGCACATGGCTCGTCTTATTCCCCCTGATTCTTTACAGCCAGCCCACAGAACGCCAATACCTGCTTAAGAAACTGTATTTTGTATCTAGGAAGTATAGAACTGACTGAACAAATTATGACTGTCTTGAGCATTTTATTCTTCCCATGTTTTACTTTTACTGGGAATAATTAAAAATTTTTAATACATGTATTTTTTTATTGGTTAACTAACATCACTAACTGTGTAACATGAATATTGTAAGTTAATACATCACAAATTGAACTTATTGGCATAATGATAAAAAAATCAGCACCCTAACAACAGTTTTTTTTTTAATCCTCTCTCTAAAAGAAATACTACCTATTTGAGTTAAGATGGACATATTCAATGATATATTCTGGATAACACTGAGTACTGTCAAATATCACAAATATACTGGGTTTTTGTGGAGTGTTAACACATGAATTGAATGGTCTCCCTTTGGGATCGGCAGGATCTTCTGGTGGTTTTCTCATTCCAGGTCTTCCCTGCCCTGGTCGTCCAACTAAAACACGGGCCACAAACATGTACTTGTGTCTCACTCTCAGTATCTGTTTGATATCAGAGGTCACTTTAGGGATTTCTTGAGCTGCAGAGGACTTGGAATCACTAGAAGTTTGGACAGTCTGGCTTGTGCCAAAGGGAGTTCCGTAAGTGATTGTGCCAAAGCCAGTCTGGCCTCCTATTCCACTGAGTGCAGTTTGGGTTTGAGGAATTCCGCTGACACCAGTAGGGGCACCTAAAGAGGGTTGCTGTCCACCTGTTCCTTGTAACATGACAAAAGGTATAGTACCAGCTCCAGTTGAATGTTGCCATGCAGCGAGAGTGAAGTGAGCTGGAGGAGGAGGAGGTCCAAAACCAGAACTGAAACTGAATCCTGATGGTTGATAAGGGTTACCTAGCTGACCAGTGTAATGTTGGCAGTATCCGTCTGAGTACTGTGCATTTTTAGCAAAATATGTTCCTGAAAATGCAAGGAAGACTAGGTTTTTGAAATCAAAATCTCATTTAATTTCTCTTAATGACCTAAAGTTTGTGCATGGAAACTTTATTTACTTTAAAAACAGGGATCGACATTAACGGTTGTCCGATTGCCCGGGACAAGTAAATTCTCAGTTCGGGCAAGTGAAACTGTCAACTTACTTGTCCGATCGGGCTTGCCAAGTGAATTTTTCTGATAGAAATGTATATTGGTATCTATTTTACATTAATTATAAATAAAACAATAGATTGAACACTTGATTTCCACCAGATACGTGACTGACATTGCTCCCTTGGATTTCTAGATTATATCATTCATTAAAAATCGGGTTCGTTATTCTTTTTTATTTCATGTTAAATACCCTCTACGTACTTTGTTAACTACTTAATTCATTCACACTGGCAGAATATAACATGACCTATCCTGATCAAGATATGTATGTTTCATAGCAACTATCTACCTTAGCGTTGCATCAATCAAAATTCACAAAACAAAACGATCCTACCCAAAATGATTTTTTATTAAAAAGGAAATGGATGGTTGTTGATGCATTGCAGTGTGTGTTTACAGATTAAATCGACAAGGAAAGTGGTAGTATACATTTATGTCCAAACGTACCATCTAAATTTTTTCTGGTACCTCAACTTGCCAGATTTATAGTAGTGTATCTGTTCAGACTTTTTCTTATCATAATATTTACAGCAATAAATTATTTTCCTATTTGGGCAACCAAGTTTTGCATTCGGACAAGTCAAAATTTGAGATCACTTGCCCGAAGGGCAAGTGAATCTGAAAGTTAACGTCTATCACTGAAAAATGCTGAATTATCTTTTTTGTATTTGAAATGACTGTTCACTTTAAAAATCAGCATCTTACCCTGTCCAAAGGCCACCCCATTTTCACCACACATTCTCCAGTCCAGCCCATATCTACATATGGCTTCTATAGCCTCACACTTTGTGCCATGAAATAACTGCTGCTCATTTACCAAATTTTGACCAAACTCCTCTGAAATATGCTTTCTTGCCCTACAAGAATAGAAACCTTTTGCAACATATAAGCATTTTAAAGTAAAACTTTTTTTTTATAAGGAACTGGGTCATTTGAGTGACTCATTGATAACTGACTGTTTTTTATGCATTACTGATTGATGTGTGAAGTGCATAAACTTTTGGACATAGTCGGCTTCTTCTCTGAAATGGTTGAACCAATTTCAATCAAATTAATACATATATACAGGGCTCTAATTAGCGACTAATTTAGTTGCCATGGTGCCTAAAATTTTTGATTGACGCCTAGAATTTCTCTGTAAGTCCACAAATTGGCAACCATTTATATTGCCTTGGCGACTGTCAAATTCCAGAACTACAATATAAACATTTTTAACATTTTTAGCTCTACTGGTCAGAGACCAGAAGAGCTTATGCGATAGTAAGGTGTCCGTCGTCTGTCCGTCTTTCTAGCTGTCTGTCCGTCGGTCTGTAAACAATTTTTCAAAATGCTACTCCTCTTACAGTTTTGATCTGATTTCAATATAACTTGGCACACAAGTAGACTACACTAAGATACATAATTCTATGTCTCGGTTTTTGATTTCGATGAACCCTGTTGCCATGGTTAGTAAAATAGAAATTCCTGTGAAAAACATTCAAAATGCTTCTCCTCCTACAGTTTTGATCTGATTTCAATATAACTTGGCACACAAGTAGACTAATACTAAGATGCATAATTCTGTGTATCGGTTTTTGATTTCGATGAAATGGTGTTGCCATGGTTACTAGAAATAGAATTTTTTTGTGAAATACTTTCAAAATGCTACTCCTCCTACAGTTTTGATCTGATTTCAATATAAATTGGCACACAAGTAGACTATACTAAGATGCATAATTCTGTGTATCGGTTTTTGATTTCGATGAACGGTGTTGCCATGGTTACTAAAAATAGAAATTTCTATGAAATACTTTCAAAATGCTACTCCTCCTACAGTTTTGATCTGATTTCAATATAACTTGGCACACAAGTAGACTACACTAAGATACATAATTCTTTACATTGATTTTCTGATTTCGATGAACATTGTTGCCATGGTTACTAAAAATAGAAATTTCCTTGAAATACCTTCAAAATGCTACCCCTACAGTTTTGGTCTGATTTTAGTATTACTTGGCACACAAGTAAACTACACTAAGATACATAATTCTCTGTACCAGTTTCAGATTTCGATGAACAGTGTTGCCATGGTTACTAAAAATAGAAATTTTCTTGAAATACTTTCAAAACGCTACTCCTCCAACACTTTTTGTCTGATTTCAGTATAATGTGGCATACAAGTAGACTACAGAGATACATAATTGGTGTTATTGTTTTTTGATTTTGTTGAATGATGTTGCCATGGTTACTTAAATCAAAATTTCTGTAAAATTGTTTTAAAAGGCTACTCCTCCTACAGTTTTAGTCTGATATAATAATAAATCTTGCCACAAAAGAGACTAAACCAAGGATCATTATTCTATTTATTGCTGTTGCAAAGTTTCAAGTCCAAGTGCTACTTTTATCTTCCTTTATAAATACAACCAGTAGAGCTACAGTCTCGTCAGAGACTTCTGGTTTTCTGAAGAAGTGAAAAGAAGTTAAACGTTAGCAATGGACATGTCTTGTGTTTTCTTTGTCACCTTGTTTGTTTTTATAGTCACAAGTGCAAACAAAATTTCACATCGCGTCAGTGCACAAAGAGCTCCACATAGACAAAATAAGACAATAGCTGCCCCAGGTAATTCTTGTTGGATTCAAAAAATTGACAATTGTGAAAAACGATGCTAAATTGGACTGAGGGTGTGGTCAATTGTTTGTCAATTAAATTCTCAATCATTAGAGGTATTGTCTAGATATTAATGTTAGGTCGTAATTGTACAAACGAGTATAAAATATAAATTGTATAAACAATCCTTGATGTTATTTTAGTTTCATATGCGGACTCTGGACACTCAGTTCAGATGATAGAGTTTTAGATATGCATGCTTAAGTTAAAACCTCTTGACATTTTCTTCTTGATTTTTTTAAGATTGAAATTGCCCCCCCCCCCCCCCCCCCCCCCCCCCCCCCCCCCGTTCTGTATATTGACTAATATGAGCTTTTAAAGTTGGTGCCTAAAAAAATTGGCCTGGTGACTAAAAATTTGTATTGGTGACTAGATTTTTTTTGATCTGGAACCAGCTGGTGCCTAAATTTTAGAGATCACTTAGAGGCCTGGATATAGCATTTATGGATGAAGAGGAACTAAAATTATGACTTTTATACATATCCCCCCTCTCACTTTCCAACTTTCCAGTTATTATGTTCATATAGATATTCATTTACAAGTAGTTCTTCCTTATACTGAATAACTAGAGTGTTCCAAGGAATGCATGTGTCACCTGCTTTGTAGCTTCATTAAAGATGTAAATAATCGAAGTGTAGTTAGCTATTTATTTCCTACTAGCATAATATTTCATGCAGAAATACGGTAAGCATCCACGCATAGTATATGACTGCAATAGAAATCTGACAATCAAAGAAAATATGATTCCCAACCCTCAAATGAAAAATTAAATTGAAATTATTATAAATGATTATTTATCATTTTACATGTATAATACATGTTTCAAAGTCTTTACTCCAATATTATCAGTCTACATGATCCATTGTAAGATACCGATCCCAATATATTTGCATAGTATTTAAATATCAGTTTGTGTGGTATCTAATATCATACAGCTTCAAAGTATGGTATCATGAGCTCATAAACATGTATAAATGCTAATTATCAACACATTATCTCTCAAAATTCAAAAGACTAAGTTAAATTAAATTGTCCGGGGTATTTTTTGCAAAGAAGGTCAAAGGTCAAGGTCAAGTGAATTGTAACGCTGGTATTTTTCATAATCTTTTATGACAATCAGTGCACATGCTAAATAGCATAGCCTTATCTCTTAAATGTCAAAAATATGCTGTATATTGGCACTATTAACTTTTTTGTAAAGTATGTCCAAGGTCAAGGGTCATAAGGTCAGTAACCATGGCAATTCACAAAAGCCATAGTGCCAAGCAATATATGTGCAAAATATCATGTTCATATCTCTTACAGTTCTTGAGATACAAGGTGTGACAGGTGGACAGACAGACAGACGCTGGGTAAAGTGATCCCTAAGTGCCGCTCTGCTCTGCAGGTGACACAAAAATTCACCTTATACGTGTACTTACAGACTGAATTTTTGCCACAGCCTTGGATTTTGAACTCTGTGTATGGATATTGGAAGAATGTGACGCATGGATGAACAGAATAAATCTTTAATCAGAGTAAACTCCCTTCCATCTCTATCTAACTCAACTAGGATAAAATCCTAAAATTTCAAAACAAATTGTCACTAAAACTGTACATATATAGTAAATATTTAAAAATAAACCTCCATTTTTTTAGACCATGTGACTGATGATGAATTTATACGAGTCTAAAAAAGTAATTTAACATGTAGTTTGCAGGAAGTAAAACACGATTAATATGTACTGAAACACTGAATAAAAGTTTGTAAATATGTGACCATTACAATATACATTCTCATCCTGACATAAACATTAAAAATTTAAGTTAATAGAATCACATTTATAAGTAAGCTAGAAGTTAAATGTATTTAAAACATCCTCAGTTATTATTCTATGACTATTTTGAACTTCACAAACTTTGAAGTGTCCATAAAATAAAACCAACCTGCTGTTCGTCTGGCATTGGGTGCCAGTATCTGGGTAGTTCTAGGTGTTCTTTACTTTCTTCTGACAAACTCATGAAAGCAGTGCAAGATTTATGGTCTTTCTCGTTCCATAACTTCTTACAGTATTTACAGCTTAACTGTTGGAAAGAAATTAAAGAAATTTTTGAGCAGGTAAATTACTGTAGATTCCTTATTTTACGTGAGTACTTAATATCGCGAAATGGCCCTTAGACGTCAAATCACGAGAACAATAAATCGTGAGTGGACTGTTGATCTAGAGGTTTTACGTGGATTACAATGCCATAAAAATAAAAGCGAGTAATTTAATTCCGCGAGTGTTGCTTCTCGCGTAATTACGTGATAATTAATTCCTTGCGTACATTTGGGAATCTACAGTATTTTAATGGTTACGATATATAGCTAAAACATTAAGTTAACACACTTCCCAGTATTTGTTTGTTTTGATTGTCTTTAGGGAATTTTTCTTTTATGAAATTGGGAAAAACACACACTTCTTACCACTGGGAATGGGGCAAAATACAGGCCCCCTATGACCCCTAAAAAAACCCCTAAAATTGTTTACAAGTGTGAAGGTTGAAAATAATGCAGGGTAAAAACAAGCCTGTATATAGTAGAAAGTGGTGTCCACAACATTGCTTATTAATGTACTTTTGGTCTTATTACTACATGTACAAGATACAAGATACAAGATTTATTAGTCCAATTTGGGCCCCCGGAGGAGCAAAAAAGATTTACAAACATGAAACAAAGAAGGAGGAAGATCCAAATGATAGAACAAACATGATCTTAAATATAATGAGCAGTGCTTAATTGTATAATCATAGATAAATGCATCTACAAGAGATATATACGAGTATACATATTGTAATATAATAATAATATATAGTCAAGTAGCTGGAAAGATACATATATGCATATCAAAGAACAGAAGAGATGATATATAGCCATTCCTACATGTATATACATCCCCAAATATATTTAAATTTTTCAGTTAAGGTAGATTATCCAGGAATCTAGCAAGAGATCTTAGGATCTCAGGGTCTTCATTAGTCATGAGCCAAAGAAATTGATTATCATATGATAGGGACTGAAAATTTTTACATTTATTATTACAAATATTTATGAGTTCAAGTCTTTGTACACTAAAATGAGGACATACAAGGAGAAAATGAATTTCATCCTGAATCACAAAGGGAACAAAATCGTTCATCTTTAGGTATTTTTTGATATCGTCCAATTTCAATTTCAATTTCCTCTAGAAATCCTCTAAATATCGCGAAATGGCCCTTAGACGTCAAATCACGAGAACAATAAATCCTCTAGAAACCTTAGATGAGAATTTTTGAAATTTAAACCAGTGAACTTACTTTTACACAATCTGGGTTGGGGCATAAAAATTTCTTTAATCCATGGTCAACAGCAACAGGAAACTCGCAAAATGGACAGCTGAGCGGTAGAAATAAACAAGAAAATGCTAATTACACTGAACTGAGTAAAGAAATACATGAACACTGATTTTTGCATATCCATTTACATTTCTTAATATGAATCTGTATGTAGCACTAATAATGGGCATACTTGTGTCAACCTTTTACATGTGTATATGCACATACACATTTATCGATACTAAACTTGGTAAAACCAGTCATGATGTATAAACATACATTACATGAACTCATTACTATGGAACCTTAAAGTGTACATGTACAGGAATACCTGTGTAGTGTACATGTTAAACATATCACTGAACAGGCCTCAAGTGCATGTACAAATGGACAGGTATAAAGTAGATGTACTTTTTATTATTGCTTTGTACATGGTCACCAATTTTGGGTGGAAATTTGTCACGATAACTTAAGGTATGTCACTCGTGAAATTAGCTATATCAAGGATTTTTTGAGAAGTATATTTTAAATAAATACTCATATAGCATGACTCAAAATCGCAAAGAAAATGGGGGGTCAGTGTGCATCCTACCGAGCTAGGGTACAATTAAGTTGACCTTTTTGCACTTAAATTGTAACTCTTTGGTCAATCTTTATCATATTTTATCAGATGTAATTTTGGCTATAAATATAATCTTACTTTACGTAAAATAATTTAAATGATATTTATCATTGAACAAATCATGCAAATTAATGTGCATAAATTATGGTGTGACCTTTTTGCACTAAAAAAGTATTCTATTTGGGATATAAAATATCTAAATAGGCAATAAAATATTTTCTTGTATCAAACTTTTTATGACTTAAATGCTGATCAGTTGCCAATGGAAGTATAGTGTTGTTTAAAAACATAGGTAATCAGAGATTACAGAGCTCACTTCAACGAATGTTGTCTTTAAGTAAGGCAAAGTCCCACACTAAACTAATAATCTAGGAGTGTGCATTCCTAGATGCAACATTTATGCAATTTTGGTCTGATAGGGCTTGCAGTTACTTGGGAGTGGACTTATCTGAAAACTTAAAACTAGTCACTCATTCAGAAAATGTAAGTCAAATCCAGCATCCGAAGTTTTGAGATTGTTCGTCCCTTGATGCATCATCCATGCAAGTTTGGTTCAGATAGGCCTTATAGTTACTTGGAAATGAGATCTGCTCCAAAAACTTTAATCTGGTCACTCATCCGGAAAATGTTGGTCAGATCCAGCATCTGAAGCAAGTCCAGTTGTGTGAATCCTAAGATGTATCATCCATGCAAGTTTGGTCAATATAGGGTTTATAGTTACTTGGAAATGACATCTGCTCCAAAAACTTTAACCTGGTCACTCATCCGGAAAATATAGGTCAGATTCAGCATCTGAAGCAAGTTCAGTAGTGTGCATCCTTAAATGTATCATCCATGCAAGTTTGGTCAATATAGGGCTTTTAGTTACTTGGAAATGGGATCTGCTCCAAAAACTTTAACCTGGTCACTCATCCGGAAAATATAGGTCAGATCCAGCATCCGAAGCAAGTCCAGTAGTGTGCATCCTTAAATGTATCATCCATGCAAGTTTGGTCAAAATAGGGCTTTTAGTTACTTGGAAATGAGATCTGCTCCAAAAACTTTAACCTGGTCACTCATCCGGAAGATATAGGTCAGATCCAGCATCCGAAGCAAGTCAAGTAGTGTGCATCCTTAGATGTATCATCCATGCAAGTTTGGTCAATATAGGGCTTATAGTTACTTGGAAATGAGATCTACTCCAAAAACCTTAACCTAGTCACTCATCCGGAAAATGTAGGTCAGATCCAGCATCCGAAGCAAGTTCAGTAGTGTGCATCCTTAGATGTATCATCCATGCAAGTTTGGTCAATTTAGGGCTTATAGTTACTTGGAAATGAGACCTGCTCCAAAAACTTTAACCTGCTCCAAAAACTTTAACCTGATCCAAAAACATTAACCTGGTCATTCTTTAGCTGAAATTGCAGCATCTGAAACCTTGACTGGTACAATGAAACACACTAGAAGCATCCTCCATGCATCTCTGACTAATATAGGCCATAGAAGTACTTGAAAAGAAAACTGCTCCAAAAACCTTAACCTGGGATGCCGACGCCGACACCGACGCCGACGGTATTACATAAGCTCCCCCAACTTCGTTGAGGTGAGCTAATTATGAAAGAAAAAGTTGGGGCCAGTGATGTAAATTTTGAGATATTGGTCAAAATTTGCGATTTTCAGGCAAAAAACGGTGTAAATTTTATCTTGACGTCTGCAATATATCTTTATTTCTTGGCAAAGTCTGTTGAGTGAATGTGTAAAATTTATTCTAAAAATATAAATTGAGACCTATGTTTAATATTCCTAGCATATCAAAACGGAAATTTTTCTGTAAGTAAAAATATTTGGTGCTATAGTTCCAAAATTAAATTTAACAAATGTGGAGATTTGAAGAATTTTCTTCTAAATATCCTTCCACCACAAGAAATAGTCCCTCATAAATCTTGCTTCTTTATGAATTTCTGAGCAGTTTTTTCATTGAATGTTGAATAATTTGCATTGTTTAATTTAAATATGTTATAAAAATTGAAGTGTATTAAATAGTTTTGAAGTTAAGGGTACTGACTGAACTTTTCTAAAAAGCTGACGAGTGACATACCTTATGTGCATCTAAGACATACAATGGCTATCCAAGAAATCGGCATAATTTTCTGACCAAAGATCGAACAAAAATTGGGATTCTGTGGAATTATGACCCAGTGGAGAAAATGTGTTTACAGTGACAGTGCAACCCAGATAAAATATACATCTGTAAAAGCACATTTGAGTAGACATAAAATTGTGTAAGAGGCATACCTGTGCAAATCCTCCATTTTTGTAATTGACTCCATTGCCTTCTTGTTCACTTTTTCTTCCAAAAGTTCCATGATCAATGATGGTAATACTTTAGATGCTTGGCCTTCAAACAAAAATAAATCCACTCTTAAATAAATCATAAAACTCAATTTCTCTGGTAGCTTATAAAGATTATAAATACTATGAAAATGAAATGAATAACTTACTTTCAGGAATGTATGTTTCACAACCATTCGTGGGACAGGGGATCTGTGTCTAAAAACCAATCAAAAAACATTGTAGTGTCTTCAGTGCTACTATTAAAGCTATATATGGCGTATCTGAGCTAAAAAATAAAAATATGAGATTGAGTGTAGATGAACAAGATATTTGTTATTTACATTCTAATTAAAAATTTCTCCAATTTTGAACTTGAATAACCCAACGTTTCTATAGTTAAACTGACTTTAAACTGTGTCTGATATTTAAATGCGGAGTCGGTAAATAAATCGGTTATTGTTTTAAATTTCTAATATCTATGAAACGTGATTGATTTAAATTGTGTAATTTACAGGAAAGTCCTATCTTTTATAAAGTCATTAAACAAATAGAAAGATCTTTCTAATTTTAGTTAGTCTGAACTTATTAAAAATACGCCATATATGACTTTAAATTTGTGTAGATAATTCAAAACATACAATATAAACAAGTGCACAATACACCAATTTAATAAATCAATTATTCTCAGTGATTAATAGAATATAAATTGTTTAACAGTCTACCATTTACATGTACATGTATGTGGATAAACATGCAATAAAGTGAATGCATAATTATAATATAAAATGCAATTCCAAGTTTCATTTCTAATGCTGGATCTTTCAAGGTGGGTAGGTAGGTAGGTAGTTTTTTTTTTTTAGAATTATTCTGTAACCCATTGATAATTTAACAGAAATTTATTGATATTTTCATTACAAAGTATACACAGGACAGCTAAGACGTTTAATATTTATTGCTATAAAAACTTTACATCTAAAAAGCATCTTTGAGAAATGATAAACCTTAACTTAAAAAAAAAAAACCTTACGATAAGACAATCTAGATCTGTATTTCCCTGGAAACAAAAAAAAAAAAAAAAAAAAAAAATAAAATACATAAATTAAAAAAATGATTGGCTAGGGGTGATTTTGATGGCTCTTTCAGATTACGTCAAACAATTTTTTTTGTTGGCCTGGCCTGTAGTTTCCATTCTAACAAGCTGGACAGTTATTATTCCCCTACCGGTGAAACGGAGGGGACAATAGGTTTCCTCCGAGTCTGTCCCTCCGTCTGTCTGTCCGTGTGTCTGTCCCTCTGTCTGTCTGTCCCACTTGGTTTTCCGCACTTTTTTTCTAAATGCTTGCAGATATTGAGCTGATTTTTGGTATGTGACTTTACCTTGATGAGTTATAGATCAAATTTGCATTTTGTTCCGCTTCACTGATTTTTGACGGAATTATGGCATTTTCAATTTTTAATGGGAACCAGATTACACTTGCCGGTATGGGACTAGTATTGCTAATGCAATACTCTCAGAATGCTTGATTTTTATTATAGGCCTGACCTGTAGTTTCCATTTAAGAAGTTGGACAGTTATTTTGTATTGTTGTCCTGGCCTGTATTTGCCATTCTAAGAAGCTGGACAGTTATTTTTTAGCTTGTACCTCTTGATTGTCAGGGGAGATAACTTTCTTGACCTGTCTTTCAACACAAGATTTACAGACAAGATGATCATTACAGCATTGACTAAGGGATGTTGTGTCATGACTTGTGTTACATGCATCACACTTCAACTGTGAGGAAGACACCTCTACAACAGAAAATAAAATACATGTATAACTACTATATAATGGTTGTAATATCAAATTTTATCATAATACAGTGAAACTTGTTTAATGATGATGTTGTGTATTACAGAATCTTGCCTATTACAATGTCAATCTTAAGTACTTTTATATAATTTAAAATTCAATTGTTTAAAATGTTGTCCAATCAAGAATGTTTTCTAATCTGGCCAATTTCTAAGGAACCAGTGGTGTCCAAATTGGACAAGTTTTACAGTACTCCTGCTTTATGATTGGACTTGTTTGTAATGTCAAAACTTGTACTCTGTAGATTTAATGCTTGTTCAATTTTAAGTTTCATTCATCATTTAAGGAGGAGAAGGACCTTGAGCTGAAAAAATACTTGTCATTCAATTTTTTTCATATTTTGTATATTTCTAATTAAGTATGTCCCACATATCTTAAAGCAGTTATATCATTAGGTTTCTTACCTTATTTTGGAGATATTGATTGACAAATACTATGCCCTACAGTATCTAAGTGGAGTTTTAATTTTCCATGTTTCTGGGCGCATTACTCTGTCCATAATGGGATTTTTTAAGCATACATAAAAAATATCAAAGTGGACATGTATCTTTTAAAATATTTCAGTGTATAACTATAGGATTTAAAATTCGAAAAAGCAAGTTTTGTCTATCACACTGCATCTGCATAGGGAAAATTACACACTTGTTAAGACAACTTAAACAATAAAAAACATAATTTACAAAAAAGTCTATCATTCAATATTTTTTATTTCACGTTGAAATGCAAATCCTTCAAATTATTGATTAACTGTAAAAGTTTTGAGTGATGAAGCTGACCTCATTATTTCACAGGACATCGACAAAGAGGACATAAGCATGACAAAAACGTGTCATGTTACATTTCTCGAGTACGGGAAAACCAACTATGACGTCACACGTAAGCTAAATAAGCGAAATAAGATATACCTACATAAGATTTCCGTCATCAGCCATGCAAAAATAATTTTTGTGTTCCCCGTTTCTCAAAATATTTCATCATATACTGATTATGACCTGTTTTTACATAAAAATACCGCCCCTCTGTTCACCAAGTATGATCTTGCTGTACTAACAGATCGTGTATGACGTCACCAACTTGTTGGACGTGCAGTTTAGGGAAACAGAGGAGTGGATCAATGTTTTTCATAATTTGTTAATGTTTACAAGAATGTTAAAACTTATTTCTTTTATATAAGATGGTAATTAAAGTTAAAAAATTGTCAAAAATTTATACCAGAACTGGTGCTTTACGCGTTTTGCACTTAAATAAACGGAGACTATGACGTAGTTAAAAAGAGTCATGTGACCATGTGTCCTTCATCCCCTTAAGTTCATTTAGGAAAAAAAAGTTTTTTTTGACTTATGAAAATTTATTTTTAATGAGCCTTTTCAAATTCCATATTTGCCTGCAAAGCTGACAGGGTGTTTCTCGATTGTTGGAGTAAGCACTATGACATCACTGCCTGAGGAATCACTGTTGTTATCATCATAGCCCCCTGTTTCCATCATATTAACATCAGATTCACAAAGAGACACCTATAATACACACAGTACTATGAAAACATTATCTCAAGCTTCATTTCCTAATTTATTTTGCCATAATAATGTATAAGTAATTGTGATGACTACTGATTATGCTAATATACCAGTGAAGGCAATTTTCATGAGTGGTGATTCAAGTTTTATTACGGTAACCATAGTTTTTACTAAAAAATTTTGAAAAATACTAGCAACTTCATTAACTCCTGTTATTATTTTCTAATACTGATGTGAAAGCAAAATACATATATTGGTAAATCAAAGATGACAAAGCCTCGAAAACCCCTTATCCTGCCCTGTTGCAAACTTTTTCTAAAACTATACATCAAAGTCAAAAATCTGGGGAAATTCCCAATACAGTCAAACCTCATTATCTTGAAGTCAATGGGACCAAAAATTAAAATTCAAGATATCTAAGAATTTGAGATAACAAGGATAAACAAGAGGCCCATGGGCCACAACGCTCACCTGAGTAACTTTGCCGTTTTTCACTTGATTTCTCTCTCCCCCTCATTGTAGTACTTATTGTGGCCCCGCCCTACCCCCAGGGGTCATGATTTGAACAATTTAGAATCTACACTACCCCAGGATGCTTCCACAGAAGTTTCAGCTTTTCTGGCCCAGTGGTCCTTGAGAAGAAGATTTTTAAAGATTTTTACTACATATTTCAATGTAAAACTTGGATTCCCAAATGTGGCCCCGCCCTACCCCCGGGGGTCATGATTTGAACAATTTAGAATCTACACTACCCCAGGATGCTTCCATGTAAATTTCAGCTTTTCTGGCCCAGTGGTTCTTGAGAAGAAGATTTTTACAGATTTTTACTACATATTTCAATGTAAAACTTGGATTCCCTATTGTGGCCCCGCCCTACCCCCGGGGGTCATGATTTGAACAATTTAGAATCTACACTACCCAAGGATGCTTCCATATAAATTTCAGCTTTTCTGGCCCACTGGTTCTTGAGAAGAAGATTTTTTAATGACCCCACCCAATTTTTGTATTTTCTTGATTATCTCCCCTTTGAAAAGGACTTGGTCCTTCATTTTAACAATTTAAACTCCCCTTCACCCAAGGATGCTTTGTACCAAGTTTGGTTAAAATTGGCCCAGTGGTTCTTGTCAAGAACTTCTTGAGGAGAAGTGTAAAATGTGAAAAGTTTACAGACGGACGGACGACAGACAACGGGTGATCAGAAAAGCTCACTTGAGCTTTCAGCTCAGGTGAGCTAAAAATGTAGGAAAAAATTGTTGGGACTACCAACTCACTTTGACATATCCCTGGTATTCAAGATATTGGTGTTCGAGATAATGTGTATAGTTCAATATTTAATTCTGTTTGTTTTTTTTTCTCATACCTGCTCTCTTTTGATTTTCTCTGCTGGTGCCTTTCCTTTGCTGCTTGCGGCAGATGACCCTTTCTTCCAATTTTTTTTTCTAGGATGTATAATGGGCAGGTCTTCTGACTGTCCAGAAGCTGATGAACTTGATTCTGAGAAAAACCAGAAGTCTCTGATGAGACAATAGCTCTACTGGTTTGTACTTAGAACAAAGGAAAAGTAGCGCTAGGGCTTGAAACTATGCAACAGAAATAAATAGAATAATGATCCTTGGTTTATTTTCTTTAATGGCAAGATATATTGCAATCAGTAGGGATGTGTGATTTTATCGGTATACCAGTATATCATGATTTTTTATAGTGTGATATGTATCACGATACAGAGACTAAAATACCAATATCTAGTATGTAATAATAAATTCTGGAAATAATAATTTTTTTTGTTCAAATTCTTGAATTTCAATTACAGGAAATTTTACCAAAAAAATTTTGTAAAACAACAGCATCCTAGCATCCAAACATGCTTTATTAACATATATTTTTTTTGCAAAATCATGAAAATTCATTTAAAATCTTGTAAAAATTATGTGTAAAAATATCATGATATTACCGTGATATTTTTTGGAAAAACTGTGATATGTAACAATACAAAATTTTTGGCAACCCATCCCCAGCAATCAGACTAAAATTGTAGGAGAGAAGCCTTTTGCAAGTTTTACAAAAATTTCTATTTTTAGTAACCATGGCAACACCATTCATCGAAATAAAAAAAACCCAACCATATAGAGAATTATGAATCTCAGTATAGTGTACTTGCATGTCAAGTTATATTAAAATCAGCTACTGTTGGAGGAGTAGCGTTTGGAAAGAATTTCACAGAAATTTCGATTTTTAGCTACCATGGCAACACCCAAAAACCTATACATAGAATTATGTACTACATGTATCTTAGTGTAGTATACTTGTGTGCAAAGTTTTATTGAAATTAGACTAAAACTGTAGAATGTACATGTATTTCATGGAAATTTCTATTTCTTATAAAAACCATGGCAATACCGTTCATCAAAATCAAAAACCGATAGAATTATGTGTCTTAGTGTAGTATACATAGAGAATAATACATGGCAAAATCTGTATCACACCCCATATCAACCCGAGACTCCAATATCAGCCTGAGGGCCAAAGGCCAGAGGGCTGATATTGGTCGAGGGTTGATATGGGGTGTGATACAGATTTTGTCATGTATTGTTGTTTTTATTATATATTTGAAAATAGTGTCTAAAAATCTAATATAAACTTGTAAATTAATTACCATTTTTTAAATAATCGAATATGTTCTGGTTTTTTTTGAATTTCCGTTCTCATTTTTTCCCCAAAGACAATGCATTCAGTGATAAGAAATGAAATAATTATAAATTAAACAAATAATTATTTTGAATAGCATAAGATATCTGATGAAGTAAAATTACAATTTAAATAAACTTCATTAACAAATAGAAAAAGATCCAAGATACTCCAAATGAACAATGCAGAGATGTTCCGGAAAGGTGTAATAAAGGGTGTGATAAAGGGTGAAATAAAGGGTGCTGATACAGGGTGTGTAATACAGGGCGCGTGCCTGTGTTCATATCAGGGATGCAAAAATCCTGTATTATATAACAAATATATAATAATTGTGTGGTAAGTGATATTGAAATCAGACCAAAACTATAGGATGAGAAGCATTTAGAATATATTTTGCTGAAATTTCTGTTTTTAGTAACCATGGCAACACTGTTCATTGAACTCAAAAAAAAAATAGTGTAGTCTACTTGTGTACCAAATTATATTGAAATTGGACCAAAACTGTAGGAGGAGTAGCATTTTGAAATATTGTTTCCAGACAAACAGACAGACAGATGGACAACAGACACCATACTATTGTATAAGCTCCTCTGGTCTCTGACCAGGAGAGCTAAAAAAAGGTATTTCATGGACTTACAGAATGTATACTCATTACTCAATACACTTTCAAAAGTACGTACAGTACAACGGCCTTATCACTTGCCTTGTTTCAGGAGATTTGGACGAGGATTCCCCATTGCAGTTTGTACGTCTTGTGAGGATGTTTTTTCCCCCAGTGATGATGAAGAAGATGATCCCTAGTAAAATTTAATCTACATATAACTACCACGAAGAGAAAATGATCATCAACAACTGTCACAGTCACTGTTTATTGGTGTCATGTGAATTGTTTTAAATGTATTTGGTAGCGGGTATTTTGGTCATAATTAAGTCACTAAGGCTGGAGGAGGGGTGAGAATATACATGTACATATCAAAAGTGCAAAATTAAAGAATTAAGTAGAAAAATTTTTACCTGTGTTGTAAGAATATATTCAATCACTCTCTCCAAGACATCATCCCCATTTAATTGTTGTAAATCACAAAAGATTTTCTTAATCTTCTTTTCTTCAATGTCTGGAAACATTTCTCTCTGGAAAAAAAATTTGGTCTACAAATTATTTTTGATATAGAAACTACATATACACTCAGTAAGATCACAGTCACTGGAGAGTACAAACAAAACTAGTGAAAGGGCAGAAAAATGAAATGCAAACAAGGCTTTTACTTATAACTGTTTTGACCTTGATTTCTGAAGTGGAAACATGGATCAAGGTTGGTGCACATCCTTTAAACAAGGGCACCCTGTGTTAAAGCATGAGCCTGACTGGGCTAAGAAGAGAGGAAATATGCTCTGGACAATATAATTTCACACAGTGAGATGTTTTGACTTCAACCACTTTTACTAGAAACCTGAATACAGTCACTACATACCACCATACCCTTATAAATCCAATGGCACTCTCTTCATGTGTATGAGCCAGATTGGGCAAAGGGGAGAAAAAATATGCTGTGGACAAAGATTTTACACAGAGATCTTTTTGACCTTTTATGTAGAATATAGAATGTAGACCTGGATAAAGGTCAAGGCACTTTGTGGATAAAGTACATGTATGAACCAGATTGGGCAAAGGGAAGAGGAAATATGCTAAAGGTCAACAATTTTACACAGAGAGATGTTTTGACTTTGACCTTTATAGTAGATCAAGGTCAATGCACATCCTTTACCTATAAGCACTTATGCATCAAACATGAGCTAGATTGAGCTAAAGAGAAATTATACTCCCGACAAGTATTATCAAATGGACAAATGAAAAGTATGAATGGATAGACAGACAGATGATGATCACTATGCCCACAAAGTAGGGTCCTACTACTAGTAAGCCACTCTAACACTGTCTAAGTACAGAATTTGTATATAAAGCAAGCATTATGGTAAACTTACAGGGAATTACAAAATACCAATTAAAGCTGAACACTACTCATAAATAGGCACTGTCATGCAGGTATAAAAACCCTTCGATTTCGTTACACCCGATTGCACACTTGAAACTTGTGGCCGACGTGTAGTATTCCTTTCGTGGTCTAAGATTTTTTTGCGTTTATTCCTTGTTTTATGTGCATTTTCTGTTTGTAAATAATGCACTGACTTGTATATTTGATGTTACTTGTCTCCTGGCTAGGAAAAAGTGCGTAAAATTTGATAATTTCATCGGTACCGAGAACACGGCAATGGAAGATGTACGTCTTCTCGGGTTAGACCTCTACAGTGAAATACTTTGAACTGTTAAGAGGTCTGCGGCTTATATAGGGGTTGTTGGGATAGCGGAAATGAAAGGGAAAATATGGCGGACAATACCTTTTATGAGTAGTGTTCAGCTTTAAGTTTTCAATAGCTTGCTGGATAGCTCAATAGGGTATACAATTTGGTCTAACAAGTATCACAATAGGTTTGAATCTAGGTCATGAAGTTACTCAGAGGTATTATTACATTTTACAGGTAAATGTGAGTTGATTTCAATGTTGTATGAATCCACATGTAAGTGTCAATGTGTCCTGCTGTAAATTAATGCATTTGATTTAATTTCTTTAATTGCAAATGTAAGTTAATTTGCAGCATTAATGAATGACAACCCCCCTCCCTCCTTCCTTGCAAAGGGTATTGTTTAATAAGGAAGTAAGCTTTCCACTTCATTTTTCTCTCACCTTATGGATTTTAAATAAACATATAAATATAATAATATATTAAATAATTTAATAATAATATAAAGAACAAATATAACTCGTACTGAATTAATTTATGATTAACATCTCTACACCCAGCAAATTTCTTTATACCGTATCTCTCTGAAAATCTGAAATTTGAATAGGGCTTGTTTTACAAAAGAATTTGTGACTAAAACTAAGCGCTTTTGCAATTTATTTTAATCTTTACTTTGTATAAATTGTTATTTTATACTTTATATGAAAACATTAGTTAGGTAATTTTATAAAAGCAAAATAATTATTTAGTGATGAGCATGATGAGAGTTAAGAACTATCTTGTTAAAAAAATTTTTAAGACTTAATTAGTAGTAAGTTCTTTTATAAAATGGGCCCCAAGAGTTCAAATTTGCAACTGCTGGCATAGGCATAGTTTAATCCCTCCATCCTCAACCTCCCCCATATTTTCTCTTGTTTTTAATAGTTTTCAAATATTGAGTGCTGTTGCTATTGTTTATTGATAAGAATGAAACTTTTGTCCAAAAGAAAAAATTTACCCTCTAATTTGAAATTGCTTGTAGGTCATGAAAATAGATAATAATAGATTTTAATTTCAGAAGTGACAAGAATTTAGAGCAATTACCCATAGAAAGAATAGTGTGCGTAAGATTTATGCATTACTGAAAGAGCTAGCATACAATTTTATTGAAAAAAAAAATGCAATTAAGAAAAATAATGCATTTATTTACAGCAGAACACCTTGGCACATACATGTGGCTTCATCCAACATTGAAATCAACTCACATTTACCTGGAAAATGTAATGATACACCTGAGTAACTTCGTGACCTAGATTCAAACCTAATGTGATACTTGTTAGGCCTAATTGTATACCCTATTGAGCTATCCAGCAAGCTATTGAAAACTTTACCGGTATTTTGTAATTCCCTGTAAGCCTGCAGTTCTAATTACCTTACAGTTAGTGGAACCAAATATATCACCAAACTGGACAAAAATTATGATACAAAATGACTCTGATTGCCATGCATTGCAGGTGAAATAAAAGTACATACCACCACATTTAAATCTTCTTTTGAGATTGAGTACTTTTTGGATTTATCTGCCCTTGGTGAGGAACTCTTTAGTTTAGATTTTTCAGCACCACTGCTATCTTGATTAACATTTCCATCAGCTGTCCTTCTCTTTACAACCTTTTCATTCTTAACCTCCACAGGCACTTTTGGTGATAACTTAAAAATTTTAGACAAGTTACATTTGTCAAAATTTTCATCAGAAAAATCTGAGTGTCTCTTTCTTGATATGTCAGTATCCGGAATTCTAAGTTCACCACTAGTGTCTTTCACAAGGAAAGATTTCCCAGGTTGAAGCAGTGTCTCTGATTTGAAATTATAATTTTTTTCAGATTCAGAATCTGAATCATATTCCAAACCATTTTTTGTCTCTGAGGATTTGAATTTTTTTCTCTGAAGGACAGGAGAGGAAAATTCATCCTTGATGTTGTCGTAATCTTCCAGTTCTTCTTCAATAGGATTGGTAATTTTTCTTTTCAGAGGTCCCTCAGAAGGACTGGGTCTGTTACAGAATATATTGGGTTCTGAGGATCGTACACCATAGTCTGCTGTGTCACTGGATCTGGATTCATCTTGGTATAGGTCAAACTTTTGGGGGATGTCACTGAGGTCAAGGTCATCTTCCTCCTTAGACATCTCCAACAGAGTGTCTCTGAAAATAATGAAACAATTTTAAAATAAACAGACAATGATTTTACTTCAGGATGCTTTATAAATATTATGAAATTAATGGTCCCAGGGTCTTAGGTTCTGGAGTAAGGGTGGGGGCTCTACTGATCATATAGTAAAAATGTATTACCCTGGTAATTCTTTATAAAAATGTATTATCAGCAGACAATTAAGTGCATGGCTATGATGAGAAAGGGTGCCTCTTTCAAAATTGTGAAATTCATGACCCCAGGGTTCAGGTGTTAGAGAAGGTTTTTTTTATTATATAGTGAAAATGAATTAATTCTTTGAAAATTTTCTCTGTTTCTGAGTAATTAGTAAATAAACTATGTGCATGGTTATGATGAGCAAGGATGTCCCTTCCAAAATTTGTGACATTATGGTTGTCCCTAAGAATTAAAATAGCAAGGGACAATTAAAAAGTAGGAGGGGATCTAGGGTTCCACCATAAACAAGGTGATGAGGAAGAGTACCAGAGTACCCGGGGGATTGCATCATTATAGGTGGGGAAATTCCCCAGCCCTCAGGTCTTAGAGACAATCCCGAAGATAATATAATGCATATTTTCATTTCAAGCACCCTTTGACATAGAAGAAATTTATTCATTTATTACAAATTAGTAATAGAAAATATCATACATTATCATATTCATTGATTTATTCTTTTTCAACATTTCAAGAAAACAAAAAAAAACCTCACCAGACTTTACAGGTATTTTTATTATCCCCCTCCCCCCCCCCAAAGAAAAAGTACTCATGTTTTAGTTTAAATGAAAATTATTTATTAAAATTCTTTAAAATCATAGCCCAATGAATTACAACTTAAAAGTTTCTATAGAATGATAGAAAATGATTCATCATTCAATTTTGAAAAATGTCACAAGTGGGGAGGTCTACAACAGTTACCTTCCATCATGTCATTTATTTGTAATATATGCACCATCCATGGTAACTTGTTGGTAAATGATGGAACTCTTTAACAACTTAAAACTGTTAACTAAACACATTACTCTTCTTTCCATGCATAACACACAGTTCCTTCCAAACTTGAATAAGCTTTGTTAGTCCCTTTTGTTCCAGCATATTTTGCCATTGCAGTTTTTCTTTATCAGCTCTTTCTTTTTCCTTTTTTGCCATTTCTTCAAATGCCCCTTTTTGTTCCCTTGATAGATTGTTGTATAACTCTGATTGATTCTTAACTGTTACCCCTAGTTCTTTTCCCAAATCTGACGACAAGAAAAGATTCCTCGAGGTTCTTGCTCTTGTAGGTTTAATTTCAGCTAAATGATCAAGAACCATTTTCATCTCCTTTAATTCTAAAATGGGAAAAATTTCATCGATATCTTTATTTTCAATCAAAGACACCATCCATTTTGAAAGTTCTTTTAAGTATGATAATTTTTCCTGCTCTCTTATTTTTTTAGCTTCTTGATTCAGCCTTTCTTTCTCATCTTCTGTCAAAGTCTTCCATTTCTCTCGACGGATTGTAATTTTTCTGAGCCCTCCATGTTCTCTCACTTTGCCAGAAAGGGTTTGGAGATCCCCCTCTGTTAAGGTGACTAAATTAAGAACATTAAAATGTTTAAGAGAGGGTTTATTTGTCTCTTTCAAAGTTTTTGTTTTTATTTTCTTCTCCATTTTCTCTAGCACAGTTAAAAGTAGTTCATCTTTAGCTTCCAGTGGAAGATCTTCTACCAGTTTTCTGTATCTCTCCTGGTCTTTTTTAAATTTTTCTGCTTTTTCCTCATACTTTAGAAGTTCGCCGATTGCAAGTGATTTGTACTCCTCTGATAATCTTTCTCTGATTTTATCAGAGTGATCCTTTTGAACTCTTTTTATATTTTCAGCCACAAAAACATTGTACGGAGTTGGACTAGCTTTCCTCAAAATAAAAGTCTCTGGATTCATTAACAAATCATCGTCTTTCCTGTCAGAAATGCTGATGGATAACCCAAAACAAACTCTGTTAGCTCTCAGTAAATTTCCAGTACAACGTTTTGACACAATTTTGACCGCTGGTATCAGGACAGAAAACATATTTGATGACATTTGAAAACGTCATTCAACGAAAGAAAAAAGAAATGAAATCAGCGGCAATTTTTATTATGTTGACCTTGACATTGCTGGAAAAATATATTTCTTAAATTACCAATGGTAAATTAAATTTAATCATATTAAAAAAAAAACAGAAAAACGAAGAAAAAACCAAATACCTTAAAAATGAAAAAATCTTCTGCTTTTCCTTTTGGTTCCTAGTATTCCTTTAAACATCACGGTGTCATACTTGCGCTTGCTTTCGGTACGTGATGCATATAGCTTTCAAACATTTCTTTCACTCGACTTTCATAGGTGGCAGTGTAAGCTCATCTTCCTGTTTATTGGATTGGAGAAGATGTAAAGATGAAGTAAGCAGAATTTCTGCAGTTTTCTCCGTTTGACGAGCGGTAAAAGTTTGTCCTTCTTCCGAAATGGACTTTCAAAACATTCTCTCAATAGCAGCTCAAAATTCCAGCTCGAAACAGGTATTTAACATAATATTATTGTCGACATAAACATGGTTGTGTTCTGTCATATGTCAAAATATGCCTGCGATTTAATCACCACGTTGACAGATTTTTTTTTTTTTAAAATTTATATGTACAATCTTATTTTGAAGTAGAGTATTTTATTAATAACGGTGAAGAAAAAATCCTGTCAATGTCTGAATGATATCTATTACCCATATATCAAATACCCTGTGGAGAAGTTTACATAGTATCGAATATCAGTAGGAAAAGGGGGGTGTTTATGTCATAAGAAAATATTCCACAATGCTATATAATAGTAATAATATAGAAATAATATAAACTATACATATTTTTTTTTTTATACTTTTCTGTAAGATATATAAGATAGAATGTTCTATAATTAAAATGATTTTGTCTCATGGACCAAGTTTAATGATAGAATTTGCTCAGTGTGTTGGCAATGTAGGAAAATAAACAGGGGTATCACCTTACCTTACCTCACCTATCCTCTTCGTGTCCGCTGGCACATAAGGCCCCGATACACTTCTTCCACCTGTCTCTGTTTTTGGCTGCTGCCCTCACTGATGCCCAACTATTCCATCCCAGCTGTAATCTTTCTTGTTCCGTTGTTCTTCTCCAAGTTGTTTTCGGCCGGCCTACTTTCCTTTTTCCTTCTGGATGCCATGCCAGTGTGGTGGTAACAGGGGTATAGCACTCTTGTTTATGTTTTAGAATATTAATAATGATTTTGCATGACTGACATTGTTTTACAGGTTAAGAAAGTCTTTAGCACTCAACTTGCACCTCCCAAGAAAGAAAAGAAAGACAAAGAAGTAAAATCAGAGATCGTAAAAAAGCTTATTGAAGAGAAAGAGAGGGAGAAAAGAGAAGCTGAGGAGGCAAGGGAGAGGATCAAACGTAAAATAGAAGAGGCAAAGGAACGAAAGAAGAGGGAGAAAGGTTAGTTATAGAGCTGCATCAGAGTCGATATTGTGTTCATCTTCTGTGATAATGTTAAGACGTATACTTACCATGCTTACTTTAGTCATTGTTTTCAAACATGTTTGCACAATTATTGTAATATATGAAAAAAAGCTCTTCTTAAATCTTTGCTTAGGAATTCGACATACTTGTGAAAATGATGACAAACTGGATACAGCTTTATTTTTACTTTTGCTGCTTTTAGTACAACAGAACAGAACTGTAAAATTAACACCATGCATAGTCATATTACTCAAATAATAGGCAAGAACAGATATGGATAGAAAATTGTGGATTCAAAATGGAGAATGTAACTATACAAATCATATAAAACTACAAGGAAATCAAACCTGTATCAGTAGATGTGTAATATAGGTACTGATTTACATTGATTAATGATCAACAGAAAAAAAGTAATTTTTATAAGATTGACATGTTGATAATTGTAGAGCTGAAGTTAAAGAGAGAAAAAGAAGAAGAGGAGAGGAGAAGGAAAGAAGAGGAAAAGAGAAACAGATTCAAAATCCCCAAGAAAGGGGAGAGTACCACAGACAAAAATGATATTAAAAGTTCTACCTCATCTTCATCAGGTTCAACATCAACATCAATATCATCAAAGGCCAGAACAGCATCTGTGGCTGGCAAAAATGCTCTGCTAAAGAATTCAGAATCCAGAAAATCTGATGTTATAAAAAAGCACAAGCCTGATGCCAAAGTGAAAAACCATGTAGACAAAGTGTCAGATAAATTAAAAAATTCTTCAGGTAATGGTGAGGATGAGAAAATAGACCCCACAACTGTTAAACCTACAGCAATTTCCTCTCAACAAAGAAGTTCACATTTATATGACAGTATTGAAAAGAAGAAAATTAAGAATGAGACAGAAGTAGAAAGGAAACGAAGAGAGTTTGAAGAGAAACGAGCTCGACTATTGCAGCAAATAAAAGCAAAAGGTGTGGAAATTGAGAAACCAGTTGTAGTAAGAAAGACGGAGAAGTCAAAGAGCAGTAAGGACTCGGACAAAAAATCTGAAAAGAAAAGCAAAAGTGAAAAACAGTCAGAGCAAGAGAAGATCTCAGATAAATTAAATAACAAATCAAGTACAACCTCTGTGAGACAGGAACTGAGTAAGCCTTCTGTGAGTGAGAAAATCAAGGCACATAACAGTGGTAAGAAAATGCCTCCACCTATGGGTTTTAGTGACCTTCTGAAACTAGCTCAAGTCAAAGCCAGTGAGCCTGTGACAATGGAGAGTTTGAAGAAGGTGGATAAGCCAAAGAAAGAGACAGATAGGTTAATGACGAAGGAAGAGAGGGACCGATATATGGAAGAACAAGCATGTAGACAAAGGAAGACGTCCTTAATGGGAAAAGCTCAGACTTCAAGTGGAAATATAAATGACAAATCATCATCAAGTAAGAGAGAAAACAATGATGGAAATTCTAAACATTCCAAGGAGAAGAGTATCAGGGAAAGCAGAGAGGATCGTAGTTCTCCGAAACTTAAAAACTTGTTAATTAATGGAGTCAAAAGTAGTTCACCAGAAACGAGCAAAATGAATTCCACATTAAAACGGAAATCAGAGGCGTATCCAAATTCAAAACCATCATCACATATGATCTCAAAATCCTCATCATCAAGTGCTTTACACAGACCACATGATAATTCTGATGCAAAGAAAAGACGGGTGGACAGTCCGTCCATGTCAAAGGGTAGCACAGGCTCTCCAAGCTTGGGGAGACCTAACGGACAGTCATCCCACAAACCAGCTGAGAAACGGAGAGCTTATGACAGTGAGAATGAAAATGTATTAGTGTGTGGACCACCAAAACAAAAACCGGAGGCTGCATTGAATCCATTTGATCGTATTTATGGACAAATAAAGAAAAACCATCCCAAACCAGGTAAAATGTTTTGATTAGAACTATGTTAGGCTTCATTTTCTTGAACAGGTAGTGAATACTTTTGCCCTATCATTCTATCATATACTTTTGTATGGAGTACTTTTGTATCAAATATTTCAAAATTATTGACTCAAGGTATATCTAAATGGTGCAACAGATTGTCATTTCTGAAATCTGGGGTCCATTGTACTTGAAATATTGTGATTTCTATTTGTAATTGTTTCTTGCTGAGGGAACAGAAACAAAACTAGATACTACTGGAAATCTTCAGCCTCAAAACATCAGTTTTTGTGAGAACAGGGACAAGTTTATACTCAGAAACTCAATTTGATCATTTCGTTGGCCACTTCAGTAACCTGGAGGGTCTTAGATTTTGATGTAACCATGATAACTTTTTACATTTCATTTGGGTATACAGTAAATGTCATGTAATGATTTCAAGGTTCTGTCCATTCACATCAAAATGTGTCACAGGTAAAATAATTCCTGAGTTTTGAAATATTTTTTTAAAGGTAGAGAATCAGTTTTATTTATCAGATGAATAACCATGTGTAATCTTTCTGAATTTACTAGACATTTAAATATTCAAGTTGTTTTTTTTATGTTCAGTGTCCTATATTTGAGGAAAGAGGGTTTGGCCAGGCAGATTTTCTAGGACTTGATAGATGTGGAAAACAATTTGCATGCTTTTTTAAATGACTATTTGTATTTGGTAAAGTGAAAAATGAATGTTGAAATTTCATACAGGATATATAAATAGAGATTACTTATGACCTGTGTGTGTCATGACCTTGAGCCAAGGTCATTAGAGAAAGTTCAAAGGTCACTGACAGAAAACGTATAAAATTTGATAAGAACTATATTGCATGCAACAATATTTAAGAATTTGCAGTGAGGATATCATTTTATTAGCCACTCACAGTACTTCTAGTTATAAATTGTGTTTCATTAGGATGTTGTGTTTTGTATGTAGAGATGAAGAAACGTCGGATTGAGAGTGATGAGGAGGACAGTGAGTATGATGAGGAGATGGAGGGTTTCATCACAGATGAGGGCAGTGACCTGGAGGAGGACTATCCTCAGGACATGGATTACTCAAAACACATCCGCCAGATCTTTGGCTATGATCGACGGAAGTAAGTAAATTACCAGACACTTCTGACATTCTTTAAGATTTAAAAATACTATCTTGGTGAAAACAGAAAGGACTTTGTTTCCTATCCATCTGACTTTCTATCCTGGTGTCTGTCAGTGAGTTTTCTCCACATGGCTTCTCAGACTTTTTATTTAGGGGGAGGGGGTGGAATGAAATAAAATTTGATGTGTAATTCATCAAGGTAGACTAACATATCAAAAAATCCAGCTCAATATAAGCAAGTGTGTAGAAAAAATTCCAGAAATTCAAGTGGGACAGACTGACTGACAGACAGGGGAAAAACAAACAGACTGATGAGAGCTGAATGTTGAAGATGATTGCCCTAGTATTGTTAATACATTTATTAAGTAATATGTATTAATTATTTATATTTCACCCATTTGCAGATACAAGTATGAAAGTGACCGAGATATTGCCAATATGGAATCAAACTTTGCTCAGCAGATGAAAGAGGAGGCCAGAAGGTAAATAAATGTGTCATTGTCTTAAAGCTCAACAGTCATATGCCTGAAATGATATGCCTGGAATTTTATGTTACATAGTGAGGATTCACCACAGCATAAGCACAAGAAAAGAAATTGCTAGTGTCATGCACTCTAATACAGTATAAGGAAGTAATGATTACATCCCCACTTGGAAATATTAATATATTTTTAATATATTTGGGAAACAATTAAAAAATATTTCATTAGTTTGAAGATCTGTCACTTTGTTGTTGATTACAAAATCTTGTTTTACAAACATTGCGCTTAAGGGGGCCGACTGGGGTTTTCATTGTGCAATACTTTGCGCAGCATAATAAAATAAAGCGTATTTTCTCTTTTAAAGCAACTATTTCTACATAATTTATAAAAATTAACAAATTTAGGAAATTTAAGGTTAAAAATTCTAATTACGTTTTTAAATGACTGATTTTTTAAATGATTCTTTAAATGATGGGTAGAGAGTTTTCATAATAGTGTGTTTTTGACGTTATGAATAACCGAAGTTCTGTAAGAGGGGACCTGGGGTAATTAATTATGTCATAAAATAAAAAGTACAAAATAGATGCTCTTGAAATTTTAAACATAGGAAGTTGAGAATCTAACAATCATTTTTATTATTTTTTATGTAAATCTGTGGTATCTGTCATGTTTTGTAGTACATGTACTCCATAAAAAAAGGAAAATATCATGAATTTTGACATTTTGAGATGCCCCCTCTGGAAACCAGACGGTAGAATTTTGTGTTTCTTGCATAATATATACAATATAGTATTACTCATCAAATAATATAATTTGAACAAAAAGTCTATAGTAGCATTTGTAAAATTTGCTCTGAAGTGCGAAAAAATGGTATTTTTTAGGAATGACTCTAATTCTTGGCCAAATTATTCGAGTATAACCTGGTTTGGGTCAGTTTACGCTTTATAATCCGCGAAGCGGATTATAAAACAGCGTAAACTGACCCAAACCAGGTTATACTCGAATAATTTGGCCAAGAATTAGAGTCATTCCTTATAATTTAATTTTAAAATCATTAAACAACTGTGGTTGTAAAATTTCGTTGCCTTTTATTAGTTCAAATTTGCCGCTCAATAATACAACCGTAGTAACGGAAGTGATGGGAAGCGAGGGGAGGTAAAAACTGATACATAGTCCTAGCAGCCATGTTGTTTGATTACATGTTGTAAGATCCGATTTACTGTTCGAAGTAAAAGGTACATTTATTAAATCTGGAATTTTCCATGAATCCCGAGGACTAGAAATGAGATGATTGCATGGATACAGACGATTCAGCTAGTTGTCAAGGGGGTGCGTCCCCATACCAAACCAGGTTATACAGAAATAATTTGTGTTCCTTTTTGGATATTAACCAATCAGAGGCTAGAATACAAACAAAATTAAATTATTCCTATATAATCCTATAGTAAATGTACCTGTATTTTGAGATGGTCCCTAAAAATAACCAGATGGTAGATTTTCACCAAACTTGGCATGTATACTAAAGTCAATGTAAGGTTCATATGGTATAAAATTAAAAAGTTTCTCTATAGTAGCTTTCACACAATAAAACCCCAGTCTGCTCCCTTAAGTGCTTACTTGCAAAATAAATCAATATATTTATTTAATGAAATAATTGTAATGACATTTTTTCTGTTACAGACAGTGATATTGATCATGCACTTATGTTTATCAGAATAAATTCATTATAAGATTTGTTATAAGAATGCTATGAACCTATAACAAATTTAAGTTATATCAGTTTTTTTCTTTGATCCCTTGAAATTCACTGTAACCAGATTTTGCTATATACTTGTTATAACTGCATGTATATAAGTAAAACTAGTTAAAATAATGTTTAGAAAAATTTCATGTTAAGGAATAATTATTTGGTCTACTTGAATTATAATCAGTAATATTATTTTCTGACCTCAGCCTCAGTGGGATTTATAGCAACATTTGCTTTGCTTTTGTTAAGTATCGTGATGTATTTTCGGTGATATTATTTTTAGCTCTACTGGTCAGAGACCAGAAGAGCTTATGCAATAGTAAGGTGTGCGTCGTCCGTCCGTCTGTCTGTCTGTCTGTCTGTAAACAATTTTTCAAAACGCTACTCCTCCTACAGTTTTGGTTTGATTTCAATATAACTTTGCACACAAGTAGACTACACTAAGATACATTATTTAGTGCATTGGTTTTTGATTTCGATGAATGGTGTTGCCATGGTTACTAAAAATAGAAACTTCTGTGAAAATCCTTTAAAACGCTACTCCTCCTACAGTTTTGGTCTGATTTCAATATAACTTGGCACACAGGTAGACTACACTAAGATACATAATTTAGTGCATCGGTTTTTGATTTCGATGAACGGTGTTGCCATGGTTACTAAAAATAGAAATTTCTGGGAAATTTCTTTAAAACGCTACTCTTACTACAGTTTTGGTCTGATTTCAACATAACTTGGCACATTAGTAGACTACACTAAGATACATAATTTAGTGCATCAGTTTTTGATTTTGGTGAGCGATGTTGCCATGGTTACTAAAAATAGAAATTTCTGTGAAAATCCTTTAAAACGCTACTCCTCCTACAGTTTTGGTCTGATTTCAATATTACTTGGCACACAAGTAGACTACATTAAGATACATTATTCTATTTATTGCTGCGTGTTGCAAAGTTTCAAATCCAAGTGCTACTTTTTCTTTGTTATATGTACAGACCAGTAGAGCTACAGTCTCATCAGAGACTTCTGGTTTGTACCAGTCTCATAATTTTGTAATTTTGCAGTGCACGACTTGGATTGCAAGAAGACTTGGAAGACATAAGGAGGGAAGAAGAAGAATTAAAGAGGAAAATGGAGAAGAAGAAAAGATAACTTAAGAGACCTCAGATGGAATTATAATGACCAATGTTACAGAAATCAGAGAAAAGCATTTTTCATATATGTTATTTAATTCTATTTGGTTTTTGACATATAAAAAATTGTCAAAAGGGTTCATTTTTGATGCAAGCATTTGTTATTTATTGTGCTTCAGTGCCATGTAACTATCTTTGTTTTTCTGTATACCTTGTTAATACCTTTTGCTTCTGATTATCCAGAGGGATTGCAGGAAAGTCGCTTGATATGTTGTGCCTGTGATATTATGTATCTTCTTCTGTACAGTTAATGGCTTATATGAATTTGTATACAAGTTTCGGTTTACAATTTTGTTTTGTGGATTAAAAAAAAAAGATAAAAAAATAGACAAATATAATAAAGTGTATTTTAGTATTGTAGTCTTGCCCCCTCCCCCCTCAAGTTCAACATGACTACAAAGTCTTTCAACCAGATTTATACTATGTACTATTAAAAGTAAATATGTACTTACCTGACTGTGGTTTTGAAGTGGTGAAAAGTTGGTTGACAGAAATTTATTATTGCTTAATCAAGAAAACTGTTGACAAACATTTTACAAATGTATCAGTTTCCATCATTTAAATTGATGTATTCATTTTGCTGTTAAAATTCGTTGTGTAAATTCAACAGGAAAAGTTAATTTTTAGCTCACCTGAGCTGAAAGCTCAAGTGAGCTTTTCTGATCACATTTTGTCTGTAGTCCGTCTGTCCGTCTAGCTGTCTGTCTGTCCGTCTGTCTGTAAACTTTTCACATTTTCGACTTCTTCTCCAGAACCACTGGGCCAATTTCAACCAAACTTCCCACAAAGCATCCTTTGGTAAAGGAGATTCAATTTTGTTCAAATGAAGGACCACACCCTCTTTCAAGGGGAGATAATTAAGAATTAGTGAAAAATTAATAGCATCTTTTAAAAAATCTTCTTCTCAAGAACCACAGGGCCAGGAAAGATGAAACTCATGTGGAAACATCCTCAGGTAGTGTAGATTCAAGTTTGTTCAAATCATGACCCCCGGGGGTAGGGCGGGGCCACAATGGAGGATCAAAGTTTTACATAGAAATATATAGGAAAAATCCTTAAAAATCTTCTTCTCAAGAACAGCAAAGGCATGATGAGTTATATTTATATGGAAGCATTCTCAGGTAGTGTAAATTCAAGTTTGTTCAAATCATGAACCCCGGGGGTAGGGCGGGGCCACAATGGAGGATCAAAGTTTTACATAGAAATATATAGGAAAAATCTTTAAAAATCTTCTTCTCAAGAACAGCACAGCCCTGATTGGTCATATTTATATGGAAGCATCCTCAGGTAGTGTAGATTCAAGTTTAGTCAAATCATGACCCCTGGGGGTAGGGTGGGGCCACAATGGGGGATCAAAGTTTTACATAGAAATATATAGGAAAAATTTTAAAAATCTTCTCAGGAACAGCAAAGCCTTGATTGGTCATATTTATGTGGAAGCATCCTCAGGTAGTGTAGATTCTATTTTGTTCAAATCATAACCCCCAGGGGTAGGGTGGGGCCACAATGGAGGATCAAAGTCTTAAATAGAAATATATAGGAAAATATCTTCTGAAGAAGAACTGCAAAGCCATGATTAGTCATTTTGATATGGAAGCATCCTCAGGTAGTGTAGATTCAAGTTTGTTCAAATGATGACCCCTGGGGTAGGGTGGGGCCACAATGGGGGATCGAAAGTTTTACATAAGAACATACAGAAAAAAAAATTTCTTCTCAAGAACAGAAAAGCTATGTTTAGTCAGATTGATATGGAAGCATCCTCAGGTAGTGTAGATTTAAGTTTGTTCAAATCATGACCCCTGGGATAGGGAAGAGCCACAATGGGGGATCAAATTTTTACAAAGGAATATATGGGATTTTTTTTTTTAAATCTTCTCAAGTACAACAAAACCATTTGTTAAATTGACATGGAAGCATCATCAGGTAGTTTAAAATTCAACCCCCCCCCCCCCCCCCCCCCCCCCCCCCCCGGTAATCTTTTCAATACTGAACTGATTTGTGCTTTTGCTTTCGCTCAGGTGAGCGATGTGGCCCTTGGGCCTCTTGTTTCCAAAACATGACATGCTACTGAAATCTCTGTGATTTTCTTTTAAACTGCTTCTGCAAAAATTAAATTTAAACTGAAGATTTAATTATTGATTATTTTTTCCATTCCCTTCTAGTCATTTTGCTGAAAAATATACAATGCCATGCTTAATAAGATAAAAAAGATAAATTCCCAACTTTTTTCATTTATGAACTTAAAAAAGAACTGTGATAAAGGTTAATGAAGATGCATACAGAGTGAATTTGATATTTTGTCAGAATTTTTTTTAATAACTTGTGTATAAGTCTTAGAATAAAATGAGTATTAGTGTAAGGGAAGATGGTTGACATCAAAGTTTTCTACTCAGAACTATCTTTATCTATTTTTTGTCTATTGATACATTGTATATTTATATATAATAATGAAAGTACATGTATGAAGCAGTGTGACACAACAGTTAATTTAGAAAATGGATATATTTGCTGAAGAGGATATTTGTAAAAGTTAAAGTATACTAAAACATTGATGATATTAATGATTTGAAAAAAAAATTGATATCTAAATTTTCAAATATTTTTCCTTAAGATTCTTTGCAAATATAAGATTTGAATTTAATTTTTGAGAATTTATGAGGTACATGAACTACAACACTTCATGCCTGCATATTTATCATGAAGCGCTAATGTGCTTCATGAAATATGATGCCGTGAAGCGTCGTAGTTCATGCCCTCATGAAATCTCAAAAATTAAATTCCTCTCTTAAATGACACATGTATCTTTCATGAAAATATACATGCATTGTACATTAGTTAAGCTTAGTTAAAGAAAAAAAAATGAATCAAAGTGTTTGTAATGATGAAAGCTGGATCAGAGTTGACTAAAATTGTAATTTCTTTATGCATGTATAGCCCTCTCCCATTTGCCAATTCCTTTTAAACTTATACTGTAGATAGATGTTCTAAGATTTATGTAAATTAACATTTTTGTATTTATTTTAATGCTTTTTATGTTGGAGATATGGAATGAAATGTGATGAAGCAGTACTGTTTCAATAATAGACTTACTGGATAGTTCTGTTATACAGAACATATTTTTTTGTTTATTATCAATGATAATGTGCAATTACACTTTAGAATATTTTGTTCATTTTCAGAGATGAATACCCATTATACGGGCATTTATATGTACAGAATCTTCCTTCTTGCAGTAATTTTTTTTCTTCTACATGTAAATGTGTATGCATTGATTCAGATTATAAAATGGAAAGGAAGTAAATATTTGAATAAATACACTCTAAAAGCAGAGGGTGTTTTGAATGCAGTTGTTATCTTTTACAAGAACTGCAGGTTTACTAAATGCATGTACAAAGTATATGTAAATAATGCAGAGAATTTGTTCTCTTCTTTCGAGTGAAAGATATTTATAGCTTTCTGATTAAGAAGTATGTGATGGTGATTTGGGAACATTATTTTTGTCAGTATAAATTAAAACTTGAATTTATATGTTATTAATTTTCACAATACAATATTTCATTAAACCTTGAAGCTTGTAATGTCCTACATGTATATTGGGGTAATAATCGTAGGAAATCAAAGATTACAATGCTCATCTCATTGAATATTATCCAAGGCAAAATCTTTCACTAAATTGTGTTCAAGTAGAGTGCATTCCTTGTTGGCTTCATGTTTGATCTGGATAGGACTTTTAGTTACTAAGAAAAGGAACTGTTCCGAAACAAGCTGTTCAATCATCCAGAAAATGTAGGTCTGATCCAGCATCAAAGGCATGATAACATTCACAAGAATACTAATTTGTTTAGGTGTAATACAGGTTAAAAAGTAGATTTCTTAATGGTGCATACCGTACATAAAGAAAACAATAAATTATTATTTTATTTATTATGCCCCCATAATCAAAGATTTGGGGGTATATAGTGTTTGCCCTGTCCATTCGTCTGTCTGTCTGTTTGTCCGCAAAAACTTTAACATTGCCCCAAACTTCTGATTGGTTGGAGCTATGTCTTTATTTCACATGTGTATTCCTTGTGACAAGACCTTTCTTTGGGTACCATAAGATTTGACCTTGACCTATGAGTTTGACCCAGTTTTGCAAAATTTTACCCAACTTTAACCTTAGCCATAACTTTTGAACAATTGGTGCTAGGGCTTTCAATACTTCACATGTGTAATTCTTGTGACAAGACCTTCCTTTGGATACCAACAATTTTGACCCTTTGACATTGACCTAGGAGTTTGACCTACTTTTGAAAAACTTTAACCTTGACCATAACTTTTGAACAGTTGGTGCTAGGGCTTTCATACTTCACATAAGTAGGCCTAATCCTTGTGACAAGACCTTCCTATGGATACCAAAAACTTTGACCCTTTGACCTTGACCTACTTTTGGAAAACATTAACTTTGACCATAACTTCTGAACAGTTGGTGCTATGGCTTTCATACTTCACATATGTAATTCTTGTGACAAGACCTTCCTTTGGATACCAACAATTTTGACCTTGACCAAGGAGTTTGACCCAGTTTTGGAAAACTTTAACGTTGGCCATAAATTTTGAATGGTTGTTGCTAGGGCTTTCATACTTCACATATGTAATCCTTGTGACAAGACCTTCCTATGGATACCAAAGACCCTTTGACCTTGGAATTTGACCTACTTTTTGAAAACTTTAACATTGGCCATAACTTTTGAACGGTTGGTGCTAGGGCTTTCATACTTCACATATGTAATCCTTGTTACAAGACCTTCCTTTGGATACAACTTTGACCCTTTGACCTTGGAATTTGACCTACTTTTTAAAAACTTTAACATTGGCCATAACTTTTGAACGGTTGGTGCTAGGGCTTTCATACTTCACATATGTATTCCTTGTTACAAGACCTTCCTTTGGGTACAACTTTGACCCTTTGACCTTGGAGTTTGACCTACTTTTGAAAAACTTTAACCTTGGCCATAACTTTTGAATGGGTGCTAGGGCTTTCTTATTTCACACGTGTATTTCTTGTGAGAAGACCTTTCTTGGGCACCATTAAATTTGACCATTTGACCTTGATGTTTGACTTACTTTTGAAAAACTTTAACCTTCTCCATATCTATTCAATGGTTGCTGCTGGGGCTTTCATATTTTACAGGTATATTCCTCGAGATAAAACCTAACTTTGGGTACCAACATATTTTATTTGCATTTGAGAAAGTTCAACCTTCGATATAAGTTGCCATATGGGGGGCATCAGTGTTTCACAAACACATCTTGTTTTGTGTTAATTTTGTTCGGGATAGTTTAATTTTGATAGCATTGGTCCAAATATCTAAATAATTATTTTCCCTAAAATTTCGCAAATTCATTTCAATTTCTTTTTAAAATATGACCAACTAACATATGTCCTTCCTAGTTGTGACTAGTTTTATGAGGATTTTACCCATAGGTTTAAAAAATATTCACAAATAATGAGTTTATTTTCATGAATATTTTTGGTATTTAAAAAAACAAGAGGCCCAAGGGCCTTAATGGTCACCTGAGTATAATACAACAATTTAGAGGATCCATAGAGTATAAAATGAACTGAAAGGCGAAGCTTTGTTGCCCAAAAGCAAGAAAAAAAGGGTGATCAGGATCAACAATATTATTAGTCTAGTATTCATTAACAGTTCTTAAATTAGGTTCTAATCTGTTTCCCATTTATCACTCTCACCAGACAGTATGTAAACAAACTATCAGTGCTTTTGTATAATTCCTTGTTGAAGTCTCTTACACTGGCCTCTCTAGGTCTTTGATGAACATTTAATAAGACAAGATATTTTTGTCTCATTTTTATTTATCTATTATTTACAAGTCTACCTGATCATTAAAACTATGAAAGTACTTTTTGTATTATACAATAAAAATTCTTGCATAATTCTCTTATTCTATTAACCTTTCAAGTACATTATTTACAGTGATTAATAATATCACAAGTAAATGGCAAAGGGAATAACTCCTCTCAGTAGAATACAAACTAATAGAGCCCTGGCCTGGACCAGAACACTTGACCAAATGGTCCTGATGTTCAAAAATCTGGTAAAAATACCCTTCCTTATTAAAACTTTTACTCTTTTTGCCTCTGATATACCCAGGTGCAGAGAAGATTTTTAAAGCATTAATGCATTTTCACTCTATGATAAATAGAGCCCCGCCCTAACATCAGGACCTCTGATCCAGGGATCATGAAATTCACAATTTTGGAAGAGGCATCCTTGCTTATCATAACTATGCATTTGTTTAGATAATACCCAGGAGTAGAGAAGAAGATTTCAAAGAAATAATGCACTTTCACTATATGATCTATATAGCCCCGCCCTAGCACCAGAACCCCTGACCCTGGGACTATGAATTTCACAATTTTTGTAGAGTCACTCTTGCTTATCATAACTATGTAATCAATTTGTTTAAATAATACCCAGGAGTAGAGAAGAAGATTTTCAAAGAAATAATGCACTTTCACTATATGATCTATATAGCCCTGCCCTAGCACCAGAACCCCTGACCCTGGGACTATGAATTTCACAATTTTTGTAGAGTCACTCTTGCTTATCATAACTATGTAATCAATTTGTTTAAATAATACCCAGGAGTAGAGAAGAAGATTTTCAAAGAAATAATGCACTTTCACTAAATGATCTATATAGCCCCGCCCTAGCACCAGAACCCCTGACCCTTGGGCCATGAATTTCACAATTTTGGTAGAGTCACCTTTGCTTATCATAACTATGTATTCAATTTGTTTCAATAATACCCAGGAGTAGAGAAGATTTTCAAAGAAATAATGCACTTTCACTATATGATCTATATTGCCCCACCCTAGCACCAGAACCCCTGACCCTGGGGCCATGAATTTCACAATTTTGGTGGAGGGCTCAATGCTTATTACAATCATGCCAACAGTTTGACTGCTTGATGTACAGGAGTAAAGAAGAAGATTTTTAAAGATTGCATTAATTTTAATGGTTTTGGCCTCACCCCTCAGGCCCCAGGGGGGCAGGGGCCACGAATTTCACAATTTTTGTTCCCCTTCACCCATAGATGCTATATGCCAAAATTGGTTTAAATTGGTTTGCTGGTTCCAGAGAAGAAGCTGAAAATGTTCAAAAGTTTACAACCGACAACGGACGAAAAAGAGATAGCAATAGGTCACCTGAGTGACTCAGGTGACCTAATGAAATGTCTATCCAGCCTTTCTTTACATATCTTATTAGACATTCATATTATGCATTTATTAATAGAAATTTTAAACCATAAAGCATCTTTTTTGCAAATAAAACTTTTTTCTTTGTTTTCTCCGAAAAAAAAAATGCTAAAATTTTTTTGTAAAACTATTTAAGAGCTAATATCAGTCTTTCAATGCTGAAATCATAGTTTAAAGGAATGTCTTAAAGATCTATTAAATACAATTCTGGTGTAGCATTCCTCCTTAAAACAACAAGACTTCATTAGATGTTAGACAGATAGGATAAAACAAGTCTACATATTACATACTACCTGGGACTTATATATTTGCTTTAAAAGACAACACATGTACTAAAGGTACAAGTTCTGCATATGTAAAGAAAATAAAAATTATTTCTTCTTTCATCATATTTTCCTATTTATAGCTCAGATGGAAGAAGCAAGGTATATTTCTTTTTCATGTTTCATGGCAGGGCATTCATGTCCTATGGACACATTTCTAGTATAACAGAAAGCTTTAATTACTGTAAAAATCCCATTACTGACCTATAATCCCTAAAATTCAATCTGTTTTTGAAGTAAAAACAAAATTTTTACATTTTGAAATAAATTCAAATATTTATTTCACATGTATAACAATTTTTTTTTTTACATCAACATCAAACATTTGAAGTTGAATGGCAACAGAATATGATCAGCGTTTCAAAGGCACAATTTAAAAAAAAAAACAACAACGAATTAAAACAAAGGAATGTGCATCAGGCATTGGGAATTAGAAGCTAATACTTCTTGTGATTAGGGAAATTAAATGTAAAACAAACTTTCACAGAGACAATGTGCAATGATAATCATCAGTACCTTAAATTCTCAGTTCAATGACAGAAACATATAAATTTAAAAAAAAATGTCTCAAACATCATAACATACCAATAAATAGACTCTGGAATTGTATATAAACAGGTAAGATGTATATGAAAAAATGTTGAATAAATTCTTTGTAAAAAAAAATAAACATAACACAGATCCAACACAGAGTATCAATTTATACTGTAAAAAAATATTAATAATTTGTATTGGCAAAATCAATCACTGTGTCCAGTTGTCAATAAATTAAAAGACAATAAAATATATTAAATTGTTCAGGATTTGGTTGGACAGATATAATTATCAACGGTATACATGGGTAATGATCTCTGGAGAATCGAAAGGTGTATCACTCTGTCGACGTTGTTCATAAAGAGGAAGTTTAGACCAATCAAATGAAGTGTAAAGTGTGACCGATTTCTTCCTACGACGAGCGTTTATTGCATCTTCTAGTGTTTCATAAGGAGGACTGTAAAAAACATCCATAAATTCAACTTCCTGAGATATCAAGTTCTTAAAACATGACTAAAATTTGACGACAATTGTCGGAATGTATTTCTTTAAGTAGACTAGCTGGTATAACAAATCCATTACAAATGCAAATTAACTTACTTATCTCTAATAAAGCTGTTCCCATATTCTGTAGGATCTACAACATGAGACAATGCATTATGAGAATTATATCATTAAACTCAATGTTACTATCATATCACATTTGGGGCCAAATTTTTTAACTAACTCCTATAAAGGTTGCAGTGTTAAAATTTACATGCTTTCAATTTGTAGTTCCACTCTGTCTATCAGCAAACTTAAGTGTGTAATTTCATTCTCAAATTAATTGAGTCTTTTTCATTTTTGGTTGAGATTTTAAATTGCAAAATTTTGCATAACTTTATTACATGTTTATCCAATGTTATGATGTATCACAACTCTAATTTCAGGTACATATTCTAATGCTCAAAATGATTGAATTTTCATTCAAAACAAAATATGGGTTAATTTATATGGATTTCCAAAACAGTAAAAAAAAATCTGTTGCATCAAGTATTCTTTTACCGAGGGTTAATCTGTTGACTTTATCACTACTGGGATGGTATATCATGGGAGGACCCTCAGATCTCCGCCCAAATGCCACTGTCTCCCGGATTTTCTCCTGCTCCTGATCGTAAATTTTCCTGGCTGTATCTCTCTCCTTCTTACTAACCTCTGGAACAATTCAGAAAATAAACAACAAATGAGAATGTACAACAATCCCTATTCTATAGGAGTACTTGATATTGCAAATTGACTCATAGATAACAAATCATAAGAAAATCGACTTCAAGAGTGGACTACAGATCAAGAGTTTTTTTACCAGTATTTCAGCTATATAAAAACATAGGTACCGGTAATCAGAGATTACAGAGCTCACCTCAATGAATGTTGTCTTTAAGTAAGGCGAAGTCCCACACTAAACTAATAATTTAGTAGTGTGCATCCCTAGATGCAACATTTATGCAATTTTAGTCTGATAGGGCCTAAAGTTACTTGGGAAAGGACTTATCTAAAAACTTTAAACTAGTCACTCATCCAGAAAATTTAAGTCAAATCCAGCATCGAAGCATGTTTGAGAGTGTTCATCCCTTGATGCATCATCCATGCAAGTTTGGTTCAGATAGGCATTTTAGTTACTTGGAAATGAGATCTGCTCCAAAAACTTGAACCTGGTCACTCATCTGGAAAATGTAGGTCAGATCCAGCATCTAAAGCAAGTCCAGTAGTGTGCATCCTTAAGTGTATCATCCAAGCAAGTTTGGTCAATATAGGGCCTACAGTTACTTGGAAATGAGACCTGCTCCAAAAACTTTAACCTGCTCCAAAACATTAACTGGTCATTCTTTAGCTGAAATTGCAGCATCTGAAACCTTGACTGATACAATGAAACACACTAGAAGCATCCTCCATGCATCTCTGATTAATATAGGGCACAGAAGTATTTGAAAAGAAAACTGCTCCAAAAACTTTAACCTGGGACGCCGACACCGAGGGTATTACATAAGCTCCCCCAACTTCATTGAGCATGTTGAGGTGAGCTAAAAAAAAGAGTGATTTTGTTTCACTCTGGGTGCTTTTCAAGAAACTTTGTGAGAATAATTCCTCTTCCTCACAATCCATATATTTAGGAAACTACAGTATCTACACGTATCATATGAGGGTTGTTCAATATGTATTGTATGATATCTCAAAAGCAAACTCAAATAGTGAAATGAACATTACATCCCTTCAAATTATTCTCCCCAGTTTGAAATACAGAATTTCAATCTCTAAATCCATTTCTGAAATTCATCAAGGTACATTGATTTAGGTAGACCTCTAAGGCACTGACTGATGGCTGAGCCAAGGGCTTGTCAGGACTTGTAGTGACAACCAGATAAGAACTTTTTTAAGTTTTGGAAAAAAGAAAAAGTCGCATGGGGCTAGATCTGGAGAGTATGGTGAGTGTGGCAAGATAGTAACCTTCTCAGACTTAAAACTGCTACACAAGCTCAGATGTATGGGATGGAGCATTATCTTGAAGTAGACGAACATGCCTAAATCCTGACACAGGGCATCATTTATGATTCATAATATTTCTTGAGCTTTTTTAGTACATGTATGACATCTCAGTAATACCGACCTGCAACACTTTTGCCCTTCTGCACCAGAATTTGTATGGCTATAACATCACATGAGAAGAATATGCAATAAAAAAACCTTTGTGCTGATGGTTTTGGCAACTACAGGCCATCTACCATTTTTAGTCAGCCATATTTTGTTTCCAATTTTTCTCACTGGTTCGAAATAGTGAACCCATGTTTCATCACCAGTAACAATGTTTGCAAATTAATATTGTCTTTGATTGAATTTGGGAAACATTTTGAGCAATTGCTTAGCGGTTTGTACTTGTATCTGTTTTTGGTCATCTGTCAATTTATGTGGTATCCATCTGGCAGAAATCTTTTGTACTTTCAAAATATGCTTCATAATAAAATGCACCCATGATAGTGATATGCCAACAGCTTTGGCAATATCACAAATTGTGTATCTGCCATCACTTTCAATTATTTCCCCGACTTTTGAGACATTTGTCTTACCTGTTACGGTCACAGGTAAGTTTTGTTAAAATGTACAATACAATTTGCCCTTCGGTAACTACCCTTACCTTGTCTGTCTAGAAGTTGTATGAAGGGGATTGAGTTTATGACAAAGATCCTGTATTCTTCCTTGCCTTGTCTGTCTAGAAGCTGTATGGAGGGATTGAGTTTATGACAAAGATTCTGTAACCATCCTTTCCTTGTCTGTCTAGAAACTGAATGGAGGAGATTGGGTTTATGCTTACCTTGTCTGTCTAGTAGCTGTATGGAGGAGATTGAGTATATACTTACCTGGTCTGTCTAGTAGCTGTATGGAGGAGATTGAGTATATACTTACCTTGTCTGTCTAGTAGCTGTATGGAGGAGATTGAGTATATACTTACCTTGTCTGTCTAGTAGCTGTATGGAGGAGATTGAGTATATACTTACCTTGTCTGTCTAGTAGCTGTATGGAGGGGATTGAGTATATACTTACCTGGTCTGTCTAGTAGCTGTATGGAGGAGATTGAGTATATACTTACCTTGTCTGTCTAGTAGCTGTATGGAGGAGATTGAGTATATACTTACCTTGTCTGTCTAGTAGCTGTATGGAGGGGATTGAGTATATACTTACCTGGTCTGTCTAGTAGCTGTATGGAGGGGATTGAGTATATACTTACCTTGTCTGTCTAGTAGCTGTATGGAGGAGATTGAGTATATACTTACCTTGTCTGTCTAGTAGCTGTATGGAGGGGATTGAGTATATACTTACCTTGTCTGTCTAGTAGCTGTATGGAGGAGATTGAGTATATACTTACCTTGTCTGTCTAGTAGCTGTATGGAGGAGATTGAGTATATACTTACCTTGTCTGTCTAGTAGCTGTATGGAGGAGATTGAGTATATACTTACCTTGTCTGTCTAGTAGCTGTATGGAGGAGATTGAGTATATACTTACCTTGTCTGTCTAGTAGCTGTATGGAGGAGATTGAGTATATACTTACCTGGTCTGTCTAGTAGCTGTATGGAGGAGATTGAGTATATACTTACCTTGTCTGTCTAGTAGCTGTATGGAGGAGATTGAGTATATACTTACCTTGTCTGTCTAGTAGCTGTATGGAGGAGATTGAGTATATACTTACCTTGTCTGTCTAGTAGCTGTATGGAGGAGATTGAGTATATACTTACCTGGTCTGTCTAGTAGCTGTATGGAGGGGATTGAGTATATACTTACCTTGTCTGTCTAGTAGCTGTATGGAGGGGATTGAGTATATACTTACCTTGTCTGTCTAGTAGCTGTATGGAGGGGATTGAGTATATACTTACCTTGTCTGTCTAGAAGCTGTATGGAGGAGATTGAGTATATACTTACCTGGTCTGTCTAGAAGCTGTATGGAGGGGATTGAGTTTATGCTTACCTTGTCTGTCTAGAAGTTGTATGGAGGAGATTGAGTTTATGCCTACCTTGTCTGTCTAGAAGCTGTATGGAGGGGATTGAGTTTATGCTTACCTTGTCTGTCTAGAAGTTGTATGGAGGAGATTGAGTTTATGCTTACCTTGTCTGTCCAGAAGCTGTATGGAGGGGATTGAGTTTATGCTTACCTTGTCTGTCTAGAAGTTGCATGGAGGGGATTGAGTTTATGCTTACCTTGTCTGTCTAGAAGCTGTATGGAGGGGATTGAGTTTATGCTTACCTTGTCTGTCTAGAAGCTGTATAGAGAGGACTGAGTTTATGCTTACCTTGTCTGTCTAGAAGCTGTATGGAGGGGATTGAGTTTATGACAAAGATTCTGTAATCTGGCTCCTGTGCCACAGGATTGTTAAATAAATCTGTCACAAAGAGATTAAACCTGAGTGAATATTACAGTAACAAAAGAGTGAAGCATTTCATTAATATTTCACACATTTCAAGGCAATTCTACAGGAAAGATAAACATCTCTTGCTATATATTTGTACTAGTATATAATTTCAATATAATGATTTTATCAGCTTTATTTTTACTTGTATGAATTGTATCTGAATTTCAATGTTCCCATAAATCCTTGAAATAAAGAGCATTTAATTTTATGAACATTAATAGACTAAGAGGTAAATAAAATGACTGCATTCTAATCTATAAAATTTGACAAAATTTTTTCTAACATCAACCAATTTAATTTTTTTTTATTTACACCTCAATTTTTTTTATTATATTTCTACCCTGCAATATTGACTGAAAGTAAATTACATTTTGAGATTAAGCAGAAAAAAAATCTTTTTTATAATTTTTCCACAATGTAATGTAGTTGATGTTTTTCTGAATATACACGTACATGAATGTAACTGTACTTACTAAGTGTGTGAGGTGTTAGCATTTTCTGGAACTCTCTAACAACTTTCTCCAGCTTTGTTAGCTGGTTATTCTGTAGCATCAGAACACGTAAACAGGTCAGGTGACCCAAAGCCCCCGTTATCTCCACCAACTGGTTGTCTTGTAAATGCAGTTCTGCTATGTGAAAGTTGTTGTTTAAAAAATTTACTCGTCTCAACTGGAAAAAGCAGAAACAAAGCTTTGACATATAAATTTAAAGCCCTGAAACAAATATGATATAATTTTAATAACATCAAGAGTTCCATCAACATTCCAATACATGAGTCTCATCCTAACAACGTCAGGGGGCCTGAGTCCACGCTTGGCTGTTGGACCCGACAAACTTCATTCAATATTTTATGGGCTGACTGGAGTGCCATCTTTCTGGAAAATTACAAATCTTGATTGTTTTGTTTTTTTATCTCCTGACCATCAAATTAAACCTCTCAGTGACAAGTACAACCTGTAACATGTGGATTGAGGTGTCAACTGCTTACTTTCTGTTTACCTTTTAATGTAAACTTATGAAAGGTCCTTCTCAAGGAGAGAAGCAAGCCCATAAAATATGGAATGAAATTTGTCGGGGGTATAATGGCCACAAGTGGACTCAGGACTCCTGACGTTGTGAAGATCCATGAATCTTAACTAAACAAATATTGAATCTATTGATAACATAAACTAGTTCTAAGTATGTATTTGTCCTCATATATAAGTTACTTACTATTTTAATTTTTGATATTGTATTACATACCCTGTTTCCATTCAACCAAAGAGTCCTCAGAAATTTATATTTTCCCAAATCTACTACCTCATCTAGTCCCCTGAAAGCAATAATACATGAAAAATTAAAATTAGCCAGTCAGATTACATGGAATGCAAAAATCTTTAACATGCTTGATGCCAACAACCAAGATCTATGGGCTTTTAGTAATACTGCATTTTATTGTCCTTTATCTTAAAGAGATACTGTGTATATATAATAGTACATTAAGAAATCCTTAATTATAAGTATTCATATCCCAATTCCCAATTTCCTTATAAGTTAGTGTATATTTATTTAGAGAATTACTGTTGTGTGTTTGGGGGTATATGGAGTGATAATTGAGTTGATTGTAGTATGCAGTAATTGATTCTTATAAGACTTACATATGTACCATTGTGCTCCTATTGACTTCTCATCCTACAGATCCCAAGGACTATACAATTATTGCTGTTTTTTTTAGGTCAATACTATGATTTAGCCACCATTGAAGTAAAATATTCATTTTGCTACCTGAGAAACTTTGAGGGTGGCTAATTCATTATATTGACTGAAAAATTAACAATAACTGTTCTATTATTAAATGAATCATTAATTAAATGATACAAACTCGTTAAGCAACTTAGCCACCTTTCTTAATTGTTTCATTTGTTGAAGTCCTAGCCAAACGTAGTGAGAGAATTAAGGAAGATAAAATAAATATAACCAGTTGTATTAATCTGGGATTTTTTCACCTACTTTTGGTGCAGTATAGATAAAAAAAATAATCTGATGTTTACCCAAAAAATCAGGTCCAGGTGAAACTAGATATCATTGAGATGGTGGCCATCTCAAAGGGCCCCGCTTTCGGCAACGAACATGAAAATGTAAGGTAGCTGAAAAGGGTTTATTTTGAAGAGGAACATTTGTGTACTATTAAGGGATGTATTGTTTGAGTCTAAAGGGCTTCTGTGTTATCCTTGTTATAATAAAATTGGCACGAAAATCACGAGTGCTCCATACCCTCTATCAAACAACGGCACAAAAATCACGAATGTTGCATATCCTTTATTAGAATTGCTGCATATCCTCTATCAAAATATGGAAGGAAAATCACAAATGTTCCGTACCCTAAGTTAATTGGTAAAGTTTGAGGCTGCCTGGACTTAAGGGAAAGAAATTATGCACCAAACAAAGATTTTAAACAAAGAGGCTACTTTTGACCTTGACCCTTGACCTAGAGACTTCATTCAAGGTCACTGCACATTCATTGACCAGTGACACTCTGTGAGTGAAGTATGAGCCACATTGGACCAAGGGGAAAGAAGATATGCTCCGGACAAGGATTTTTCATACAATTTTGCTATGACCTTAACCTTAGACCTAGAAACATGGTTCAAGGTCACTGCACACCCTTTACCCAAAGGCACTCTGTGGGTGAAGTATAAGCCAGATTGGGCCAAGGAGAGAGAAAATATGCTCTGGACAAGAATTTAAACAGAGAGGCTATTTTTGACCTTGACCCTTGACCTAGAAACTTTGTTCAAGGTCACTGCACATCCATTGACCAGTGGCACTCTGTGAGTGAAGTATGAGCCACATTGGACTAAGAGGAGAGAAGATATGCTCCGGACAAGGATTTTTCATATAATTCTGCTATGACCTTAACCTTAGACCTAGAAACATGGTTCAAGGTCACTGCATACCCTTTACCCAAAGACACTCTGTGAGTGAAATATGAGCCAGATTGGGCCAAGGAGAGAGAAGATATGCTCCGGACAAGAGATCTCGGACAGACAGACAGACTTAAGGACAGACTGATCACTATAGGGAGCCCGCAGAGCGGGACTCTAATAATTTTTCATAACTAATAATATCAATCAGGAAGTTCTCTATCTATTTTTAGACCAATGTAGAAAAAAAAATGCTGTGTTCACCTGGAAGGTCTTGTGCAATTGAACATAACTTAGTAACTGATTTCTAGAAAGTGGGATCTCACCTAATTGGAGAGCTAGAAATTATTCAATAATATAATAAAAGAAATTTATTGAATATTCATTAATGTATTTGCTTTTATCCATTTTTTCCACACAAGCCATGCCTTCTGCATACCATCATACAAATATTCAAAAAAAAAAAAAATTGTTTACACAAATTGAAGCATATTTGCTACTGAGTGAAAAAAAAAGATTTCTTAAATTAATTTTCACATTTATCTTATAATATTTACATTTCCAGTGTCTTTGTCCGAGATAAAATTACAAATTGTAAAAATACTTTATTTCTACATGAATCTACTGGTTCATTGATAGGCACGGTAAAAAAAAATCACGTGCGGGACGGGACAAATAGAGACAGAAGCGGGGCTATTAGCACGGGAATTTGCAGAATCAAGAGCATGTAAATATAAGGAATAACTGTCAGATTTTTTGGATTCATGACGATGATCAATCGATTCATTATGCTTGCGTGATAATTTTATGATAAACACCTTCGGCGTTTATACAAATTATCACGCAAGCCACTCGATTGATCACATCATGAATCCAAAATATTAGACAGTTATTCCTTAATTATTTTCACTTGATTGAAGAATGGGCATGGTTCAGGAGGTCAAAACAATTGGATACAGACAAACAACATTCAGATTTTATTCAGAAAAGTTAAACTGAGTTTCATGCAGACTAATTACTGTATCTTACTTGTTTGCCAGATACAGTTGTTCTACGTCCTTTTCCTTTGTAATATTTCTTTGCTTCAAATATTCTTCTATTGCCTGAAAATAAATTAGGAAAATATCTGGTTTTAGATGGATGTGTCAAATTAAGCACAATTCTGCACCAAAGTAAAAAAAAAAAAAAATCGTCCAAATGGAAGCATTGGAAGGTTGTGACTTAGGATTTTTTAGTTAATAGTTAAAATTTTTTTTACATAAAAAGAGAAGTCAGAATATCTACAAAAAATGTCAAACCTCGCATCTATTTTTAGTGACAGCTCATTTGCATATTTGTCAAAAATCACACTAAATTATAATAAATGGAAAAACTATACAAACTGATCGATTCAAAAAGTGACTTTCTGCCATCAATTTATTTTCAAATTTAGTTTTATTTTCAAAATTATAGTCTTATTTATATAATTAATGATGAAAAATGGAATTCAAATGAATTTTTATTTTTTAAAGGTCTATTTATAGATCCTAAATCAATGAGAATGATTTTTTAGCCAATTTTTGAGATGCTCTTTTTATTTTTCTCAAGACCAACTAAAAAATTAAAATAATTAAGCGTAATCTTTAGAATGATCTTAGGTCTTCTATGTATTAAAATATTAAAAGCTTGGGAAAATAATATCTATGTGTTGTAAATTAACTTTGAATACCATATTTCACTACAATTTCACATAGTATTCTTATTAATAGTCTATTTATTTATCATACTTATAGACTAGCTATTTTTCAATATCTAAAAGAAAAAAAATGAGGATTCTAAATCCAATATATTTTTTAATTAGGAATAACTGATTTAGATACTTCATATAACATTTTATTGCTTATTTTAGCCCCCTGCAACTACATTTCCTGGAGTTAAATTGTTAGAACTCTTTAGTATTATTGGGTAAAAAATGACAGGTGTATCAACATGGCATAAAGAAGGTCATGCATGATCATTTTTTTTATTAACCTAGGGAGTTGTTGTGGAGCATCATTGCACTATGAATGTGGAAAAACTCATTTTTAGGATCTTTGAATGTAAGAAGGAAACAACAAACCAGCTTGAACAAGCAAACAGCCCCAGTGCTAATGCCTTTTATTTTGTATCAGTGTGTAAAAACATGTACACAAGAGAGAACAAAATATTAGTCATGATTTACATCCTATGCTTTAAAATATTGTAAAGGCGTTTTCTTTACTGGAGAGACAGCAAATGTTGTGCACGTATGCGGATAGAAGGATCATCCTAATACAAGCAAGGCCAAAGCAAGTATCATGATACACCTCTACAATATTATAAGCTTGTGCAAAGAACACATGGCTGCACAGCCAAAACATATGCCATTTTGCAGTATAAACTGGTAAGAATTAAGAGCCATTCTCTGTAATGACTTGAACTTTTATATACTAGTAGGAGCTGTGGTATGCATAGTCTCAGAATTTCTCCAAACTCTCTACGATAAAAGTCTAAATTGATACCGTAAACTCAAATCAGGCAAAAATTGGTTGCTACGTGTCATGGTTACCATAGCAACATGTCCTAAAGTTTGAAAAATGGCATTTTCTAACATGTTCAGAGTCCCACAGTTAAAGTTTGCAGCAATTTAAAGCAAACTAGTGGCAATGACTGTTCCTGAAAGTAGAAGGCCTGGTGTCTTAAATGCATGATAAACATGTTCGGTAAATCAACTTTAACATATGTTACTATTAGGGATGTCAATTTTGTCAATAATTCATATTCGAATATTCAATGAAAGTATTTGAATATATTCGAATATTCGATAAAATAAATAAAATCTGTTTTATTTTAAACATGCATCATCCTACTCTCGTAGGTATACTTTTACAGGAAGTAAAATTGTATGAAGACTTTTGTAGGTGTACAATAAGAAATTCCATTTGATATTTGTCAATGATTGAAATAAATAATTGATTTAAATGTAGAAAAGTATAATTTTAACAAATGAAACGTGTATTTATAGCAGCCGCACCTGAGGAACCAGTCGTTTCACAAAAGGCAAGATAGGAGTAACGGTATACTGTTCAGATTTCAATACGTGTAATAAATTACAATTATCTGCCTGATAAGAGATATGATATTAATCTTTGATACAATGTGAACAAATATTTCCATAGACAACTTTCCTAGGTAATTAACTGTTTTCTGGATAATGAATATAAATTATGTACAACCCAAGATAATCAAGTAATTTACACATTTATTCTGAAATTAAGCCCTTTACAATATTAATTACAGATTAATTCTCTCGGACATTCATTCAATGATCAATTAATTTTATTTTGATAAGTATACTCTTCACGCCTTTTAGATATTCTTAGATTCCATTTGTTGTTCTCGATTCTAGATCTGATCTTACACTGTATCTTTAACTAATAAAAGCTATGAAAGTACGTTTTGTATTATACATAAAGCATTATTGTACAATTCTTTACAACACCTTACTCAAAAAATACATGTAATTTAGAAGATTTATAAGATAAGAAAGTAGTGAAAGAAATCAGTCGATCGAAATTGATCGCTAGTAAATTAAACAGGAATAATTCCAGCACTGTTCTAATCAAAATTTATTAATCACAGTACTTCTTTTTATGAAATCTGAAAAACACCGAATATTCGAATCTTAAATTCATATTCGAATATCAACTCATCGAATGAATATTCGAATGTTCAAATATTCGTTGCCATCCCTAGTTACTATGGAAACAAAGAATTCAAAAGTAATAATTTTGTTCATTTAATTTTATAAAGTCATACACTTAAGAATAAAAACAATTATAGGTTGAAATGCAAGCAAATAATAGACAAGAGATCCTTGTAACATATACCAAGGACAAAATATGATATTTCTTATAGATTGGCAATGGTTGCCATGGTTTTAATACCACGAAGGGATTTTAAATTTACTCTCTTAGTGTTTTAATCTTATCCTATCTTTTAAAAAGCATATTTCTATATAACTGATGATCAATTTTTAAAGGCGTTGGTGTGACCCTAATTTTCACATTTCAAAAAATTGAATTTCAATTCTTTAAATAGTGCATTGCTATGGAAATAAGGCGAAAAAACATGCATAAAAATCTGAAAAATACTCTGTTTCCTTGGATACATACCTTTGTTTGTAGATTCCCTAAACTTTAATGATTGATATATGTGAACAACTAACCTGACTTTCAATTTTGACTACCACCAAATCTCTAACTGGATGCAAAAAGCTGGCACATAGGGTCTAATATTGATATAAAATTAACAAAATCGAACATTTTCTCTTCTTGGTAACCATTGCAACAGTGTTGTATTTTTCAACAAACTTTATCAATATATGACATTCAACTTTAGTTCTACGAGATAAGTACTATTCGAGGTGATTCAAATAATATGTTTCTTGATTAAAAGGTTAGTAAATTCCTAAAGCAGCAAAAAATATTACTTTAAACAACTAATACGTTGTTTCCATGGTTACACTGCAAAGTAGCAATTAATCTCAATTTTTCTTATGTTGTCATTGTTGCAAGGTCCTAAGGATGTATATGTGCCAGTCATGAATTTTATTGTTTATTGAAAACTGCGACCAAAATTTGTTATGTATGGTACGGACAGACACATGGATAAACAGGAAGTTGACATCAGATTCGTACAAAAATGAATTAATCCAATCATATGGCATGCTAAACAAAGTGTGTGCTAAAATTTCAAGCATCTGCGCTGAGTAGTTGCTGAGAAAACTGCAACCAAAATTTGTTACGGACAGACTGACAGATGGACAGACAGACAGACACACACACAAGGGTAAAACAGTATTGGAGAAAGGGTATAAATATTTATACAAATACAATTTTTAAGTGAATTTTGAAAATATTGGTATGTTTTACTGGCTAACACAATTATTTAATGGCATAGCTTAAAGATTTGGAGTCTAAAACTGAAATCACTAATTTTTATTGAAAAGGGAAAGGGGGGGGGGGGGGGAGGGGGTATTATTGTGGTATAAAGAGTCCTTAAATGTAAATTCGGAAATGTAACAACTAAACACCTCAGAGCCATAAAATCAAATCCCCACAAACCAAAATTATTTCAAACTACAAAAATAAAATGATTTTACAGTATATCATTTTACAAAATCCGTTTTTAATTAGTAAGATTATAAGAAAAAAAAGTATGATAATAGTTTTTAAAAACCCAGATTTTAATAAAAACCATATCTTTGATTTTTACTTATGTACCTCGACATATGTCAGAATTATACCATTATGAATCTACATGGATGTATGAAAATTAAGTTCTATGATTTGAAAAAATAATTGCTAAACTCCCTTATAGAGTCTTTTATATAGCATTTCATATCAGTATTTTGATAATTCAAAAATGTTATTTTTACAAGAGTGTGCCAATTTAAAATTGACAGAATGCAAACAACTTATTGGAGGCTCAAATGTACATGACTGTGTTCAAGTCTTATATATGAATGGTGATGTAATAGAGTCCTCTTGAATTTAACTACATGTAAATTCAATTTTTTTTTAGTTATAGAGAAACTATCCTACAAAAATGTAAGAAACAGTATCAATCAATATGATTGTTGAAAATCTGCAAGCAAGCCAACACAATTTATCATGAATTCATTCAATTCCTAAACAATTGGCAAAATGCCAATCCTATTGAGAGTAATTTTTGACATTTTTATTTTAATTTTCAATTTCAATATTTTTTTTTTCTAATTTCAATTATGGTTTTAAAGAAAACGATAAAATTTTTCCTTATCTAAGAACAAGTATTAATAATTTAAAATTCTATATCTGACTTTGTTACCCATTTGAGTTTGAAGAATTTTTTTGAAAATTGGCAATTTGTAAATCTCTATATCATAATAAATTATTAGACCCCAAGCTTAATGTTTTGCAAAGATAATGTTTAGAGATATATTTGACAATAAGATCAAAAATTTAAATTTTGTAGCTTGGTCTTGGACGATTTTGGTCATTCAATATATAATAATTTTGCCAATTCTTCAACATTGGCATTGTGCCAATTTTTAAGAGTTGTCTACCCTTTGATATGTTGCATATTTGATTATGATAAATGTCAGTTTTAGAAGAACATAGTCATATGTTACTTTAAAATACCTTAAAGGAAATGGAAATTTGATTTCGAGTAAAATAAATCAAATGTGATTTTTACCATTTTGCTTGAATTATTTATTAAGTGCATTTGCACATAAATGTGCAGGTGGCGCTTCCTATGGCTGCCATGTTGGATGATGGGGAAATTTTTTTTGGCGTTTTTCCATTACATGTTATGAAGTCTAACTACCCACCAAATTTCAAGATATGACAACCTTCGATTTGGACAGTATTGCATAGTTTTCTTGCAGACTGGCTCTTAATAACACAATTAATAGTCTATAGTAAATTAAAATAGAAGTTGTTAATTTTGAAAGCTTTGACTTATATGGGATTGACAAAATATTCTTATAAACCTACTTAACAAGTATAAAGAATTCAATCTGCCTTTACCTCATTTATTGAGGAAATATAGAAACTGGAAATAACATAATTATATATTGCAATTTTGAATAGAAACTGGGTCCTTTTACAGGAACTGTATGCTGAGGATATTATTTTCAGCAGTAAATTGCCTATATCTATCTACAAGTACCTGTTTTCTCACGATGAATTTTTTTTTTGTATTTGGTTACTTGTTTTACTATCGCCAAGCCACATTCCAAAGGGCTAAGATTCTATGTAATATACAAGTCTGCAGGAACAATCTCTCTTGATGAAGCTTTAAATTTTTATCTGGAATTACCTATATTGTCATAAGCCATTCAAAATAGCTAAAAAATTTTCACAATTATGCCTTTTATATGGAATAGACAAAGAGGGAAAAATATGTGACAGTCTGTAACTGCTCATGTTTGTACCATGACTTATTCAAATGAAATCCAAAAAATTAAGAAAAGATAGTTTGAATATTGCTTCATACCTCTCACACCACTACATGCATTAGGACTGGGTAGTACATACAAATTGGGAAAAATGATGAGCTTATGGGGAATATGTGGAAAATCATTTTACATTAAAATCATTATATGTTTGTTTCTGTTGTTTGTTATTGCCCTGTCAGGGAAGGAACTCAGACCCCCTTCTACTTTTTTAATGTCCTCTGCTATTTCAATTTCTAAGGACAAACCTGAAGATATTAGGGCTGTGTATAGAGCAAAAAATTTTGATACGATACAACTATATTTTTTAAAGTAATATGCGATATATTGGATTCTTTAACAAGTCTATCAAAAAAAGTCTTGTAAATCATTTAATACATAAATTTAAAAAAAAAAAAAAAAAGAGTGTTTTATAACCCATTTCGAAGTTCTTGTCTCACTGTCATTACAAAATACACTTCAAATTCAGACTTTTAATGACTGTAAACACCAACATATTAAAATACAGTTGTCTGTGTACTTCAATTGTAAAAATTATTTAAGATGTGCTATTTCATTAATGTTTATATCATTATTGATCAATTTCAATTCAAAACAGTTAAGGTCAAGATCTAGTAAATGAAAAGAGCCTACAGATTTCTCAAACTTGAGAAATAAATTCCTTTTATGATGCTTTATAACTAAAGCTCGGTCAAATAAAGTGTATCGGGGCATAATTTGTAGGAAAACAAGACGAAAAATCACTTTGTAAACTGTCATTTTCAATGAAAAATTAAGAAAGCCAGTCATGAATATGGGAGTTTTTTCCATATCAGACAAAGGAAATGTATCAAGATTGCCTACAGTCTCTCAGAAAACGGTAATTTGTATGTTCTTAGCCTCTTTTAAAAAATACTGTAAAATTGAATATAGGCATCGGGATTACTTTTCAAATGATTTCAAATTGAATGCCATGAAAATACTTTATTTTCTTCATAATTCTATTTGAGCTGTAAAGTACGGGAAAAGGAAAGTTTAAATTGTTTATGATGTCATAATGGATCTAGCACCAAAAACACAGTCTAAAGTCATTTACTAGATCTTGACCTTAAAATATAATCTTTGGTAATTGAAATTCCCAACTTTTTCTCAGGATTATAAGAAAAACTGCATGCCTGATATGCATTGGAATTTATTTTTTCGATACGATACATTCTTGAATATTGGTACGTATCGATATATCAAAATATTGACACAGCCCAAAAAGACATCTTTAAATAATCAAATATATCTTCAATGTTTGAGTTTATATTTGGTGTACCTCTTATAGCAAGCGCAGCTAGTGGTGTGAAGTGTCGCTTGTCACTGCGAGCTCTAAAAACAAAGCATGCATGGTCCAAGAAAAAAATTTGGACAGTGCACATTGATCTAAACATTTTTTTTTCTGCAGTAAACTCAATACCCATAATGCTCCATAAATTGCATATGGTGCTCAAACAAATTGTCATGATATAACCAAACAAATGTTTACAATAAAAGATAGACTAACCTTGATTAAAAGGATATTGTAGATAGATGGTGGATATAATATTCTTTCAGGGCTAGACAAATAGCATTGCCCAACGCCCGGGACAGCCAATTCGTTTGGCAGGCAAGATATTTGATAAGTGGTACTTGCCTGCAGATAAGTGCTTTTCCAGTTAACAAATATTCATGCATTGTAAAAAATTCACACAAGACATAAATCATGGCAGCTATCGATGTCATGTAAAAAAGGTTGAAGAGGATCTTAGACCTTTTTATTTTCAAAATGTAAAACTCATACTATAAATACACATGATGCAAACTGGTACTAAAACTGGAGCTGTTGACTGGCGATCATGTACACACAGTCATGAAGTTGATTGCTCAATCGACATTGAGGAGTGTTTTTCATAATAAAACAATACAGATATTATTTTTTGTTTTCTATGGCTATCCAATAATCCGGCCACCGCTGCGCTCGCCCAAACGGCCACACTATCAACATATGATAATTTTAATCAAGAAATAATTGTTTGGTTACTAATCAATTGCTTATTAAACCCCAAAACATACAACTTTGATAAGAAATTCACCCGAAGAAACATTTGAAATGGAACCTTTTCAAGCATTGCTTACAGAAAAAAAATCAGTTGTGAGAGGAGTATCATGAATGTACGAAACTGTAAATTTTTGTATATTTTGAAGAAAAGGTGCACATTTAAGAAAAATATGTTAAAATTAATAGTTTACAGGTCCCTGCTATATAATCGAAATCCCAACCTATTATAATCTCCTAATTTACGACATGTTAGTGCTTGGATACGTGAAATGAAAAATTAATCATTCTGATCGTAGGCTTATTCATTTTGATATGCAAGAATAATAGAAAAAATCGTGTGTTTTACAAACCTTTTCTGAACCCGCCATTTTCGGTTGCTAAAACTAACAGAGAAAAGCTAGATCAATTCACAGTTTAGTAATTTTAAAATAGTTAAACTTTCTCTATTAAGCTATGATAAAAATATGTTCCATATAAAAAATACACAGAAAAATATTAAACATAGCAAATAATTGATGAAAACAAAAAGAAAAAAAAATATTTAAAAAATCGAAACTGTGCATTGAACGTGATTTGGAAAAAAACGGACACGTACAATCTCTTTTATCCCGAAGTACTGTACAAGCACTTGAGTGATCTGCTCTGAGATTTAAAATCAAATAAATTTGAAATATTGAAATATACAGTGTATTTCTCAATCTGTAATCAATCTAAGCGTCCTTTACACATGTCAGATTATTTCTCTGGTATAGATTTAGGCTGAACTCGATCAAAGCGCAAGTAACATTTATCTTTGATATTCCCTTAATTCCCCTATAAGAATATTGTGCGAGGCAATTTATGTAAACAGCGTTGAGGAAAGGAACCTAAATTTTACAGGTTTTAAATTAAAAATAGGAAATTTATTCTTCAGAGAACATTTATATAGGGGCTTAAAAGAAACTGGGGGGGGGGGGGTCCATAATCATATGTCTTAAATATTTATACATTTTACAAATCCGTTTTGTATATCATAAAATATGTCTCATTCCTATTCATTATATATAATCTCCATCTGCTATAATCTCTTTTTCTTTCTTTTATGTCGACATGTTGCTGCTTTCAATTTTGACTAAAAAATAAAACAAATAACAATAATTTTATTTTATTATTTTTTTAAAAAGTAAGAAATAGAAAGCAAAACTTGTGAGTCACGGGTTACTAATTTTTACCCCTATTTCATTGACCACGCAAATAGTGCCAGTTTAAAAATAGAGTTTTTTTCTTCTTAAAATTTTCTGGGATGTATATGGGGCGATTAAGGTTAATTTCAGGGCATATATTGAAATGAGAGAGTCTGAAAAAAATTATAATAATTGGAAATTTTCCCTTTATAAGCGGATCGAGTAGGAAGGATGTAAAGAGGTCCATATTTACCTCTTTCTCAAAGGGAATTAAAGCAAACAATACAGGGTAGGGTTATAGCAAGACTTCAGATTATGGATTCTCTCAAGATTTAATTTTTTTGTTGGATTTGAATCGTTCTAGCTCTGCAAAATTACAGATCGATGAGTTGAAGCCGCTGAGTTTTTTAAAGCATCGTAACTAAGAGTGACGGGGTGGGATTCTTAAAATGGTCATATCTCGGTCATTTTTGGTGCAATTTGGCACTTGAAACACTCATTTGATTCGAAATTTTACGCTCTTTCAGATGGTGTCATTTATTTTCTTCTGCAGTGTGAGCAACATTGTGTTCCTAGGCACATGCCTGTGCAGAGCGCATTGGTGAGACCTATGTGGGGCATGTGTAGAGAAATGTCACTGCAACCAGGCTAGAGCACTGACCTTCGGAACTTGGTAAGCAATGTGCAAAGTACATATACATCTAGGTGTCCGAGACAAGATCTGTGCACAGTTTGTCGCTTAACGCCGATAGGATTGAGATAAGTGAGCACAGCACTCAAATTGACTAAATAAAATAAGGCGAATAGGAGAGCTTTATTTTGATGTCATCTGAGGTGTCGGAATGTTGAAAATAGATTCATTGGATGCGGAAAAGAGTATTAAACCGAACCCAATACTCCAAACCGCTTGAAAATCGATGCATAAATGACTTATTAGCGTTTGTTTGAAGTTTTGTTAGAACAATGAATGTTTTTACTGTGACGTCATAGTGGTCTCTTGGATATGCGGAATGAATCGTTACTAAGAGTGACGAGGTGGGATTCTTAAAATGGTCATATCTCGGTCATTTTTGGTGCAATTTGGCACTTGAAACACTCATTTGATTCGAAATTTTACGCTCTTTCAGATGGTGTCATTTATTTTCTTCTGCAGTGTGAGCAACATTGTGTTCCTAGGCACATGCCTGTGTAGAGCGCATTGGTTTGGGGCATGTGTAGAGAAATGTTTTCTTTAAATGGTCATATCTCTGTCATATTTCGTGCGTTTAGGTAACACTCATCATGCACACATTTTTTAATTTAGATTTAAAATCTAAATCACAGTTCCGACTTTATCAGGGATATCGATCCAACAGTAATTTCTATTGTGGGAAAATAACTTTTGTAAGCAAGTCACTTACATGAAATTATTTTATGTTTAGGATATGCAATGATTGTTTATTTAAAGCTTTGTTTGCATGTTTCATTTTTGAAAACTAATGAGCAGTATTTTAATAATTTGTATTTTGGACCTTTGATTATTAGATCATATTTTCTGATTAGCACATTTGGTATTTCCTTTGTTTTCTTGGTTTTATATAGCATTTTGACTGTTTAAAGCCAAGATTTCATTAATTATCGGGTTAATATCAAGATAACGTTTTACAAAAGAACTTACGACTAAGACCAACATTTAATTCTGCATATAACTTTTTAACTTCTATTATATTGAAAATAGCTTTTATCTTTTTGAAAGGAATGTAGTAAATATTTTTGCACTAGCAATTTTAAACAGAATCATTAATTTTGCAAAATTTTACAATCAACTTAAGTTTTTGGTCTTAGTTGTAAGTTCTTTTGTAAAACGGGCCCCAGTTCTCTTGTATTAGCATTTTAAAAGGTGTGATCTGAACTCCAGAAGAATGATATAGCTGATGGGTGTTGTCTAAATGCACTTGAGCATCACTACCTTTTCCGGACACATGTATATCCAAAGGAAACCGCTTCAAGGAATTTCATATTCAGCATGTTGAATCATATATTAAGCCTCAAAAGATATTCCAATGTTTGCACGGTCACAGCGCTCACCCCATATCAGTCTTTAAAGGTTTTATCAAGGGTGAATGTATAAAACATGTACGAAATACAAGTGACTAGGGAATATTGCATAAAGAACTTCAAAACGATGTCAATATTAAAAAGTAATGAGAAAAATCGCACCACTGTGTCGGGTACTCTAAATTTAGAACTGTGTGACTGATGAATATTGCTTAAATGTACTCAACTGAGGTTTCGGAATGTTGAAAATAATTTGATGTGGAAAAGAGTATTAAACTAAATACTCCTGTAATTATACCTCTTCAGAATTGGTGTTTTAGCTAACCGTTTATGAATTATTTTATTGTGACCCCATAGTGAGGTAAGTATTGTCTTAGAAATCCTGAATGAATAGGTACTATGATTGATGGGTTGGGATTCCTTCAATTGTCATTTATCAATCATTTTATGCTTGAGATCTAGATGATGGTATTTTTTGTTTTACGCAATGTGAGAAACATTCTGATCCTAGGCACATGCCTGTTCAGAACACATTCGAAAGACATGTGCTGGTGTTGTGTAGGGATTTGGCACTGACTATTATGGTAGAAATTTGACGTTCAAAGCTTGGAAAGTTAAGTGTGCAGATCTAAAATACATCTACAATGTACATATAAATCAAGGAGTTTGAGATGAGGTCTGTGCCTAATTTGTCTTTTCATTGAGATAACTGATTGTAGGACTAAAATCATAGAAAAATACCATGCTAAATAAACGTTCATTTCATGGTACCTACTACCGGAAGTTCATATTGAGAAAACTGGTAAACGTTGTATAAATTGATTCTGATTTCTTAATTCTGACTGTTGAATTTTGTTGCCTTTTACTTTTTGATTTTCTGATTTCATAATTTTTATGTTCCTTATGTTATAATCGAAGATTCGGGGGCACATATTTTGGTCTCTCCATCTGTCTGTTTATCTTTTTGTTAATCTGCCTGCAAAAACTTTAACCTTGTCCATAAGATTTAAATTGTTAGTTTTAGTGTTTTTATATTTTACATGTTTATTTCTTCTGACAAGACCTTTCTTTCGCAACCAACATATTTAACCTCTTGATCGTGACCTTTGAGTTTGACGTGTTTTCACAAAATAAAGCAAACTTTAATCTTGACCATTATTTTTGAACAGTTAGAGCTAGGGTTTTTACATTTCACATGTGTATTTCATGTGTCCAGACCTTTTTTTGGGTACCTAATTTTTTTTTTTACATTTCGTTCTTGAACTTTGAGTTTGTCTTCTTTTGAAAAACCTTGTGCACAACTTTTGAACAGCGGGTGCTGGGAGTTTAATATATAACATTTGTTATTGCTTATTAATGTTCGCAGTACCAACAATTTTGACCTCATAACATCGACGCTGGAGAATGACCTACTTTTTGAATCCTCCTTGGCCTTATTTCTGACTGGTTGGTACACATGTACTAAGTCTTTTGTATTTCACATGTGTATTCCTTGTGACAAGACCTTTCGTTGGACATTGAACTCTTACCTTGACTTTGACATTTGACCTACATTAATTTTGCAAAACTTAAACCTTGGTCTTGAGCTGCCCTACGGGGGCATCCGTGTTTTAGAAGCACGTCTTCTTTATCTACATCTTCTTTAAATTATAAATTGTGTTAAGTGCATGACAATGATATAATATGCGTGCAATTTATGCGTGTGGCGTTTGCAGTATATTTTTGAACATTTCTAAAAACGTTACATGAAGTTGTGGGTTTATAAAGAAGTCGACTTGATGTTGATGTCAATACAAGTTTGTGTCTGAATAAGATTAATTGTAATGTATTTTAACAATCTGCGGACGTAAATGTTTGCGAGTGTGGAAATTAATAAGATACGGAGTAAGTGCCAAAGGAACAATGAAGAGCATGTTTTTAAAGCTTATTGAGAAAAACGGAAGCGAAGAGTTTGAAGGCTCTTTAAAACGTAAATTTATTGAAAATATCTGACTATTTTCTTTATTTTATGCATCTATGACACATTCAGTAGAACAAAATTAAAAAAAGTGGATGTGGGTAACAGTTAAAATGGTTTTTCTCCTAAGCTCTCAATTGCAAAGCCATAGATGGCGTATTTTTTATTATCAATTCAGATAACCAAACTTAAAAAGATTTTTCTATTTGTTATATTACTTTATATAAAGATAAGAACTTTCTGTAGATTATACAATTTAAATCAATTGTGTTTCAAAGATTTAAAAATTTCAAAAAATAAACAATTTATTTACCGACTCCACATTTAAATAACAGACAAAGTTTAAAGTCAATTAATCTATATAAACGTGAGGTTATTTAAGTTAAATATCGGTTAAATCTTGAATTTGAATGTAAATAACATTTATCATGTATATCTACACTCAATCTCGTATTATTATTATTTTTAGCTTAGAAACGCCATATATAGCTTTAACCATTACCCTAAAAACATACATTCTTTATATGCATGTTAAGTCGATTAATACCGAAAGAAGCTAAGGCTGGATTCTTTAATAGTTACACGATTAAACAAATTCTACAATGTCTACTATTTTTTTAAAGAATTCATTATCCTCTTTTATAGAGAACAGAATGATTTTAAAACTGTGTTGGGTTGAGATTACCTTTATAACGAATGTTTGGAAATAGAGATTTTTTTTCGATAAATGTGTATGTGTTGGAATGATGTACATGTATGTGATAATAGCAATTATAAACACTAGCCGCCCCAAAGGGATCATTTGAACTTTCTCTTGATTATTAGTTTTATGTCTTTGGCAGAGAATCGGTTAAAACACGAAGGTGCAAGTACAATTTAACTTCACCAGTTTACAAGTTTTTGTGTATATATATTAAACATTATGGTAATTACTCGCCAACTTTATGAAAACCAATAAAAATAGAATTAAAATGTAATTTGTTATTTAGCATATTAGCATATTTATTCCTTTTTAGGCAGATATTTCTACTTGCATTTCCTATTCATCACAATATGAAAACTTTAATCCCTACTTAATGTCTATTTTAATTAATCACTCGACCATTAAATATTTTTATCTGCAGAAACTGTTACGTGTAGCGAAAACTCCCTTTAAAAGTTCATACATAGTTTAGAATGAAGTTAAATATACTTTCAAAAATTGTAGTATTGAAGTACATTTGTCTCATCCCTATTTATCTTTTACAGTTACGATAGAGAAAGTTTCAATTATAATAAAGAAAAAAAATGTTCCTATTTCGAAGCACATGGACTACATCCATACATTGAGTAAGCAATTCAAACAAGCAAATTCTTAATTATTTAAAGTATACAGGAGAAACAGGTACTTAAATTAAAAAAAATCAATTTCAGCCCCCGAGACTGATATCAGAGAATTAGCTGAATGCTCATGAATTTTGTTTTCTGCATTCATTATCGGACAAGCCATTCTTGTAATTAGTTTTTCAGGCTAAGAACTGTTGATGCTGTTCGGGATTATTTTCTTGAAGACATAAACTGTTTCTGTTTTAAAAGGGGCATTCCTTGTTTTACACAATGATGACATACTTTTCATCTTTTATATGATATTGTGATATATTTTTCTGCTTTTTTATGTTGTATTTTTTAGCTAAGTTAAATGATTGAATAGATTGCTTTCTGTTATAATTTTATCTTGTGTGGGTGTCAACATTGTGCTTTTCATTTCTGTTATGTTGATGATACTTTTTGAAGCAGAGATAAACTTCCTGTAATCCTCACAAAAACAAACGATAGATAGATAGAAGGAAAGAAAGATTTAGAGAAAGTTAGATAGATAGATGATGGATAGATAGATAGATAGATAGATAGATAGATTGATTGATTGATTGATAGATAGATAGATAAATAGATAGATTTTGCAAAAGTCTGTATATGGGTGTGTTTAAAATACGTCAACTTTTACGACAAAACTATCATATTACACAACTTAAATCGACAATTAATAATTTTAGTACAATTACAACATAACAGGGTAAAAATGGAAAAGTAAATGATGTCAAAAAAAAAAAAAAAAAAAAAAAAAAAAAAAGATAAAACTTTTAGATAAATAAATTTATTGACATATATTGATGCCGTTAGTGATTATGTTTCGCAATGCTGCAAATCGTCTGATAGTTAAAACAGGTAGGACTAAATGAAAAAATCAAGTACAACAATTCACATTCATTAGGATCATAATGGTTTTGGCTGATGTTCCTCTTTCCCTTATTCAGTATGAAGTAATGTTCAGATAAGTAATTTGCCAGTGTTTTCTTAACCCCTTTGTGCATGAGTAGTACTCCTACTTTTTTTATTCTTTTGTTATTGTTTTTTTAAAAACCAAATTGTATACCTAAGAATCAACGTTAAAGATAATAATTTTTTGATCACCTTAATCTCCAAGAATTTGAAACATAACTTAAGAAGGGACAAACTATCCCTTAAGGGACCAGTATTATTTCACCCAAAACATCTTCAGACAGGAAGCAGCTAAAAATAAATTCACTAGAATGCAATATTTACGTAGATAATATATTGCAAGTACCCTCTCCGCCTGTTGTGTTCAAATTTAGACAATCCGCAAAATATTTAAACTGACTTGAATTCAAAATAATGTTAACATAACAAAATTATTCATTTCTACACAATGAGTACACTGAATTGTCTTATTAATACTTGTGTTTGAATTTATGAAAGAGCAATGTCTCCTTTCTACACAACATCTATTGCTTGCGTGGGATGCTTAAATGGAGTTACCCGGGGTAGCTGTAAGGGCTGTGGTGAGTTACAGATCGCCTGAAAAATAAAAAAGGACACTGATCAGAGGGAGATATAAAGGGTGTGTGAGAAAAATTAATTTCATTATTTAAAGTAAGCAGATGAGTTCAATTTATGTCAGATATATAGAAGGGAGCGTATACGTATTTTCTTGTTTTTCTTTTTGTTTTTTATTTGTTATTGTTGATGCTTATTTTGAAATTTGGATCTCATGGGAAACAAATAGAGCCTCTTTTAACTATTATTGGCGTGAAATTAAATGGGAGCCGTACAATAAGGAGAGGCTTTCTTGAAATTAATAAAAAGATGTAGAAGATTAACTTTTGTGCCTTATAATATTAGTCTTTGTAAACTTTAAGTACTCTTTTTGCAAATGTCTTTAAAACCTATAAAAAATACCTGTGGACATTGTCTTCTGCACATTTGGGCCCTGTAATCTAGTAGTATAGGCTCTCCTTCAATAATTTGGAAACTTTCAAGCTTTGCTCTTCCGGTAAAGAAACCTCTTTGGCTACGCTCTTCATTGGAAATGGAGATCCCATACTGGTCGATTGTACTTCTAACTGGGCATCTAAAGCAAATTAAAAATGTGTAAAATTAAGAAACCTATTGTACAACATGGTAATAATTATCTAGCACTGTATATTTTTTGTGAAAAAAAGGTTTTCATCTAGAAAGGGATTTAAAAGGATCGAAGGGTTTGAAAAGGGTTTTAGCAAGAAAGTAATTAATTCTACATGAAATGACAATATAAATATTATTTAAAATTTAATTAGCATGTAACCGATGGAAGATTTTATAAAATATTTCTTTAAACGCTCTATCAGGATTTTTAAATGATATAAACTAAGTGCAGTTTAAACTTGCTGTTTGCACCAAAAGATATTTTCATTTTTATTAATTAATAAGTTATGATTAATTTCGTTCGCATTTAAGAAAGCGTACTGCTAGTAAGTTATCTAATTGTTAACAATACAAGCGGGAGAATCAAAATAAAAGCTGTATTGGGAGATAAAAAATTGAAAATTTACTCACCCATTCTCAAGAAGTTTAGCAGTTCTCACCATTCCGGTCTGTTGATCAATAGTGTACGCTTCAAGATAACTTACTCGAGTACCCCCAATATCTAAGAATACGAAATAAAATAAAGATAAGAAATTTGTTGTAAACGTTAATTCTTGAAGAAATGCTAGGTGAACACTTGCTAGGTTTACTTGCATAAATTCTCAATTCTCGTTAAGAATAAAAAATTGTTCAGTATGTTATATCAAAGAAAAACTAGTGCTAATTGTAACGGGAACCGTTACAGATGTTCCCCAAACGGCTCCCCAATCCCTTGTGATGCCCCATTCCCTACAAGCTTCAATAAATTAAACAATACTTTTGTAATATAGATGGACACTTTATTTTTATGGGTATTTCATTGGAAAACAACTCCGATATAGCCATATGGGTATGAGCCAATCTAATAGCTACATTTTTTACATTAATTATCTTATAGTGTCTCACAATACATACATTTGTTTTAAATATTAGAGAATTTCATTGAAAAATAAGAGAGATGTAACCCTTTAAGTATTAGCCAATCAAAATTCAGCATACGCGCATGCATGGCCTTGCATTCAATTTTGATAGTATCATAATGTAGGAGCTCTATGTGCCTATCCATGTCTTAAATTTCATCCTGTTTTGTTAAAAACCAAGGGAGTTAAAGACATTTAAAGTTTCAACCAATCAGTTTGCAGCACACCTGCATGCGCGTGTTTTCAAGAAATTTCCTATATAACATGTTGTAGCACCTTATAATATATACTTATATTCTAAATTTCAAAGTATTTTGTCAAAAAACAAGGAAATTATTGAGATTTTTGTATCAGCCAATCAGAGAAGAGCGCACATGCATGCGCGTGAGTTCACGCTAATTTGACCATGTTGTCTTGTCTAGACTACTAATATATCTTTATATTTTGAGTTTCAAAGCAATTGATCAAGAAATATAAAAGTTACGGCTTCATCAAGTATATCAGTCATTTCACTCATTGCACGCGCGCGCACGTGCATGCATGTGCGCGCAAAATGACCTTCGTTCCACACACCTACACAACATGCCTATTAACCCTAAAAAGGTTTCATGTCAATCGGATGAGTGGTTCTATGAAAACACTCTCGGACAAAAAAGTACCGGAGAAGAAAGTAGAAAAAAAGAATAATAATAATAACTAGAAACTCATTGCGAGCAATGAGAGGTCTTCCGTCCGATTCTGAAAAAAAAGAAACCTCAAGCTGAAAAGTGATAAAAGAAATTCAGACACTCATGAGATTTAACCCTGGTCGTCAGCCTGAAAATCCAACGTGCTAACCATTAACCATTCCCTTTTTTGCATCACTTCCTGTCACGATCGGAAGTAACGGCGATACAAGATTTTGTCACGATTCAAATAAACTGATGACTGACTATCAGTCCTGAAAGTTTTAGACTTCAGTCGTTTACTGTTTCCGAGCAATAGACCGGAAGTTGACGATTATTTCCGGTGGAATCTTACATAATTTAAAACAGCGAAAGAGATGCAATAAAGTGATGCAAGTTTTAGTTTAAAAAAGAAAGAAGAGAAATAATATGAGCACATCCTCTGATCTAAAAAAAATAAAACAGGTTTTGTAATCCTCAGAAATAGTTCTATCATTTAATTGTTGCATATTTAAGATCAGAGGTTACGTTCTAAATTAAATATCGAAAAATAGCTTTAAAAGTTGGCTGTTTTGTAGAAATTTTCAGGATACGAGGAAAATGACGCATTTCATGACGTCTTAATGCATAGGCTAGCCAGAAAATTACATCATTTTTGATAGATACGCAGTCATCAAAGGTCTAAATGATATTTAATGCATTGTCAACTAAAACCAAGCAGTTTCAGTTTTTCTGAAATTCACAGGGCCAAAAAAGGTCCTAAGAGAACCTTGTTCTTTAATATTGAAACCACTACACTAGCGCAATGTACCAGCCATCATCGATGTTTACCTTGCACTCATTCCCTGAAGTAACGAGTGTCAGGCAGGTTAATTTTGTTTTCTTATAGTGCCGAATTATAGGATGAAAACTAGCCAGATAAATTTTGTGCAAGTGCTAATAGATTTACATGGGATTTGTTACTTGATTTTTAACAATAACTGATAGCAGAGAAAATAATCTGTTACTGATAAAAACTAAAAAAAAAAAAACTATTGTGTTTACTTCCTTTATTCTTTGTGCATTCAGCTTTCTATTCTATGCAATTCCAAATACAGACATGTCCGTGTAATCTTTTTCTGTACATCTACACTACTGCATCAGACCATTTGTGAAAGGCGGGTCAAGATACATTATTTCGCGCCAAACGTCACGAGTAAATCTTCGCACCTTTTCTTTGAAATGTGTCTTCAATTGAATAAGTGTAGTGATAGCTTCAATGAAATTTAAAAAAAAAAAATATGTTGCTATAGCCTGATTTTCGAGCCTAAGAATGTTTATTTATCACACTGTACATATAACATATCGTATACGGGCAAGTAACATAAAGGCAGCGCTAAGTTTTCTTACACATTTTATATTCCTCTTAACCCCCAAAGTGGACTAT